CTAAAAGTCGCTTTTGTTTTATACTTTTTTAAATAAATCAGACATTAAAGTAAACTAGACGCATAAAGTGCTCATCTATATACCAGAACTAGTGAACCTACGATGGTGGAAACTGGAACCCTCTAGCTTTTATACTGTTTCAATAGCAAATTTGTAGAGATGGATGAATAATTTTGACATCCACTGTATATATTCTTATCTAGATGGTTATGATAACCTAAAATATAGCGAATTATTCAAATTTCCTTTTTTTTTGTGTAACATGAAATTTATTTTTATTTTGTGCATTATAATAAAAAGCAATAAGCTCGTTGCCATCAACTCACTAAGCATCCTTCCCTTTTATTCTGACTTGAAAATGATTAAAAATACATTGGTCTCCAGCTAAATCGATAGCATTCGTGAGTCATGATGATTAAAACATATGTGGGAGATAAAATATACTTATTTATTCTTCTTTACCCAAGCAAACAAACTTTTGGAAGGGGGCGTTTAAACACTCAATCGGGCGCCGCTATTTTGAACCATTAACGCTCAGTAGCGAAACGCAAGAAAAGCGTTTTTTACGCAGAATTCTCACATTCAGAGCGTGAAAACTAATAAAAACTCCAATTCTGAGCGTTCAAACGCTGAGGATTGGAGCTTTTATTAGTTTTTAACGCTCAGAATTGGAGTTTTTATTAGTTTTCACGCTCTGAATGTGAGAATTCTGCGTAAAAAACGCTTTTCTTGCGTTTCATTACTGAGCATTAATGGCTCAAAATAGCGGCTCCCGATTGAGTGTTTAAACGCCCCCTTCCAAAAGTTTGTTTGCTTGGGTAGCACAAACCCGCTAGATAACAGCGATATACTCCATGTCAATGTTCTCTCCATTTTTGTTTTCTTAAAAGTGAATATGCTGGTGGTCTTTCGTTTACCTGTTATAAAATAAAAATTCATCAATCTTTTTTTCGGCTACCATTAGATGATTCTATTCGTGCGTATCTAATAGTGATTCTCCTTTTAATGTATATTTCATGTCCGTTCACTTTGTAAGTAACGATTTATGTGCATTGATTGAATTCCTCCTGTTTTATTTGTCATATAAACAATAATTCATAAGCTGTGAAATGTATATTTTTTCTTTGTTTAATTTGTCTTTTATATTAACTATGTAGAGATGAAATTGATTCGAGAAAAAAAATGTATGTATCGATAAATTTCTGTCACCTTCCATATGATACTCATTTTTTTTACTAGTAAGCTCATTTTTTCAAGTCCTCACTATATCAACAAACAGACTTGTCATCATTTGGATTTTTCCTATTCTTAATTGAAATAATGAATCTGTTTTAAATAATTACATTTGATGATTGCGACTTAAGATACACTGAGAAAAACTAATGGGCATATTTTTTTCACTAGAAACAACTGTAGATTTTCTTTTGTGGAACTCACATATATTTTCGAAGAAAATTGTGAGTGTAAGTTGAATTGTTAGGCTTTTGCGGCTCCCTTGTACCCCACCCCACCTCTCCACTACAGACATAAAACATAAAAAAACTAACACTTCAGTGCACTAATTAGATAAGATTTTTATACAGATGGATTGCCTATGTTCACCACTACTCACATCACTAATAAAAATCTAGTTTCACTAATTAGAAATCATTATAATTAGGATCTAGCCTCTAATTAATCATCAAAATCTGTCGTTTTTATTTTTATACTCCATAGTTACGATAATAGCGCATATTTTTATTATTATAGCCCATAGTTACGACAGTATTATATTTTTTTATTATTAAAGACGTTCGCAACCAGCGTATGCTACCGCTACAGAAGCTAGTAACTAGTTTATGCTACTATTACATTCGTTACTTCTACCACCCACAATAAACAGATGAAGATTTTAATTTTTTTTTCTCCCACGAATACTTTATTCTAGGGCTTGAGTCCACTTTAGTGTATTTACAATGCGGAACTTTTCCATCCACTGGGAAGCTTTTATCAAATTTTTTTTTATGAAAAAATGCATCAATTTCTCACCTGGTAATACGAAAAAATATAAATTTCTCAACAATACTGATAGCTATATCATAAATACTGTTTAAACTATTATCATTCGCAATATTTTTCAATGAAACCACTAAACACTTCAGCATACTGACATATTTTAAAGAAAAAGTTTTTCATACGTTCTCTCTAGTAATCAGGGTTGCCACCTCTTCCGCTTTTTGCGGGAAGTTTCCGCTTTTTTTCCGCTCTTCCGCTTTTTCATATAAAAGACTTTCGTTGTTTAATTGAAAACTTAACCATGCAAGAAACTAGATAACGTGATGTTAGACGAAAGTTTTTTGGAAAATAATTTCCTAACGTATAATTCTATACAACTCTTGAAAAATTTTCGCTTCACATGATAGATTTTCCAATAAATTTTTCTAGTGAAACACATTTCGTGTTTATTTTGACCTCCACTATGAAATACATTCACCTGGATTTGAAATGCCAGTGAAGAAAAGAAAATTTCTTTCAAGTTCTTATTCATTTGTTAATATAATAGATGACAGCATAGCCACATTCGACAGCTGAATGTAAAGAACAACATTATCCTCTTAGACTTGTATAAAGCGAGCTTTATTTTTTGGATTGTACGTTTTTCGGGCCAATGTTTTAATTTGTGCCAAAAAGGAGTCGCATTCGGCGGCTATATGTGGAAAGGAATATATGTTTTTTGTTCTATTACTCTGAAAAATGAGTTTCAGTTTTTTCGATTGCATCTTTTCGCATAAACTTTTAAAGTGCTGTGCCAAAAAAGAGCCGCCTTCGGTGGTATATTCTCTGCGAAAAATAGTGAACTGACAGTCGCAATACGGCCATTTCACTATCACAAAACGAACATTTTTTGGGACGATACAAACATTTTCCCTGTATGGCACTTTTAGAAAAGGTGAGTAGAAAAAGAATTGACAGAAAAAATATATTTATTTTTGGACCGGAAATCGTTTATCTTTTCTTCTTTGAGTTTCAGGCCAGGTACGCCCTGATATTTTTTATGAGTTGTCTATTATGTTGTGGAACTGCGAACAAAGTAGTACTATGAGCAATAAAACAAGGTTACTTAAACTCTTGGAAATGTGAAAGGTCAGCAAAAAGCAGCTTTCCGTTTTTTTCCGTTTTTTCTATTTTTGTTTCCGCTATTTTCCGTTATTTCCCGCTCTTTTTGATCAAACTTTCCGCTTTTCTGATCTGATGAGGTGGCAACCCTGCTAGTAATATTCCCTATTGATAGATCCGATAAACTTCAAATGTCAAAAAAGGTTTTATTATCTTATTTTTGAACAAAATATGATCTCACTACACTGAAAAAATAAAACTTCTATTTGATCAGTATCTAACTGACCGAAATATGTGAGTTCCACATTTTAGCCCCAACGGGGCTGCGCTGGCAAGCTTTTTTCATTGTCTAGAATAATAGTAGGTTTTGTTGTAAAATATGAAAATTCAAAATCACTTTCTAATAGTTTTAAGGAATAACAGAGATAAAAATAGTTCATGCATAATAGATGACGAAGACAAAAGATGATACAGATTTTCTTTTTGTTATTATTTGCTTCTTTTCTTTATTCTACCCATGAAGAGTATTTACAGTAGCTGAGACAATCAAAATATGGTAATGTATACTGTCGTTTATACAGATTGCGATCCGAAAATAGCGGATAATTGATGTTAAACAGGCGCTATATTGCGATATCATTTTTATCATTCAACAGATAGCTCGTAGTAGATTTGAAGAACACGTTTGAAACAAAATTAAAATACGATTGTAATGATGCACCTACGCAAAAATTGAGACAGCTGTTTACAATCATGCATATTAACCGTTAATATTGAGCGATAATGCTGTCGGCATTAATTATTTCAAGGGCGTACATCAATTCAAGTATAATAGAACCCAACAATGTTTCTAATGATGTAAAAGTGTCTTTTTTCGATGACTTTATTTTCTTATTCATTTTGTTGTTTATTCTCTTCTCTCACATTATTAAACTCAGTTATCAGCGAGACAGCAGCGTGATAGTATGACAACAGAACGGAACAAAACGATAATCTCCCTCCGATGAAATCGAACCAACGTCTTCTGCTTTCTGGGCAGCTGTACTACTAGAAAGGAGCCTGTATTATTCGTTTGTTCCGTTTTTTGATCGAAGGGGAACACTTCGATCATAACACTTCCCATCACACGAGATTGATGAATGAGTGTTGTGTGTTGCTTCCCGACTAGTGCACCATTGTTATATATTCTCTTCTCTCACATTATTAAACTCAGTTATCAGCGAGAGAGCAGCGTGATAGTATGACAACAGAACGGAACAAAAGGATAATCCCCCTCCGATGGAATCGAACCAACGTCTTCTGTTTTCCGGGCAGCTGTACTACGACTATACTAGAAAGGAGCGTGTATTATTCGTTTGTTCCGTCTTATGTTCAAAGGGGAACACTTCGGCCGTAACACATTTTGGTAAAGAATTCAGCATACTTAAATACCAACTAAAGACCACTTTTTTTATATAAAACGCTGCATTTCTTAGCTAGATTTGTCTTTTTTGATTAAGGTTGTCTATTAGAGCAAAGAAACTCGCAGAATCTGTCTTGTCTCATTTTGTCAAAAAAGAAACTATTCAGATAGTAGAGCATCAAGAAAAAAACATTAGATTGCTTTGATCCAGATAAAAGTATTTGCCTGTTTTGGTTGCTATTTAAAAAATAATCAACGAAAGCCTTAATTTAAAAATTTTACGACAAAAAATTTTACATATTTAAACTAGTTTTCTACCATAAACGATATTGACATATTGTAACATATACCTCAAATGTTACCATCAAGCTGCTAGCGCTATTAAGTTTCTTTTCTTTTCTTTCCTTTGATCTTAATGCTTATTTTTTTGGTATTGTAGATTACATCTCTAAATGAAATATAGATAATTGGACAGCATCAATAGGCAGTTGTTATGACACAAATGAATTTTACGTATGTGATTGCGTGTAATGCATCTTCAACTGGAGCAATTTTCATCGATTCACCACCAATTGTTCCACCAACGTACCTTCAAGGAGTGGCTATTGTTATCTACACGATTTTAAGTATTGTTACTGTTGGTGGTAATGCACTTGTATATTTAACTGTATTTCATTATATGGGCATTGCAACTGGTACAAATCTATTTATTGCAAATTTAGCTGTAACAGATTTTTTTATTGGTCTTGTTTGTATTCCAATAGTGCTTATTTCGGATTATCTTTTATCAGATTGGCCCTTTGGAATATTTATGTGTAAATTTACGTCATTTGCTCAATCAGTTTTTGTTGTTTGTACTGTTTACACTTTAATAGCTATGTCGGTTGATCGATACGTAGCTATAATTTATCCATTGCATGCTAAATTAACAAGAAAACAATGTTATGTGTTAATTGCTGCACTTTGGGCATTTTCTATTGTATTTAGTTTTCCGATATATTTCGAAATGCATATTGTTCGGATATGTTTTCATCGAGATTTCGAGGATACCAAAGAATATTCTCAAACAGTATGTCAAACAAATGGTCTATCGACTTCAATACAAACAATTTATAATATAATGACTTTAACAATAATTTATTTATTACCATTAATTATCCTATCAATCGTTTATTTACGTCTAGGCTGGCAATTGAATCGAAGTCAAGCACCAGGTGAAGCACATTCACGACGGGATGCAAAAATTAAAAAGTCGAAAAGAAAAGTTATTAAAATGTGTTCAATTGTTGTTATTATGTTTGGTGTTTGTTGGTTTCCAATGCAATTATATACAAATATATTACATCCGTATCTTAATCGAATATTCGATCAAAAATATATGCCTCATTTTTATTTTGCCTTTCATCTCATGGCAATGAGCAATTCATGTGTTAATCCATTTATATATGGTATTATGTCATCAAAATTTCGCGCTGGCTTCTTACATTATTGGCACTGTTTAACGTCATCTTACGGGTCAGTAACCGATCATTTTCGACCGATAAGAAGTGCAAATGAGAGTATTGTGCTAACAGTTTCGTTACAAGGAACGCAAGGAGCATATAAAGCCAATGCTGCAAATCATCAACCTGCTGAGGATTCTCAAATAAATCGTGCATGTTCTCGTTCTATGATTCCGTTGATGCGATCGAACAAATCATCAGCCTATGATTAAATTGTTTCTCAATCTTTATAGCTTAGTCAACATATTTTCTTCTCTTTATTTGTTGTTGTGTGAGTAACTTTGTACTTTCTAAGAATATTATGTCAAAATGCGCATATTGTTTTGTATTCAATAATACTGTGAGATTCTAATGTTTCATTATTTTTCTGGATTCATTTCATTGACTATTAAATATTATTGTGTGTATATATACTATCAGTATTTTCATGAATAAATGAATATTTGATCACAAATGAAAGACAAGAGGAAAAGAAAAAAAATTATTTAATGGATATTTCTCATACGAAGTTAACTATAGACTTTTTATATGTATCACAATAATATTTATTACGAATTTCTTGGTACGTTGAACCTGTGTTTATGATGAGAATAAAATATAATAATTAGTTGTATGATTGAGAGTGTACTTAATATTCTTGCTATTAACATTCATATTATTTGATGAATATATACATGAGAAAACAAACTAGTGCACCATAGAGATTGCTTACAAATTATGAGGATTTTATTGTAGTGAACTGCTATTTTATTTAAAGATGCTTGAATACTTAACTGAGAGGAATTCCTGTTCTTATTCAAAAGATTTTTATAGAAATAATGATGATCGTTTAATTGCTATCTTCAATAAATGAATAGAAAAATAAATCTAGCACGTACATTTCGTTCAAGGTTTCAAAGAATGCGCTAGATGGAACAACGGCTTTTAGAAATAATTACTTTAATTGATAATTGAATTTTTATTTTTACTATGCAACATAGAATATTTTATTCGAAACTTATTTTCGGATTTTTATTTTGACTATATTGAAACATTGGAAAATTTTATTATGCAGCAGATTTGTTTATCTATTCCAAAATCTATTTACAAGAATACAAAAATATTCTATTAATTAGATTTACGAGTATTTTGCTGTTAAAAATATGACGACAATACTTTTTTTATTAATTCGAATGCCTTATGTCAGTATGAGTTATATTTAATAACTAATATAGTTAAATCAACATCTGCGTAAAATTATTAGCGGATGAATAGGCAAAAGCAAATCAATAAGTTCACGATTATAACAAGTTAAGTCCATGTCATCATAACCCTGAACTAATAACGGCAACATCATATTATTAATATTATTATTATTATTATAGAAACTAATTTAAAATATTTTCAAACCTTTAGAGATCATCTATTTTACTTAGGAAATACCAAAATTTCTGGCCACGGTACTTCTTCCTCTTCTCTATTCACATTGGGATCAAAACTTCTGATTAGCCTTAAATATATTCTGATAGCGCTTGAAATTCTCTATTTTATTATATTGTTCTCTAGTGCCTGGCATTCATCTATTGCAAAACTAATTTGAGTACAATGAAGACATTCTCAATTGACAAGCATGCCTGCATGATACTCCAATTATTCTTCAGCACAAACACAAAATAAGATAAAAATATACAAGATGGTAGAGAATTTGAAGCTCTATCAGAGTATACTTAAAGCTGGTCACAATTTTTGATCCCAATATGAACAGAGAAGAGGAAGAAGTACCGTGACCGGAGCTTTTGGTATACCCTAAGCAGTATTTAGTTTTGTCTGTCTTGCTGTGTTGGTGTTTTAGAGAATTCTATCTACGTATATTAATAAGAGCAGTCTAGAGAACTTTCTTTAAATATGAATGGCAATAAAAGAATAGTACTATTAAATATTTTACACAGATCTTCATATCTGTTATATTTTCTGTTGTGTCATGAACAACCTGCAGAGAATAGTTTTTTTACATCTGCAATTTCGACGTTCGAACCATACTAACTGAACTTGATGCTCGGTTAAATTCATATAGTGATGGAAAATGCTCATACTGCACTTAGATAGTTTTAAAGAAAAAATATTCTCTTTCATAATAATGATGTTATTTTAAATTTTTGTTTGTTTGTTTTTGTAGATTTACTTAAAAATTATATTTATTGATGAATATTCTTTAATAAAATGTCATTAGTAGCTAAAGGTTGACAAATCCTCTTCAGAGACTCAAAGGATTCAATAGAAACATTTTATAGAAGAGAACGTCTACAAAAATGAGAAGTCGACGATAGACTGTTGTGTCAAAGTTTCTTGATCTTTTTTAAATTTACAGAGGATAGTCTTTTTAGCAATCTGTTAAATTTTCGAATTTATCTAACAAACGTTTTCCTAATAGAAAACGATAATGTTAATTAGTCTAGAAAGTATAGGCTATCATAAACAGATTAGTATTATCGAAAAGATCTTACAAAAATAGAGAATCGACATGATTTATAATCAATTGCCCTCCACACATCTCAAAGGCTAAAGATAATTAGCTGAAAATCGATTAGCAAATAAAAATAAATTTATTTCGTATTTTGTTTGTTTGTTTAGGAAACTTTATCAGATCGAGCCGAAAATTTTACAAATTATTAAACTCGCTACGCTTTATGACATACGAAAAATCAACAAACTCTGCCACATATTACAGCATCCTCGATTTCTGATTTTTTCAGGAATTTGTTCTTAAAAATAATAAATGTGGAAACTTCGGATTTCATCCGAGAGTTATGTGTACTGCAAAAAGTGCATGCGACATATGAGTCATTCTAGAATGCCTGAACACGAAAATNACAATTCTGTGCACAAAATTTCAGCTCAATCGAATGTAATTGTGAAGAGTTATCGAATAAACGGACGGCCGGACACACTGACCGATTCTATAGTGTACTCTTTTTTTTTTGAGTACACAAAAATGATAAAACAATTCAATATAACGCTTTGCCATTTATTTTTCATCAGCCAATCAAGTGCTCTAGTAAACTACTGATACGAAAACCAACTAGTGACTTTGCATCATCGAACATCTCCTTTGAATTAGATGACAAGTGTTCCTTGAGAGTACACCCACGTTCACACTCTTAAGAATTACGCAGGAGTTAGCTCATGTTCGCAGACAATATTTGCTATGGCATCAATGGAGAAAAAAAATATTCTTTTGAAATTATGTGAATCATAAATAACAATACAAGACATTTCTCAGAAGAGGTTGCCAGTGGCGTACACAACTATTTCCGACAACAATTATTTTAATATCACCAAGAAATTATTTTGTTTTCAACATCTTTCATGTATATACAGAGTTTATTGACGTAGTTCGGATTGTTGAAAATTAAAAGCATATTCAACATATTAAAATTGCAAGACAAGATTACGTCGACTGTTATTTGTCTAGCATTGAGAATTAAAGTTTTTGTTAGTGTGACGTAATTTGTAAATTTCCAACGAATTTTCAGAAGAAAAAAAAGGTAAATTTGGTAGAAGCAACAACAATGTTGACTTATTGAGGCAGGTAGGCAATGTATGCTACCACATGATTATTATTTTTTCTTCTATGCTGTGAGACAGACAAAGCTGTTTGAAACTGAAGAAAAAGAGTAAGAGAAAGAAACAAAATTTTATCGTGTTTTATTCACAAAATACATGCGCCGATTGAAATATCATAAATAAAAAAGCAAGATTGACATGGCTACTGGTAGTTCATTGCCTAATAAAAAATGTACAATTATCTGGTTGGATTCGGAAGCAAATAACAGTGAAGATAATCTTTTTACACAACAAACTCTATTTCAAGTTTTTGATAATGTTGAAATATATGACAGTGAGAATGAATGCCAGCAATTGATTGAATCAAAGTCAAACAATTCATTTTTAATTATTGTCAGTGGTAGATTAAGTCGACAAATAATACCCAATATTAATGAACTTCGACAAGTTTCTGGTATCTATATATATTGTATGGACAAAAGTAGACACGAAGAATGGTCAAAGCAATATTCTAAAGTAATTATAATTCTTTTTGGTTTTTTTTATTATTTCAATTTCACTTTAAAAAAATTTTCCCTATAGATCAAAGCTATTATTGTTGATTTGACTGCACTCGTTTCCCAAATTCGATCTGATCTAAAAGAATTTATACAGAACAAAAGACCAAAACCAGTAGTACCACAAATTACACCTGCTGTTACTCCAAGTAAGTCAATACAAAATGATTTCAGATCATTTCGTATGACATAGCATACCTAAAATTTAGATCGTTGTTGGAAAGATTTACTCAGATTTTTCAGAAAATGAGTGGTAAATTTTGTTTTTCTATCACGATACGGATGTATGCTCAGCTCGTTTTATTGAGATTGAGATCAGACTACATTAACCGAGATCATAATTAGAACTAAATAGCCTGGGTGGTATGCATCTTTAATACTGAAAAGCTCTAATCATAAAGCATACAATTGTTTTAGAGAGCATACCATGACACTTGATGAGACTTATTTAAAATTTTTGAATTTTATTAGGTAATTTTCTTAATTACACTGAGAGATTCATGAATATCTATTTTTATATATACTTATCTAAGTCACCATGATTTAGTATTACTTTGGAAAGAATGATTTTTTTCCATCATAAATTATGGAACAGACATCATTTTTTCTGAATTTTTCAAAAGGTTACAAATGAATGCTACATAACTAGAGATTCGTCAAATTTTATTACTAGATCCAAATCATGTATCGTCGACACATCGAGAAGAAGAAGCACTTCGAGAACTTGAAGAAACGCTAGGTGCTACGTCAATAAATGACACGAAATGTCCATTCGCTGACTATCAGAAAGTGCCATTAGTCTCTCTTGAAGAAGCTGTTGCTCCTCTTGTCGATATTGTTGATAAAGTCGAACAAATGGTTTGGATAGTGAAACAAAATTGTGACGATAACCCAACAGATGGTCTAACCAAAGATGAATCAGCTTCAATAGCACTTTATACAATGGAATGGTATTCGAAAGAAATGTCTTTTCACTATATTCTCAATGAAACTTTAAGCTCAGAGAACAAACAACAAATAAAACCGTGGCTTCTTTATTTGAAACTGATGTTAAAGGGACTATCAAAATTACCATCCTTATCTCGTGTTGTTTATCAAGGAGCGAATTCAGATCTTAGTAATCAATATCCTAATGGGAAAACGTTTTGTAGCTGGGAATTTTCAAACTATGCATCATGTATAAAAGTACTCGAGGATGAAGAAGATTTTGGTAAAGAAGGCCAACGAACGCTTTTTACAGTTGAATGCCGTGTAGGTAAAGCTATTGGTCCACACGCACACGATCAATCAAAAGATCAAATTCTTCTTTTGCCTGGCCGACAATTACAAGTTGTATCTTGTCTTAATGCAGGCAACGATCTTACTATTGTTCAATTACAAGAATTGGAAACATCCTATAAGTTAAAATAAGTGAAAAGAGCTCGGCGTTTTTTAATTCGTGCTTTTTTAATCAAACTTTGTTTGTTACTATTTTTCTTCATTTTTTCTGACTTGAAATATAATTTAAAGAAGCCTTTATAAAGATTGTATCACTTTTTTCTAATAGAATATGAAAAAAATTTGATTACTCATTAAATTGATAATATTGCCAATGAAAAGTTTTTAAAAGTAATAATCGTTCGCTAAAATCTGCTGTATGGAATTTTATCCTATCAGTTTAAAACTCCTAGACAATATTCTACAGTGTAACTTTCGTCGAATTTTCTTCTACCAGTGTAATATAAAAATATTTTATATGCAATCTTTGCTTTGTACAATTAGTTATACTTCATGTTTAGCTGGAATTCTGCCTGTAGTATTTTTGCAATATGAATTTATTTGTAATAAGAATAATGAATGGTCGTCTGAAGTTTATAGTTAAGAAGATTAATGCGGTTGAGAGTTCTGGTGGAATAGAATCGTGCTAGATTAGTGTCACATCGATTCACTTTCAAACATCTATAACGAGCAACAATAAAATGTGTTACAAAGTAATTTTAAGGAGAATTTATAAGCATCTATAGATGTTATAATAGATTGATCTATTCAATTTTAATTGCATTGGAGAGAGCTCAATAGAAAATATTGAGATTGCTTCTTTCTTGCAACATGTTGAGTATAGAGAATATATCACAAATACAGAATAAGTCGTTAGCGCTTCATTTATATTACATACATGATTCGCATCGACGAAGATGCCGAAACGGGTTACATGAATTTCGGCCCACGGAATTTTCGGACCAATTTTATACAAATTCATTAAACTCGGAGAAAAAACGAATTTTTTTGAAAATTGGTTTCTAGATTTTTTAGTACCGAGCGAAGCGTCGTAGTGCTGAGCGAAGCGGCGTTTTTCATTCCATAGAAGAAAAACTAGTTGAAATAAAAAAAACGAATTTATACCTAATTTACATCTCAACAAATTTCGAAAAATATACCAGCAATAGTGAATTCTACATCTAAAATAAAACTAAAAAATGTGCATCCTTAAGTCAATATTGAGATCACACTAGATTCGTTCGTGCTTGTTGTGGATAAACGATATGTATCTTAAAACGCCATACTATGTTCTATAATAATAGAAGTGCTGTTTTTAACACTATATTACTTCGCTCGGCACTAAAAAAAATCTAGAAACCAATTTTCAAAAAAATTCGTTTTTTCTCCGAGTTTAATAAATTTGTATAAAATTGGTCCGAAAGTCCGACCCGAAAGTTCCTTGGGCCGGAATTCCGGTCTCCCGCTAAAACTCAATGCATTTATAAATTCATCAGGAAATAATAACAATCAGTATCTCTATTAAACAGAATGGAAATTTTAATATAGGCCAGTGAAACTAAAACGTATTGTAATGAAACTCACATTAAGTTACACAATACATAGATATGCTGAACAGCATGAATAATATATATGTTAATCAACAATATCAATCTACGAATTCCTTTTTTTTTTGAGTTCATATTCAATTTCAATTGGAAATTTATCTTTCACTGAGTAATAAACTCATAAAAAATTTTAATTTTAAATTAATATCCATCAACTGCTGATAATACTTGATTACTAATCACTCGTTGACGTCTGAAACAAGTTACACAAGTTTGGCTAAGAACATAAATCAATTGTTGCCGAAATCGTCTTGATACAGAAACGTAAATATAAAATGGAGCCTATAAAAAAGATACGAATAAGTTAAAAATAGCAAATGTTAAATAGATCATACTAACTGCAAAATATGAATAATAAACGGCTATAGTTAAAGATTCAGCAAATTGTAACTTGGCAGCAGCAACTGGACCGTCTCTTAAATTTAAGATAGTTGCCACAGTTACATACATGTTATAAGGCATCATAACTGTAAAACTATAGACAATTTGTACAAGAGCTACGTGTATTGGTCAATTGTTTATCTAATTCACGTCGAACAATTTGGAACTGTTCGATAGGTTAGTTCTGGAGCATTTTTATATGCTAATGATCCAAAAATAACAGGAATAAACACTGGTAGAAAACCAGCTAGTACTAAAAAGTAACCATATGCTTTGTACTGTTGATATATGCTATTAGTAATAATATAAATAGGTTGATTTGAAAGAGCTGAATGGCCATAATTCGAGTAAATAATTGAAGGAATCTCGTGCAATATTGAAAAGATCAAAGATGCTGAACAAAGATAATATTCTGTTTTTATATTAATCCACTATTGTAATCGGTAACGAGATGATGTTGCTAAATATTGATCAGTTGTTGCAAAAACATAAACATTCATATGAAGTTAATGTACAAATTTAAATACAATACGATCTAATCTTACAATAAAATAATGAATTATGCGTCCAATCAATATTATATCCAGCATTTATCATTCGTGAAAGATTACCAGTAAGTAATTGACCAATATTAAACCATGGCATAATCATTAGATAGAGTGAACATGATTTTTTTCGAAAAGTTTTTAGACTTAAAAATACAATAAGATTAAATATTCCACCAAAAAGTAAAATTGGAATGCTCATATAAAAAGTAATTTGTTCAGAAAGATGAACGAAGAATGAAACCATCGAAGTTATCATCGACAATGAGATGTATTGTCTTTGAATTTATAATACTATATGTCTATATTAAAATGCTTCAAGTATTTTACTAACTATTCGGCTATGGTAACTCTCAATGTATTATCCAAGATTTTATCATCCTATTCGAAGTGAAAGAGAAAAACGAATCGTTCAATAATATTGTAGATTATATAAGCGTTATTATTTAGTTAGGAGCATAATATGAAGTCATTATTAAAAATAATGAGCAATTTATCTTCAAGTCTACGTGAATGCTACAACTTGTATGATCTCTGAAAGATTATATTAGTTTCATTATTCATAACCGAGGTTTACTAAGTTGTATTCTTTTTTTCGACGTTCGTTTCTATAAAATGATACGACAATGCAACAAAATATATTCATCAGTGATGTAATAAAATAGAGCCGAAGCTATTTATTTCTTTTTCGTAGAAAAGCTGCGCAGGGCAGGCATGTATACTTTTATTTTCTTTATAAAATATTATTTAAAATAAGTCGAACACTTATTATCGTAATCCGATTAGATATACATCAAATTTATAAAAAATACGAGTTTCATATGAGAATAGAATCTCGAAAATCAACTGGAATGAATATGTTAATGTATACATTTTTTTCCCCATTATAAATGTATGCCCTTGAGGAATAAAATTTTATTGTCGTGTCAGTACCAGGGACTCCGATTAGAGGGGGGCTGTGGGGGGCTGGCCCCCCACAAAATTCAAGAAATAAAGTTGTTTCTGCGAAAATCTTTCCTAGATTTTGGGTTATTCGAAAACTCTTGGTTGCCGTACGTCTGTGTACCGCCAATTAAGATGTTTTTTTTCTAGTAAAAATGTTGTTTTATGCATCCTATTGTTAAATGAACATTCTCGTTCTGCAGTTATTCGTTTCTATTGGTGACTCCGCTGTTCATTTTCTATTCGTGCCAGAAAATCTTTAATTTCTACCTTTTACTTCTGTCGAAAAATCTAGCCATTCTATTTATTTCTGTCAGAAAGTTCACTTGTTCTATTTGCTATTTCTGCCAGAAAATTCACTCCGCTCTATTTGTTATTTTATTTCTGGCCGAAAGTCTATTCAGTCTATTTGTAATTTCTGCCAGAAATTTCACTTCACTCTATTTGTTCAAGATTTCATAAAACATCCAGGGCGTGCAAAATCACGAAATGTAACATTATTTTTTGAATTTGATCAATTGAAACAGAAAGATGATGAGTTCTGAAAAGTTTTTTGAAATATTTCTTTTTATAAATATGTTGTTTTTACTTATTTTTAATAAAAATGAACTTGGATCATCTATGCTAGATGATGATATTATAAATCAAGGATGTTCCTTTTGACATATACTGGCTGCCAGAATAAATACTTTCTGCCAAAATTTAGTCCCCCTCACTTCGAAAAGTAATCGGGAACCATGGTAAGTACACCGGAGAATAGTCGCATGTTATCGGCGGAAACATGATTTAAGCTTAAAGAAACTAATATCTGCAAATTCTTAAGTCTTAGATTAATTATTTACTATAAAGAAAAAAATAGAATGAAATCTGTTTCAATGGCAGAAAAGACGAAAATAACTAGTTCGTACTATTCGCAGTACTGTGACAAAAAATACAATGCTATAATGTTTTAAATCATTATTATTACGATGATTAGTATTGCCATGTGTCGCATTAAAATTTGTGGGTTCACGGATGTTTTGAATAATCAAAATGTTCAACAAATAGTTTTCTTCATTCAATCGAACACCATCTACGGACAAACTCATCTGAAAATGCAAATACTTTTGATAAAATTGCAGAGATCTTGAGGTTTCCCTTGCCTGTTTTCATTAGTTGGCACTCAATCGATTAAAAATTGGGACACAGCAAACCTTTACAAAAATACCTTCGGAGTCTTTCATAAATAAAGCGCAGTTCAACAAAAACAACCTCAATAAAAGTTTGAGTTTGAAGATTCCTCATTGCTGTTATTTTCAGATGAATTGGCATGTAAAATGTATTCAATCGAACTCAAAAATTTGATTTTCTCGACAGATCTTGTTCTTTAAATTTTTAATGAAAAAAAATCTTTCTCTACTCTCTAATATGAATAGAAATCATCTAGAACTTTGTTTTTATGACTATTGCTTAACATTAACGAACTATTCATCTTCTGAATGAAGTATCAAAAGACAGGTCCTTAATAATTAAAGAAAAGTCTCTTCTTGATATGAAGTTATTCGAATAATGAATATTTTTCTTAGAAAATTCATTGAATTTGTAGCATTGTTGTTGCTTCATTATACATTATTTCAAAAACGATTAATTTATTTCGTTTAAAAAGTTATTATATAAAATCAATGGATTAACAGTTATTGTTTTTCTGCTGAAATTATAGTAATTGTCATCATCTAATATGGCCGACGATATGAATGAGTTTTTGATGATGGTTTAACTTTTGATTTCATCCGCTGTACAAGTGATGATCGAGCGGGTGATTTTGATTTAATACATGTCGCCAATAGAGAACCAGGTGATCCACTACATTGACCAGGATAACGAATTTTACAAGCATGTTTACAAGTTTTAGCTGAGCACGTTGGTAAACTAACTGAACCTTGATATCGTTTAATGCATCGATTGCCTTTGCAACATGAACATGAACATTGACTTTTGCTATTCGTTATAGTAAAAAGAATACAAAATAGAAATAATAATACAATCAACAGAGTACGACGAAACATGTTTACTATGAAATGAGTCGATAGAAAGAGAAATATTCGTATCTTTAGCCTTTCTAAATAAATGCCTATAGTTTATCGAGTAAGCAAGTAGAAGAATGCCATTTTTGTTTGTTTGTTCTATCTGTAACAGTGTATGATTCGATAATAAAGTTTAATTTTAAGGCAATGCCTACTCGAATTACTGACAGTTATGCAGCGCTTTTTTGCAAATAGAATGATCGAAAAGATTAAATAATATCATTTTTCTCGTCATTGTTTAGGGCAATACTATTTTTGTTGTTGCACCATTGATTTTTATTTTAAAACTGTTTTCTGTAGATTAGATTCACAATGCACTCTACATCTATGTAGATATGCCAATTGAACACAGCTACAAATCTTTACATTTTATATTTATACAAACGGATTATGTATCAATAATCCATATTACATATATGCATGTGAAAAATTTACATGAATTTAGTAGTTTACATTTATTCAATAGTTGAACAATAAATGAATAGAAAAACAAGTTTTTTCATGTAACAGTTTTATTGACATTTTAAAATCGATCGACCGGTAAAACAGGAACCCGTTGCTTGCTCGCTAGGACAGTTGTGCTCGTGAATGGGAGGATCGCTTAGAGTCAGTGATAGAATTGAGAACTAAGTTGATAGAACTGATTAATTCACATGAATCGACGATTGATGATCATTATCGTTATAATTAGGGATGTTCAGAGATTATTGCATGAGAGCAGGTACAACCGCGACACAGCGCACTACGAAAAAAACCCATGCCAAGTAATGCCTCCACATCCTCAAAATACACATACGTACATCACAGACTAATTGAAGTATTTTGGAATTTTGTACGCTTGCCGATTAGGGACGGGATAGTAGAGGCTATCCTCGCCCCAAATTTAAATTCTATCAATTTTTGCGCGAAATTCCCTAGTACTTTCTGCCGGGTTTTTGCAAGTTTGGTAGAAATTGCTATTAGGAACGTCGTTTTCAAGTACTAATCACCAACTTTCTGGTAGAAAATCGAAAAACAATATCCTGTTAAAGCAAATCTCTCAAATAATCTGTGAACTTAACGTTTGTCCGTCAGTTTCTGTGGAGAAATAAGATGAAGCACTTTCTCTCGAACTTTCAACCCATGACACTCTTCAAAACAATCGGCAACGCTAGATATTTTTTACCAATGCAGAGTCTCTTTTCTCTTCTACACTGCTAATCATTGCTCTTATTGTTATTAATAAATAGTTACATGTCTTATTTATATAATTTATATATTTCCTTTAAATATTTTTGTCAGCAACTAGCCTAGCGAGCAACTAACCTGTACCCCAGTAAAAAATCCTCTTGCATAAAACTATTTTACTAAGAATTCAAACAGTAAATGATACATGATTCACTATCAGAATTTACAATATGTGATGTTTTTTTCTCTAGATAAAAATCGAATGAACTCTGATAAAATAAATATCACTATATGATACATTTCATGTTAATTCGATAAGACATTTCTTGATGATTCTGCTTAAGTTATAGACGTGTGATTATCAAGTTCAAACCCCGTTAGAATACTGCCAAAACATCAAGTAAATTCGATTAAACACAAAGATACTGTATCTATATCAAAGACAGTTCATGGTCCAACATCACTTCAAGCTCATAATGCTATATTTATCGTTTCCATTATTCATCAAAGGTCCTTTTCACATCCATCACAAGTCAGCTGATCGACCTGAACTCGTTCATAATTGCAAGGAAATTTACACAACAAAAGCTAAAAAATTATCCATTAGAGAAGAATTTGAATAGGCATTTAATAGCAATAAAGCTGCATGCTATAGAAAATAAACAAGTCTGTTTAGAAAATGATAAATAAACTGTAAAAAGTTCAACATTATAATATTCGTTTTCCTCTTTCATCGTTGCAAACTATTCCTACATTCTACGACCTCCACTTCTAGATACGCATTATAATACAGTTGCTGATATCAACAAAATTTAATTCAATGTGCTTTCACCAGTCACGGAGTAGTTGACGCGTCAATGGTGGTTGAAGCAGATGCTGACGTAACTTCTGTAGCAGTGCTTTGACCAGCCACGGAAGCAGTTGCCGTTTGACAGGTGGTTGAACCTGATGGTGTTATGTTGTGCTCTGGTGTTGTTAAATTCCCAACTATCGTTATTTGAGTCGTGTCTATTGTTGTTAGTCGATATGGCGTTGCTGATATACCAGATGCGGTAGTTGTCGTTGGTGCAGCTGTAGCTATAAGAAAGATGAAAATGTACCACTAGAAAATATTCATTATCTAGAATGAGGCATACTCGTTATAATGAGTGTTGGGTTTTGTTTGCCGAAGGTGTCTAAGTTTTTAGTTAAGAAATACAAATTCAGTTTTAGTAGAATAATTTCATGACTTACAAATAATTGATCTTAGTGCTAGTATTATAATATTATTGATTGGAAAAGGCTGTGCTGGTTGTCTTATATTTCTGAGTATAGGTATAAAAGTGTTTTGTTGGCAGTGACGATCACATGTGGAAAACACACCAATGAATCGAATAACCACAATAAGTACATATTGAATTATGCTTCTTCGTCGATTATGGTTTTGTGATGAATTTTCGAGTGATGTAAAGGATGCTTTGATAACGTCGATGTCTATAGTCGAATTCAAACAATCTTTTATCTAAAATATAAAAATCGCCACAAATTGTAAATGAGCTGATTTAGCTTATAGTATATACTAACGCCATTTTTTATATTGGCGAGTGAAGCTTCATCAATAATCGGACCATCAGTAATATTTGTTGTGTTTTCTGTACTGTAGCTCAAAGTAAATAGTGATACTAAATAACGCTAAGAAGTAGAACTATATAAATAAATAAAAAATTCTTACGTGGAACTGAGTTTCCAATACCGTCCATGTCTAATTTATTTATCCTATACTTAGCGTTTCCTCTTGTATAAGTAGATTCATTGATTTTACCATAACCGAGGAAGGTTGCATACAAATCAGTTACACTTTCTTCTAAACATAGCGGCGAGCAATATATTGGATACTGCATTCTAACTGTAACAATTAACTGGCTATCAATTATCATTTGTGTGAAACGGCTATCAACAATAATAAATGGAACATTCTTAAGTTTGTTGGTAAGACTGAGCATTTGCTGAATCTGTATGATAAAAATAATCATTATATAGGTTAAAGAATTCGAAAACTAAATTATCAAAATTTCTAGTATAATTATTTGTGAAATCGTTTTTTAGGTTCAATAAAATTTTCAACATATCTTTCTGTGGGTTAATATTCACACACTTACTAGTTTATACAACGATTCTTGTTCACCGGTATTTTGTATTTGTCGTCGTTTACGCTGTGGCCCGAAATTAGATTCCAAGTGCATACCGAATATAAAATCGGTCGGATCTTTAGATTTGAAAATATTCATTGTGACAATAAATATTAACATTAAAATTATTATCCTACCTTGAAGTTGATTTTCAACAAATGATAAACTTAGTAAATTTACATTTTTAAAATTTTTATTAACATTAAAACCAATATTTTCATTGAGGTTTGAAATTGATATATTATGTAATGTCTGTGTATAACCTTGAATTTGTAAAATGGAATCCATTGCCTTATTTTGACATGCTTCTTTGCAAAAACTTGAAAAAACATATTTTCCTAGCATAAATAATTTTTGATTTGAATTATCGCTAGAAGAAAGAAATAAACAATATGTAAAATCATGTGTGCATACAGTAAAACAGCGACAATTCAAAGTTCGAGCAATTATTTTCAGGAATTTCTGCTATATCCTATAAAACTTGTTATTGTACCTACTCAATAGATCCAAAGATATTTCTTCAGTGTAATAAAGTTTTAACAACGAAGAAAAATTTATACAAAAATTGAACTATTAGAGCACAACAAAGTCTAATTTGTGTTGTTTCGATATTTAACTAGATATATATTTTTTGTACTGGATCCTTCATATATTTAGGAAGAATGCTACCGATGGTTTTAGAAAAATATGCGCTTGCTGTCGATAAAAATACACTCTTTTTAAAACAACAACGGAATTATCTATGTGGATATATTTCCATAGATTTTGATTGTATATGAATCAGGTTCAAGCGAAGAGTATCAGAGTCATAGACAGCCGAAAACAATTATATATAATATTATACTGAAGATTCAAAATTAATTTTCATCAAACGTGGATGTCATGGAAGGCACATATGTGTGTATTCAATAAAGAGTTGTGGGCTGATTTCAGATAGGATATTCTTGTTTTTGAACCCTGAAGTTCTACTTAACAAAGTTTTCGCAAAAAATCCTTCCTTGGCGAGTCTTTTGGTATTATAGGGGAAAGAAGAGCTTCATCAAATATTGAAACATAGTTTGTTCAAAAAAACTGAAGATAATTTTTTTTGAACTATATGAAAACTAAACGCTTCGATCAGCTATACACTGACGAAACAGTGTTCTGATTATTTTGTTTTCAATCTCGTGTTCATGATGAGAGAAAAATGTAGAAGAATATGTTGTTCGAATTTTGATTTATGGTCACATGTAGAGTTTCACTTACACATATGCTTCGTCGATAATGATTTGAACACTCATTGGTAATTTGGTCCAGTGGGTTAATGTAGCACGAATCTAATAAAATTTCATCTATAGTATTTGTTTTTTAATGTTTATGAGATACTAACAAATTGCTGTAGTACAGGAAAACTAGTTGAATCTACTGGATCAACATACGATGTAATGCTACGCTTTGATATTGTAGAAAACTGAGAAACACTTTGAAACGACCGTGTCCTACTTTAAAACATAGAACTAGATTCAAATACTGTAGATTTAAAATAAAGAAATACTTATCTTGATACGAGACAGTCAAATGACTAGGTGGAATATAGATTGGGATAAGTGCTAATACTATTGCAGAACCGACTATCATGCCAGAAATAGAAAGGCACAAGATGCCCGCAAATGACCAGTATACGTTCATAGTGAGACGATAGGTTTGGCAATAAAGAACTTGAATATGGTTGGTGAGTGTTACTTTATATCAACACAAACAAGCAAGAAATATAACAGTTGTGAAGTCATGATCGTCCTTGAATTGGCACAAAATTGTGAACTGATAGAAGATAAAAATAGAAAGCAAATTATGTTTTTCTTGGAGGCAAAGATATTGATGCCATCAACAACATTGACATAAAAATTTAAAAAAATTACTAATAGACAAACTCACACGAATATTAAAAAGATCGTTGTGTTATAAATAACATTAAACAGTACAACACTTTTGGGAAAAATTTACATCAAAGCAAGAAAACACTTTTTTTATCAATTTAATTTATTTTATCTACAATAGACATCAGATTGATACTATAAATCATCGGAATTTTTCCTAATTGTCATGAGAAGAAAACATTTCGCTAGTGTCAATATGCTTAGAGGAGTAATGTTCTAGGCACAATAATGCCTCGTATGAATTCAACACTAAAATCTGAATCATCAAATAACATCAAAACCTCATTTTTTTGAAACACAGAATATCACAAGAGCTCCGATCACATCTAACAAGCATAAATTATGCTGCTACTGTTTGAGTTGAATTACAACAAAATAGAAGATTCGATATTTGTTGTACATGCAAACAACGCTTATCAATAGTTTAGAAAGATTGGTACTTTTGGTGATATACAGTGGCTGCCAAAATTGTCCGACAGCATGTAATTTGGATTTTATTTTGTAGTCGAAAGTCGTAGAAGAAGTCCAAATAGTGATTTGAGTAGAGAAAGTTGTTTCCATTAAGACTATGATAAAATGATGGTTATCAATAAATTCCCAAAAACAGCACATCAAAAATAGCAAAACACTAGTTTTTCAAAACCTTATCGTCGCAAAAAATACGTCGTTTTGTTTATCTACATCGATAAAGCAGCCGATTCTCTACAAAATGAGACGTCCCCGAGCTTTCTATGACATTCCCATCAAAAGCTATAAGCATCACAAAAACCCAAAAATGCAGTTTTTCGGTAGTTTTTGCTAAATTTCACGTTTTTTGGGTTTTTGTGATGCTTATAGCTTTTGATGGGAATGTCATAGAAAGCTCGGGGACGTCTCATTTTGTAGAGAATCGGCTGCTTTATCGATGTAGATAAACAAAACGACGTATTTTTTGCGACGATAAGGTTTTGAAAAACTAGTGTTTTGCTATTTTTGATGTGCTGTTTTTGGGAATTTATTGATAACCATCATTTTATCATAGTCTTAATGGAAACAACTTTCTCTACTCAAATCACTATTTGGAATTCTTCTACGACTTTCGACTACAAAATAAAATCCAAATTACATGCTGTCGGACAATTTTGGCAGCCACTGTATAAGAATTAAAGCCTTTTTCAATGCTGGCAAGACTATTCACAGTTGTTTTCTTCTCGATATCCATTGCTATTCTGAACGGTAGATAATTTTTATCTTCTATTTTAACTACATTAAAATTTCTTTTGATATTTTTTTATTTCGAGAAGAAAAGTACAAAGTAAACTGTAATGTGAAAAACAGAATGAGGAAGTAGCCAAATACATTATTTTCTTGATGGTGTTGGACTGTTCGAATAACCCAAAACAACTTTCTTTGACAAAATAAGTCAATGGTTCGTTCGTGTTAAAATATTGCGAAAAACAATTACTATTGAAAGTGATATGATCTTCACTTAATTAATGATCATGACTTTCAGCACGTCTGACACATGTAAAATAGAGATTCAGAATATTCAATAAAGATGATATCAACTGAATTATATTTCCGCTTTGTATGCAACATGCATATATGTTAGAAAAGTGTTAATGTTCGAAATCTTTAAATAAATCTATCTATAAAAGTACGCTGATTTTGCTGCGTATAATGACCCTAGTTTTTTTGGTTGTTGAATTTGATCTTATTCAAATAAAAATGTCATTATGCATAATATTGATTATTTTAACAGAACATTCTATTGACTGTATCGCAAAATTTACATTTTACAGTTGACTTTATCAATACTATTTTTCAAAGCATCATAGTAGCAAAGCAACGTCGAATTTTCTAAATGCTTTTTCTTTTCTTTCTTTTTTACATTTTGAACATTTGTATGCGTCACACAGGTACTTGAAATACATTGAAAAAATCATTTTTCTCGTTATACACTTTCCTACCAATCCATTTTCTCTGGCACTCTTTCAACATGCACATTCTAAATGCGTGAAACAGAAGCACTTTTATTATAAATGAAGTTTGCCTTTCAACAACATAATAAAGCAATAGTAAATATGTCAATAGGTAAACCATCAGACAGCTGACAATAATTGCTTTTATGCAGATGATGATCGCATAGTTTTCTTTTTAAATTTTATGAATATATGAAAATTGACTGAATACTACATAAATAAGTGTATTTATCTGGTTGAATATTGCTGCATTTGTTAATTTCAAAAAACCATTGAAATTCATTATTGATGTATTTATTCAAAGTCAGTCACAATTCAACATGTCGGCAATCGATTTCGGAAGGTATGATCCTTACAAATGATATTTGATCTTAATTAATGATTACCAAACATATTTTAGAAATTTACTTTTTTAACAACGAGCTCTGTTCATAGTTTGTTTATAAGTGAAAAACATACAAAAACATTCTCCATGTAAGTTTATGCGTTGTCAAGAGCGGTTTCTTCTCTATTCGTTTTCCTCATACGTAAGTATAAGCAAGACAAGAGTAGCGATGGAAACGCTTTGAACAAAACAAAATTTAGTCGAATGATTGATTGTTTTTGCGTGTTCATGATCAACAGTTTCATTATCAACAATGTCATGTTCATTCATTGTGAATTGAACAGTTTTTCTTAGATACCATAGCTAACATAAAAAATATTTTGCTGGATAAACTTTTGAATTTTTCTTGTCTAGTTATTTGTATCATGATCAGTAAGATGATATAGAGAACTTGATTTTATAGCATCGATTTTATATTTTTTATGGTCTTATTGAAAAACATACTTTTAGATGTGTTACAAGTCAAATTTGAAGATATGAAAGCAATTTATAACCATGTGATAAGCGAGTTGACATTGAAATGATAGATTTACAGATACTCATTGCGAACGTTTGTGCATAGATTATGCCAAATATATACTATCTATCAATAGGAATTGATTTCACGAGAAATCATTTTAGAACAACGTTGAAGTATATAGAGTAAGAAATCAGTCTCGATCATAAATCTCAACTCGTTGTTTATAATGGTTTTCGAAGATTCAGAAATAGAATATTGAAAAAAAACGTCATGCTCGTAAATAAAAGCGACAAAATAATTTTTGACTGATTACAAATAGTAGTTAGGTACATTATTTTTTTCTATATTTTTATACTCTAGTAGTGACACTAATACTTATTCTTCTTTTATTTTTATTCTAGATAATTAAACATGGTGTTCGATTCAATGAGCGAATCAGCTCTTTTTGAATTCGGACAATATTTAAATACAAATCCCTATCGAGAACATGCAATACGCAAATCATCTACTCATAAAATAATTCCTGCTTCAGCTAATCCACAACGATTAAATCATAATAATAGATCATCAGCTGCCACTTTTAATCAATTAATGAATAATCGAAAAAGTTCATTTACAGTCGATCGTATTGCCTATAAACTTCGTATGAAATCGGACTTGAATGTTGATACCTTACGTAATACTCCTATGCATTCTCGTCGAAATTATCATGAATCTCTTTCATATAAACCACAAAATAATTCTAATCCAAATATTCATGAAGCAGTCAATATTGTTCCATCATCAGCAACAACAAGAACATATCCTCGACAGCCAACAGCTGTTACACGGATAACAAATACAATGAAAACATTAGTCAATGAAGAAATCAATGGCATTGAAGGAAATGCTGTGCATGTTGGAACACTTGATGATCTGATAAAACAATCTCATCATGAAGAATTTCGTATCTATCATCGTGCTGTCGAATTTTTAGACAATGCATCTTCTTATTTGCAAAGTAATCGTTTAATAAGCGAACGATCCGCCCTAAAGCCAACATTATTTTCTGCAGAACGTACTCAAAAAAAACCTCAAGCATTAACTGTCTATCATTTTAATGCTCCAACCGCCGTATCACGTACATCATCTCAACAATCTCACACAAATCGATATCGAATGAAAGAAAAACTAAATAATATCGATCTTCCTTTAATAACGACTCAACATAATCATCGGCCAAATTCTTTGGAACGACAACGAACATTAATGAGTTCTCGTCATAAACGAATACAAGAATCACGTGAAAAAATCTTAATGCACACGGAGAAACAAGTATGTAATTGTAATAAATTAACTATTCGAGACCCATTTAATTCTGAACAACAACAACAAACAATTGTATCTTTAACAAAACAACCTTCAGTTAGATATATATTTCCACCTGTACGGCCATTTGGATATTTTACAAGAAAATCACTTGACAACTTACCATGTGCAACGTCATTATCTACGAAACATAAACTTGCAATAAAGAAAAAACGACCACAAATATCAAAAGGTTCATTCGAATCACTCAATCAAGGCGTATCAGATGATGATGATAATTCACAAGTATTTAATGATACAATCAAATCGTTGGTCAGTTTCAGTGATGCAGATGATGATTCACAAAGCCCACCAAGTACAAGAATTAATTTTGATTTAAAACATAATAAGCACTAATCATTTTTCTCTCTCTCTCTCTATACATATCATCTTTATTGTATATCATTATGAAAACAAAAAGATTTTTTTTATAAATAAATAAGTAGTTTATGTCACATAAGTAGTATGTAGGAAAATTATGATAGATCAAATGTTTGTTTGTTTTTTGTTAGTTTTAGTTAGCCTTCTATTGATTAACCTGGATCGAACAAAAATATTGATCTTTTATATTTCACTATACATCATTTTTATTCCATATAATCACAGCTGATAAAAAGCGAAGAAAAACAAAATAGAATTCGATTAGGAACATAAAACAAAATCCATTTTAAATAGATAAAAGAAACTAGTTACCATAATGGAAGATACAGAAAAAAAAACACTAGCTCAATAAATATGAGTTCATGCTTGTATTGATGTCATTCGAAATATTTTTCTAGGTAGCATCGAACAAAAATTGAAGAGCATCAAATAAAAATATTTTCTATTGAATACTTCTTTTTTCACTTATAAATATATGTTGATTCAAGTCAATTGTCATGCTTTCGGTAAAACATGGTTTTGAACAATACTCGAATTGAATCGAAGTATCACAATAATAATTCAAATTATATCACTAGAACTGTTGTAATTTTTATATAAACATCTGAAAATTTTTGTATGCGATTATAATCGTGCGTAATAAAATAGTACATTTTGAAAAGTTGACTAAATGATGAAATAATCAAATTGATAGAATAGAGACCATGAAATACAATAATTGTATAGAATATAATAAGAAAATATTTCTCTAATAGAAAATTGACTTCCACCAATTTTCATGTTATACATTGACTAATTGAATTATTTTACAATTGAATCTAATATTCTAGAACATAATCAATCAATAAAAATAACGATTTCATGAATCATGTGATAGATATCAAGCTAATCAAATAATAAAATGTAGAAGAAAACGGATTTGTAAAATAATATCAAGAGTCAGTGGAAATGAATGATTTTAAAGAAAGTTTAATGAACAAAATGATTCTATAAGGTGATATCGATTATTTAAAAATAAAAATGATATCGACATATTAGTGTAAGAAGAGAGAAATCTAAGAAACATACTCATATATATTTGATGAAATAAGCAATCGAGAATGAAAAATTCATGCATTTATACTACAAAAAAGACAGTAAAACAAACATGGAAAATAATTCAGATTAGAAAAGGAATAAAATATCTATGTAGAAATTGAATATTTCTCTAGGTTGATCAATGTCATGGTATTGAATAAGAAAATGATATATTTATTTTCATGTGAATAATAGCAATCCATTGAAAACTTTGCAACAAACAACTAAACAATATATATATATATATATTAGATAAAAAATATGAACCTTCACATCTTACTATCATGTCTGATTTAACCTCGTCCTCGTTCTTTGCTACCTATTCAAGGTACCTAGACAAATCAATGTCACCTTTCTATTCATTTGTTAATTAATGAATCTCTTGACAATCAACCTTCATTATCTACGAAAGGTTATATATTGCATTTAGCTAATGTGTGCACACACTTTTACGCTCTTATTCAAATATTCATTGAACTGTAACAAGGACACTAATCATATACAATCTCGTAACATGAATCGTGCAGTATGATTGCATCATGTGAGAAATATTTTAAATTACCACAAAGTAAGAAAAAAACGGAAAAAAAGGAGAAGAGCAAAACGAAAGAAAAATGCGTATGGAATATGAATTTATTTTAATAAAATGAATATGAAATTAAAGAATAGACACCTACACGATACACAACAAACAAATACGACGAAAAGACACACCTATCTGAACGTTTACACATGCAAAGAGAGGCGAACAAGACGTAGGCACATATATGTGAAAGACATAGGACGATGACAAGAAATAATATTATGAAATTGTAAAGAGATATAAAATGATGTAAAATAAAATGAACCAGTACAAAATGCGTATAAAATGAGATTTAAATGAAAGACCTCAAATAGAATAAAAAGAGTGAGAAAAAGAGTCGTTTGCAACGCTCATAGATCTAGATGTGTTTTTGACAAGTGGTGTGAGCACTTCTTGTCGTTCTGTCTGTTTGATGAGTTTATTCATTCGGGTAGCTGATCGATCGGTAATTTAATTTAGAATCTTCGACCATAGGGATCACCACCCGTCATCCGATTGAAAACACCTCCAAGACCACCTGCCCCAGGTCGTCCAAAGCCACCCGTACCAGAACCAAATCCAGGTCCATATCCTCCATTGCCTAAGAGGTAATCGTCAGTATATGGATTCAAGCCACCTACTGTTGTTGTGACACCAAAACCAATAGGTACACCACAGATTGGAGCATATCCACCTGCTCCTCCTAGGCCACCAAAGCCTCCTAGGCCACCGAATCCACCACTACCACCGAATCCTCCACTACCGCCGAATCCACCACTAGAAAGAAATATTGTACTGATAAAAGATTGAATATGAATTGATTCGCAATGTTTACCCATACGAGCCAAGACCTCCTCCGAACATTCCACTGGCACCACCACCGAATGGAGAACCATAAGCAGCCAATCTATACAATATTTAGAAAAAACATTCATAATGATATAAAAACTGACAAAGAAACAAAAAGAATAACATACCCGCCGCCGAACGAAGCACAGGGATTCGGTGCAGGCATACATGGCTGTTGCATTTGTGGCATTGGCATTGGCATACATGGTTGTTGCATCTGTGGCATTGGCATTGGCATGCATGGTTGTTGCATCTGTGGCATAGGCATTGGCATGCATGGTTGTTGCATTTGTGGCATTTGTTGTGGTACAGGTACAGGCACAGGCACAGGAATACACTGATGAAAAGAAAATATAGATAACCAAAAGTTCATAAAAATAATATGCTCTTGATTTCCATGTTACTCGTTGTTCAACGTAATAAAACAAAAAGTCACCGATTGAAAACTTACTTGAGGAGGACCTTGAACTGGAACTGGTACTGGACATGGTTGTGGAACTGGTACAGGGCATGGTTGAGGCACAGGTACCGGAATACACTGATGAAAAAAAGTAGCAGATATAGTAAATAATTGAACATTATAATATTCTGTTGATTCTTATGTTGATAGTTGATCAACAAAATTGGAAAATGAACTATTGAAAACTTACTTGAGGAGGCCCTTGAATGTGAACTGGTACTGGACATGGTTGAGGAACAGGAACAGGGCATGGTACTGGACATGGCTGAGGAACAGGAATACAACTAAAAATAAAGTGACAAATAAAAAATATTTGTACGAATTCATCAACTTACATAGGTTGACAGATAATACGTTCGACAGGTACAGGAACTGGTACTGGACACGGGCAAGGAACAGGTACAGGTACTTGCTAAAAAAAATGCAAAATAAATTATAAAAAATTTGAAAAAAAGAAATAAAAAATATTACTTGAACTTGATTTGATTGAACTGGAACAGGAACTGGAACTGGGCATAGTTGTCTAAAAAGAATTGAATAGATGATTTTTCTTTTTCTTTTAACTTTATATTAGAATAAAAGAAAGTAACTTACGGTACAGGTATACATTCGCGCACTGGATACGGTACGGGACATGGTTGGGGTACTGGTACGGGAACTGGAACAGGGCATGGTTGTGGTTGTGGTACAGGTACTGGAACGTGAACTTGTTGAATTTGCTGTTGCGGAGGAGGCATACATGGCATTGGTGGGGGCATGCACGGCATTTGCATTGGTGGGGGCATGCATGGCATTTGCATTGGTGGGGGCATGCATGGCATTTGCGGCATTTGTGGNGTTTCCTGCTTGGATTTTGTGGCATTTGTGGCTTTGGCTTTGGCATAGTTGGTTGTTGCATCTGTGGCATTGGCATTGGCATACATGGTTGTTGCATCTGTGGCATTGGCATTGGCATACATGGTTGTTGCATCTGTGGCATTGGTGGAGGCATGCATGGCATTTGCATTGGTGGAGGTGCACAAGGATTTGCACCACCGAATGAAGCACCACCAGCAAATGAGCCACCACCAAAAGAAGCTCCACCTCCAAATGGAGATAAGCCACCGAAGCTGGCACCACCGAAGCTTGCACCACCTGCTCCACTATACGGTAAAGCAGCTTGTCCGAAACCACCAACAGGAGCACCGTACGAACCTAAACCGCCTCCGAATCCACCAGAGAAGCTACCGCCAGCAAATGGGCTTGCACCGTAGCCTGCTAAACCTGCACCACCAAAAGGTTGAGCACCGAAGCTGGCACCAGCTCCATAGCTTGCAATGCTGCTTAATTGTCCTGCACCGAAGCTTTGAGCGCCACCAAATCCTCCACCGAAGCTTTGAGCACCACCGAATCCTCCACCAAAACTTGGAGCAGCACCGAATCCTCCACCGAAGCTTTGAGCACCGAAACTTGGAGCTGCACCAAAACTTTGAGCACCACCAAAACTTGCACCGAAACTAGGAGCAGCACCATATCCTCCACCGAAGCTTGGAGCAGCACCATATCCGGCACCGAAACTAGGAGCAGCACCATATCCTCCACCAAAGCCTTGAGCACCGCCGAATCCAGCACCGAAGCTTGCAGCAGCTGCTTGTTGTGGAAAACCACCAGTGGTTTCAAAACAGAATGCAGTTGGTGGAACACCAGCTGGTGGCGCGACTGGTTGATAACCAAATTGAGCACCACCGCCTTGTGACTGTGCTTGTTGAGTACCAATAGCGCTACTTGAATTATAATAACTACCACCACCACTATATCCTTGTGCAGCTTGTCCATAACCAGCTCCATAAGCACCGCTGCCAGCAGCTGGAGCATTGGCACCACTTGAACTTCCATATTGATTAAGTGTGTCTTGTTGTTGATGTTGATAGCCTTGTCCACGAGGTGGTACACGAATTACTTTGCGAACGACTTGTGGTGGCCCAGATGGTTCAACAACGGTACGTTCTTGAACACGAGGAGGTGGTGTCATTGGTTCTTCAATGATTTCTTCAACAATTTCGCCTGGTTGACGACGAATGTAAACACGTTCAAGAATATCAGGTTCTGGTGTTGGCATTCGGTGTCGAACTTGTCGCACAGCACCTGGTTGGTCTGGTAATCGAATTGCTTGACGACGTATACGTCCTTGGCGACGACGAAGATACATGTCACCTGAATTATCATAACCACCTTCGCTACCATAATGCGATTCACCATAACCACTATAAGCTCCATAAGCTGCACCACCAGCTGCACCACCAGCTGCACCACCAGCTGCACCACCAGCTACACCACCACCTGCACTATATTGTTGCTGTTGTTGTTGTTCATAATAACCACCTACATTGGCTCCAGCTCCTGCAGCGCCTGTCGATACTGTTACTCCTCCAGCTACTGCTGCACCATTTTTTTGAGTAGTTGAACCGGGTTGATAAGTTTTAAAATCATCCGAACTTGATGAACTTGAACTTGATGTCGATCCAGAACTTTTTCCATGACTTTTATGAGTGGCACCAGCACCATTGCCGTTTTGTGTGTAACTACCTCCGTTCCCGTTGCTGCTGCCTCCTTGTTGTCGGGATGACGAATTGTATGTTGTCGTTTGTTGTGTATATTGATTGTACGGACCCATTCCTATGTGGGTTCACTCAAACTATTTCTGTTTTAAATGTATGAGTGTATTAGAGAATATGAAGGGAAGATTGAAATATAGCACAAACTCGACTGCTCTCGATATGTATGTGTATATATATATATATGATGCAACCTTTTTTTGACAACGACTCGGTTTGTCTTTACTTTTCCTTTCTCTCTCTCTCCGTGACCAAAAAAAATAAAATTGTGCAATCAAATCGTTACGGTGAAAGATTTTTGTTCTCTCTTCTTTTCCGATGTCTCTTCTTCTTCTTCTTTTTTCTCTCTATATGTATGGATGAACAATTGTGAAGATGGACAATGCAAGATCGATATCATCTTTATGTTAGTAATATATTATTGGTAATAAAGTTCAAGTTAAGGAAAGTGTAAAGTCAACGAGAAAAATAGTTTTGAAAATATTCAAAATCTCAAGACTCTTACCAGAGATTTAAGCGTCAGATATTCTGTTTCGGCGAGGACGATCAAGTGAATGTGAATCTGATTGATAAAAAACGCCTGTATTTATATGACGCACAGCTTACGACCCTGAGTATCTTTCTCTTTTACTTCTTCATTATCTTTTTCTGCGACCCTGATTGGTCTCGTAGCTGTGAGTGTGAAAAAAAATGGATTCAGAGAACGAAGGACATTCATATTCATACTTGCTCACTCGAGCACGTCAAGGTTTACGGACACAATTGAACGAATAGAATAGCATTTTGACCATAGCCTTGTGTATGGATGAATGATATTGATGCGAGAAAAGAAGCACCCTTTTTTCGCAATTAGAAAGATGTACATGTAGTTGCGCGATCGATTTCAATCGCAAGTATAACACGTGCTCTGCTCGAGCGAGCACACGCTTACGCGACTTTGAGCGAACATGTAAGCAAGCAACGATGAACACATATACATACGTAAAGTTGATTGATGAGACAGTAGCGACGAATGAATAGAATAGACACGCATAGATAGATTACGAGAGCATAATATACATACATTCTTTCGTATACATATATATTTATATATATATATATATATATATAAATATATTCAATGTTATATGAGCATCGATGATGATTTCACACAATGAAAGAAATAAGAGTTAATTTAAATCAGTTTTTTTTTATATCGAAAGCTAGGAGTAAGGAGAGAAAAAAGTTTCATAACGAACATTTATGAATGAAGTTAAAAAATAATAACTTAGTAACATTCAAAGTATTAGTAAAATATTGTAATCATCTAATTTACTTTCGATGTTTAGCATATATTTTCTAAAGCTTTATTTCATCCATATACAAAAGAGAAAACAAAAATCTCACATGTATTTTATTCTGTTTGTATGAATCTATGCTATGCTGGTTTATTCAATCAATAAATAAATCAAAGCTATACAACGATAACTGAACTTCACCTATGATATAATCAATTGAATAACTTTGATATCGAGAAAAAAACAATTTAAGTTGCTGATTCAACTTTAACCGTTATCACCATTTAACTAATGTTCTATTTTATACAAAATTTATTTTCAAAATAAATAGTTCATTCACGTATATACACTCGAATATCTGATGATGAAATGGTTCACAACGAGCCTCACATATTAAGCAATTGATGAAATTTGTCTAGCGAAAGAAAAAGAAATGAACTATATTTTTTCATATAAAATTATAGTTCTATGTATTACTATTGTTATCAGTCATGGCTTTCATTGTAACTCTTAACGATTAGACTCAACAAAATGCAAACAGTAAAATAAATATTCTCATAATTTTATTTTGCTAATTGCTTTGATAGATCTTTAATTATTCTGTTTAATAATTGTTAAATTAATAACTATTTTTTGAATAAAAATCGTTTATTTTTAATTGAATGATTGACTTTTACAAGTTAAGACAATCAAGCAATTAGGAAATCCTCGAACTGCTTGATCATTTATCGAAATTTATAGAACAGATCATAGCCCGGTCTGCGATTAAAAACAATAGAAATATCAATTTATTCAAATTGTTTGATTTTGTTATAAGTGAAAAAAACTTTATTTAGACGCTTTTTTCTCATATGAATCATTTAAATAGTCAATAATATGATGGATTAGCCTTGATTATACAAAAGACATTTTTCATGTGTTGAAATAACAAACATACATATGTGTCACGTTCTAATGTTCTTTTCACTTGTTATCTAACAAGATGAATTCTTTACGTGATGTCTTCAGTGTTAACTCACGTGTCACTAATAAACAAAACTGATACTTAAGAAAAATACTTGAAAAGAGTGTTAACTATGTGGTCTTTCTTGCAATATTATAATAACTTAATTAAGTTTCCTTTTTGTTTCTTACTGAAAATGTTTAATATACTATAATAGATGTTGACAAAATAGTTAAAACTCTTTAACATATCTCACATCCTTTGATCAGTTCATTCCTTTAACGTATTAAAAATTAGATGAAAATTTCTAAGTTTGAGAAGAAAAATCTATGATGCAACATGATTTTTTTATAATTTTTCATTTAAATAACGAGCTATAATAGAGGACATCTTTTGAAAAAAATCTCCTGTTAAACAATACGGAGAAGAAATCAAAATAAGCTTTACGAATGATAGTAGATGGGTGAGCATGTAGTAATTGTTTTTATCACGCAAATCAACTGTTAAAATTCATCTTCAATAAAAACCTTTTAGGTATTGATTACCTTATTCTTGATAAAAACAAATTATCCATATTGCGTTAGATTCAAAGCTTGTCAACCATTGAAATTGATCAAAATTCTATGTTGTACAAATCAATTTAATATCATCCATAGCGTTTATTTTAGCTACGTCTTTTGTCTTCGTTAGTAAAAAATTGACAGTTATCATGTTAATACTAAATGAAGCATTTTCTTACTTTGACAACAATTTAAATTACAACCGAGCAAATCAATCAGTTCGAATAAATTGAAATAGAGATATTCATATTTTTCACATGTAACTGTCACAGATGATCTAGTGCTTCCAAAAAAAAAAGATTCATCTTATACGCGCTAGTTTTAATAAACATTGAAATTGTATTGATTTTGTCAAATGAGTGACCGACAAAAACTGAGCTTCTCAGTATTCTTTTTTATTGTCGATATGATAAACATCTCAGCATATCAAGATAATGTGATTTTTCGATGAGATTTGCGTTCTATTCCCTTCATATCTGAATGTTTCAATTGAACATTATAGCGTCCCTTACTTATCTGGACCGATGAAAACAAATAGATTCAGAACACATTAATATTGTATACAGAGATTTTCCAGTCTTTCTTTGATTCGTATAGGGTCAAAATCTATGATCGGTCTGAAGAGTCGAAAACTTTGTTAATTACACGATAAATGACTATTGATCATCTTTCTTGTCGAAGCAAAGCATCAATGTATTTGTTTTTTGTGCAAAAAATACTTGTGCTTACACTCTGGTTATCTCTCCAGAGAAAGTATTGTCTTTTAAAAGATTGCCAAGATATAATATATTACTTGTAGAAATCGATTCGTATTTTTTTTATTCGATATAGATCAATGTTTTTGTTCACTTGATTTTTTTCTACTCACCTTTCAACATTTTGTGCTTCCTTCAGCGAATAATAAATTTAGATGTGAAAAATTATCAACGTAAATCTAATTATCCAATTTTTTACTTAAAAATCAAAGACAGCGCAGTACAAATGACATGATAAAAAAAACCCAAAAGACGGAGTTCAACGTAAACAAAAAACGAAGAAAGAATACTCTCTAAAGTTTACTTCTTTCGATCAAATCTCTTTTTAACCATGATGGTGTCACAAATGTTTGTTTATTGCTATGAATCATTTTATTGATAGCTTCATAGACTTGTCCATCATTATTCCCCAATACTGAATTAAGTATATGATCGGGTGGTGCAAATACATCAACTAATGTTAGAACTTCATTACGTAATTCATCACATAAATCTATTAAACGTGTTTGCATCCATTGATTAACTTGACCATTTTTAATATAATTTCCTTCAAACAAAAGTCCTATATGTTCTTCAAATAGTTTCAATGTATGTACGGTTAATAGTTTTTCAAGAACTACTCTACATTTGTCATCCATGTCATTGTTTGTTTCAAGAAATTGTGCAAAACGAGTTATAGCTGTATGCTTGAATAAAGTTTAAACAAAATACAATTTATTTGATATTTAAAAGGAAAAAAATGTTTTACTTGAATATAAATTATTGATAATGTTCGAAGATGATAAACTTGAGCATTATTTTTTGAATCAAAAGATGATGAAGTTTTCGTAAGTGTCAATCGTTCCAACTTTCGAGCGGATTTATCAACAATATAACATAATAGCCAATCAAAAGCATTAAGTAAATCTATGAAGAAAAATAGTAAACTTTGACTCTTCCTCAATTAATAAGATAGGTCAAGAAAAATAAAATAAATGGAGCAAAAAAATATGTTTTGGAATCGTGAACGCATACTGTTCAAATAAAAGAAAAAGAGCATAACTATTATTTGACTCATTTTTAAAAGTGTTTTTTTTTTGTATCTCAGATCGAACTGCAAGTTGTGTTCCAATAGAATGTTAGTCATCTTAAAATAAGCATAGATCAACTTTGAACTCTAATTTGGTCCCGAGGAAAGATTAAATTAGATTCGAAAATGTCGAAAATTTCTGAACATTATTGATTTTCTTTGAATATGTATAAGCCCTTCCATTTGTTTTGGATAATTTATTTCATCCTATGAGAAACTAATTTAGACGACACAAGAACATCTGTTCTATCGGTTCATATCTATCTCTTTTTATTAATGAATTGAAAATAACTTCAATCGCAATCAATATTTCAGGTTCAAATATATCCTTATCCAACGTTGATCTAGCAGAGGTCTGCTTGATTGCATGTTTCACAACTTGACCTTGTGTTTTACCTTTTAGATGACACTCTGATGTAATTGAACATTGATTATTTTGAAGAATAGTTTTCATATTTTCTAGAAAACCTGCACTATGGAATGGACTATTAATTGATACATCTATTTAACCAAAAATAAAATGAAATAAACTAATCATTTAATTACTCAAAAAATAATCTTTACTATTCTTATATAAATCTTCATAATTCGATAGAATATAATTTGAACCTTGTTGTAATAAAACATTATTATCTCCTTCAAATGTGCATGATGGATCATTATCATCTCGTATGATACCAAAACCACTAGCTAAAGAAAAAAGAACAGATTGTAAACTTGTTTTTTCTCGTTTTCTAATTTACCATATAAATAGCCATGACCGCCACATGCTTCTCGGCATTCTTGACTTGCTTTTTGTGTATTCCAACTACATATTGCTTTAGCTGTACATGATAGAGCATGAATTTCTCTACCCATATAGGCTAGTAAATCTCGATCATCTTCATTCGATGACATCGATAGTATATAGAAATGAATTAAATTATCAAATACTGATAATGCTAAATTTCGATAAATATAAAGGGATGCAACTATTGGAACCAAACGCCAGTTCTATATTGGAAAAAAGATTCACATTCTAAATGACCATCCAAGAAAGAAGAATTTATTTAGGATTATTTCCATAAAACCAAGACATAGAAACACATGACAGTGTCTTCTAAAAGAATTATAAAAGGGAAATTTTCATTGAAAAATAAATTCGAATTTTAGACTGAAATGACTATGGCCTCTGCATGATTAGGTTTGAAAAGTTTGAATTTTGAATGATTTTGCTTAACTATCAATCAATGTTTGTAATCAACGCGCAAATACTAATAATTCAATGTCATTAATTGTGTACAATATATTTATTTTATTGGCCATGAAATCTCCATAATAAAATAGCTTACAAAGAGTTCAGAAACGAGATAAAAAGTAGTTATCTTCAATGTAGTCTTCTTGCACAGAAGGTCTCTATTATGTGACTAAGTACATCGTAGGTTGTCATAGACAAGGGTATCGGGGAGGCACCTGTCATAGACTGTACTGACTCATGAATGATGACTGCCGTGGCTCATTAGCGGTGTCTGTCAGCTGGAGGTTATTTAGATACTGAATCATTCCTTTCATCTCATTTAGTGTAAAAAAACGATTACCTGTGTTTGATATTCAATCACTGGATATTCTGTGCCAGGTGATGGCCCAAATTGTTTTCTAACACATGAATATCGAACAGCAATTGTTATAGATTTAATTAACAAGCCAATAGCTAGACTACTTATACCAACACGACCGGACGAAAGAGCACCAAGACTTGCACCGAATCGTTTAGTTGATGACTAAATAAACAAAATGGAAATGTGTTATTCAATGGTCTAAAATTAAAATCAGTGGGGTAAAAAGTAAGAAAATGACGTACCTAAGTGACTTTCAGCGAAATCTTTACTGTTTCGATTGAGTTCAGCAAACTTATAGCTGACATGCTAATAATGATCTATATTTAACGTGCTCAATGGAATTTTCATTTTTGTTTCTCTATCTATACAATTTTAAGTTTCGAAAATCAAAATAACGTCGACAGATGACTTTCAACAGTATTCAGTATGATCGAATTTTCATGAACCATCTTTCAGGCAAAATAAAATCTGCAAATCAGTTAATAGAACGAAAATTATAGTACAATATTAAAAAAGAGATTCATTATTAATAAGTTCTTTGATAAACGATTTAAATTCTATATTCAATTGATGAGGGGTGCAATTAATATGAAATTCGTGAAATGCACTGTCGGAAAATTTTGTTCACAATATTAATCGAGAAACTTTTTACTTGCCTTAAATGGAGTTTTATAAGTTCCATCAGATAAAATATCACCATGTCGATTAAGTAAATTTTCTCTTGGAATACGATAATTTCGAAACATTACAAATCTAAAAACAAACAAAAGTAAGGTTTGATATTTTATTTTTGTAAAGACTTTACCCATTATCAAGACCATTCCAACCGCATTTTGCTCCAATATCACCAGCTTCCACTCCATCGAATGTTTTATATGTTACTGGATCCCTTTGATAGATAGATTTGTTTTTTTATTAATTAAAATTTTTATTGTAACTTAAAACTTACCGAATGGGAACAACGAATAAATGAAGACCATGACATATATTATTTGTGAAAAGTTGAGCATAAACAATAGCATGCGTTGCATGGTAACCCAAATTACTAAATGGTCATATTATTCTCATAGGCATAAAGAAAAGGAATTCTATTTAATATTTACCCAACCCAAAATTTCATTGCTTCAACATCAGGTGTATTTAATATAAATTCCTATTTAAAAATAATATTCTATGATAGCTGTTTCCTTTTTTAAAAGAAAAATTTTGTATACTTGAGTTGATGGATCATAAATAGCTGTCGTTCGCATATCTTTCGTATTGCTACCGTGTGATAATTCAGTTAATGCAAAACATCCAAAAATCTAATTACATGAAATTGATTAATATGAATAAAAATTTTAAAATTAAATTTACGTGTCCGCTTTTATCTGAATCAAGTAGATAATCATGTCTTTTTGTACCTAATTTACGTATTGTTTCACGAAATACAGTTGTATGAAGTGAATATTTCGCATGACACGATGAATCATACATAGTCAAACATTGTTCAAGGATTATTTTATAACGTGGATTTTCAAATAGTTCTTCATCAGTTAATAAATTTAATTTAGATAATTCATGATAGCGACGATATGTTAATTGGCGATATTCATCGATTGAAAGTGGATATTGAGGTTGATGAAAGATAGGATTAGAATTTAATATCGACCAAATTTTAGTCTGTAAAAATTAGCTTTTAAATATGATTTAAAAAATCTGCGTAAACTGAACATACTCGATACGCTTGTGATGGTTCATCTTCGAAAATATTTCGCATCCGTTCAACAGAGAACGATGCTCGGCTACGATATTCATCAAGCATATTCTTATTTTTAGTATGGATGGAGTTACTAGGACTTGATTGACCTACAACACGACAGGTAGAAATCGAACAAATTGATTCAAACAGTGGTTGACTCCAACGACTGATAAGCCTACTGGATATCATGAATTTTGAAAATTTTATCTTAATCAAATGAGTCCAGGTACCCAAAGTAATAAATAAACATTTTGAGAGATAAATTGTCGATGATCCTATTGGAATTTTAAATAGCCAATCAAATACAATTTGAAAAAAAATTATCAAATTTTATGAAATACAAGAGCAAGAGGTTTTAGTTTTTTAAGTATAGATTATCATAGAAATCGATAGAAAGTTTTTTGCTTAAATTTTATTAAAGATGTCTTTAATACGTAAATGTTGAAGAAATTCTTATCGAGGAAAAAAACGTATTTGATACTATTTTGGTTGAGAGAAAGGATAGTCTACTTCCCAGGACGAGCTTTACGACATCCGTATACGGTGAAATACGGGCCGTATACGGCCGTTTTCTGCCGTATACGACGGTAAATCGCCGTGTTTGGCCGTATTACATGGCTCCGTATTACGATCGTAAATCTCCGTGTCGTAATACGNATTTGGCCGTATTACATGGCTCCGTATTACGATCGTAAATCTCCGTGTCGTAATACGGTGAAATACGATCAAAAACGACCGTAAAGCGCCGTATTTTGCCGTATACGGCACGGAGATTTACGATCGTAATACGGAGCCATGTAATACGGCCAAATACGGCGATTTACCGTCGTATACGACCGTGTATGTTCGACCTGGGTTGATATGAGAATGATAGGAAGTTTTAATAACTTCAATACAATTGAAATAATCTAATTCTTCAATAATAGAACGAGGAAACACTCATTTAATTTTGAAACAAGAACTAGAAGATCAACGTTGATATATGTAAAATAGTGATCATTTCGTTCTCTTTCAGATTAATATACAATTTGATTCACTATTTTCGATCCATAGCTTTAAGTTTAATCGATTAACATAAGCGTTTTTTACCCAGGTCGAACATTCCAGCCGCCTGATCCTGTAAGATACTCCAGGAAATGTGCGGGAAAGTCACCATATCCTACAGCAAAACACGGAAAATTGCTGGAACATGGAAGCAGTATTTCGGTCAACATAAAGCCGAACTATTCCGGCGGATTCCTGCCAAGTTCGGGTGCTTTCAGGCAGGAATTGATCGGAAACCACTGGAAGAAATTCGAAAATTTTCCAGCCAGAATACTGCTTCGACAAAACCAATGAAACTAACCGGAGCCGGTCGTTTCCAGACCGAACTGGTCGACCTGGGTTAATATGCAAAATCCAGCTGTTGGTCTTTGTAAGATAAAACAGTTGATATTAAAACCTTCTACTTCATCTCGTCACTTTCTTTAAAGATACCATCAGCTTATAGCAATTTCACCCCATGCAAGGGTTAATCAATCCTTTTATAACTGTAATATTGTATATTTTATCGAGTGTATGATACTTTTTCCATTTTTTGATTCACCATAAGAATAGCCTCTAGACACATATTCCTTTCGGTATTTCAGTCATGCTTGAATCATTTTTTATTGAAAATCTTGACTGACTCTTGACATACAGATATACACCATCGTCATAGGCCAATACATTTATTTTCTGTTATCGTTAACTTACAGTTGCTTTTGATAAAATACACAAAAGAAAGTCATCAATGTGAAGAAAACTACATACTAGTTGCTAAAACATGTAGAAAACTAGAGAGAGAAAAATTATTCGTAGTGATAAATAAAAAGAACAGAATATCAATCTGCTTTATCATTAAAACATAATGGTCAAAGATTATAGTTGATAGTCAACTATGATGAAGCCTTACACGTCGTTTTTAAGTTTGATCTTTTTTTATTTTATGTTACTGTATATACCGATATACTTTGAAAGATTGATTACGTCTTTTCCGGATTTTATGAACGAGAAATATTTCACAGTTGACATTGAGTTCCATGTTTTTTTCTCCCATTTGTGTTAATTTCGAAAGAATACGAATTGAATTCAACGAATAACTTTATTTGATCAATAAATATGAAATATGAAATGTGTCATCGAAAAACAAGCTTTAATATGAAATCTAATTTATAAATGAAAATCAATTGTTGCCGAAAATTTTCACTTTGATAATGATGTTGCTATTGATTATTTGTATGAACCTAATTTAATTTATTAAACAAGTTTGTAAATATTCGGAGACGTCATTAAACACATCAAAAAATAAACATTAGATTCTATTTAACACCAATTAACTGTCGTGCCGCAGACACAGACCATTATCGTTCAGACCTTCGTATATAGTGTGTATCGATATCGCGCACTATTTTCCTTGAACGTCAGATAAAAATCTAGTAAAGAAAAAAATATCAACCTTGTCTGAGCTTGAAGGAGATGTCGATAACCTATAATTGTTACCGTGTTCTTATATTTTTTTCACTCGCCCAACAAGGTTATTTTCATTTTTGCACCTTGAATGAAAATCATTTCACTCATCCGTTTAGTAGAATCTTATTTGAACTTCAAAATAAAAATGAAATATGAAGAAAAACTGAGAAACGACTAATAGCAGTAGAATTAATAAGTAAAGATTGTTCAATGAAGTTCATTGATCATAGTTAATTACTATTTTTATTATTTGTTATGTCAATGGAGTAGAATGAGATATTGTGTAAAATATTGGGGTGTTATGAAATTATTTGAACATGTTTGGATGCTTTTCTGCCGGTCAATTTGTTTTCGAAGAATATTTTTATTTACAGGAAATTGACCTTTTTTTCTTTTTGTCTTGAGATTTTAAGATAATTATTGTGAATATTTTATTCGGTTTTGATGAGTCTTTGGAAGTCAATAGGCTTTACTGCAACACATATGTGGTATTCAAATCAGAAAAAAATGTCAACGACGATTAGATACTTCGAAATTTTGATTCAGTTATAATTACTAAAATTACAACTAAATCAAGTAATATGAATGATGTATAGTAAACAAAAGTACCACTCGAATCGTATTCTCGACACAATTTTTAATATTTCATACAGTAAATCTAACCTTAGCTAGATTGAGCAATCAAACAAATTAATACATGAATAAAAACTATTTCATTTGAATTTTCTAATTTTCTAAATAGAAATGATGATAGTTTGCTAAAGTATTGCCGAGTAAATCAAAACCAGTAAAACTATTTCATCACTTATCGAAACTACACGAATATTTTTATATTTTTTCTGTACATTGAGTGGCTATACTCGATGCTAATTTAAAATGCAGATAGAATCAATAAAAAAAACATTCAGTATGCTGATGTCCTATTCTATCGGTACTGAGGAAAATTACGATCTACTTTCAGCAGCAAGAAAATTATATATTTTAAAGTTTATAGAGACAGACATATATAGTAAATAATGACATCTATCATGGTTGTATGCAATTTGAGTGATTATTTATCCAATGGAGTTGCACTTTGATGTAACGGGCCATGGATAATGTAGAGCAAGAAAAAAACGCTGCTGTTGATTACGTGAACGGATTTTGTTTCGTACGAATTCAGGAAACTAACTATTCCATAGTTTTAGATAACGCTACACAAATCTTGCCATGCAAAGTATAATTAAATTAGCTCCTCGAACGTAAACTTTCTTTTTATTTTCCTATAGAAACTTTATTGATTTCCCAATTCATTTTTATAGTTTAGTTCCAGTATTGTCTCGCTGTTCGAAACATACATTACCTGATTTACCATATGATTACAATGCTTTGGAGCCAATTATATCTGGTGACATTATGAAACTTCATCATCAAAAACATCATGCTACATATGTTAATAATCTTAATGTAGCTGAAGAAAAATACAATGAAGCTAAAGCCAATAGTAATGAATCACATTGGATTTATTTTATTTGAGACTTTTTTTTTCTATTTGTTTACTTAAGACGATCTTACTGCAATGATCCATCTTCAACCAGCTATACGTTTCAATGGTGGTGGTCATTTAAATCATTCTATATTTTGGCAAGTACTTAGTCCAAAAGAAGGTGGTAACCAGCCAACAGGTGCATTAGCTGAGCAAATCAAAAAAGATTTCGGTTCATTTGATAAGATGCTATCACAATTATCAAATGCAAGTGTTGGAGTACAAGGCAGTGGTTGGGGTTGGTTAGGCTTTAATAGACAAGAACAACGTTTACAAATTGCTACTTGTGCAAATCAAGATCCACTACAAGCGACAACAGGTAAACAAAAAGAAAAGAAAAATTCTTTCTCATCTAGTTGTAATACTACTTTAAGGCCTTTCACCAATATTTGGGATTGATGTTTGGGAACATGCATATTATCTTCAATACAAAAATGTTCGTGCTGATTATGTCAAAGCAATATTTCAAATTGCTAACTGGAAAAAAGCTGATGAACTTTTACAAAAGGCTAAACAGTGATTGAAATGCCCTTTGTTTTTTTTATTTTACCATTAGTCACACTTTAGAAATCACGAAATCAAAGTAGATTTAAAAATAAAAGGAAAATCGATTAGAAACAAAAAACAACTAAGTCAAAAGCAAAATATATGTACATCTTAGTTCTCTTCTTTCTTGTATGAGTGCGGCTATTAGAGAATATTATCGTATTCGATTTTTCATCGCGGTGTTAATGATCGTCCTCTTTGAATTTCGTGTTCGAGTAATTTTTGTTCTTTACTTCGTTTAAATGTTCGACGGAACCAGTTTTGAAAGCTTTTTGTAATATTTTTATAACCAAGACCATCAGGCGCACCACCTTTTCGAGCATCACTTACAGCCCATAATTCGTTCGAGTGACGACGTTCAATTGCTTGAACAACGCATCCACCACGAAAACCTGATATCGTATGACCTTTTACTAGAAGCCCGTGAACAACATTCTAAATTTAGATAAATCAAAGAAAATTGTAAGAGAAAATTCAGTTGACATCTTACAACAGGAAAACGTTTTTCTAATTCAACTTCCATTGGAATAAGTTGTTGATGTAATCGAGGCATATCAACAGCATCGCGGATACTTTTACCAAGCCATAGATTATAAATAGCTACTTGAGCAACAGACGAGATTATTCGACTACCACCAGAACCACCAGCTGTAAAGATAACTTGACCATTCGAGTTTGTGACAAGGATTGGACTCATAGATGACATTGGACGTTTAACTAAAATGATAATTTGACTCTTGATTAACATATAGCTTATTCGATGGCCATGCATAACTCGACCGAGAGTCATCCGCTGTGTAGCGACATCATCACTCACGATTCGTAAGTTTTTCACAGCAATCAGATTAAGTATATAATTCTCATTAAATGGCATTATTATTTTTCTTAATAGTTTATTCAAAGCAATGTAGATAAGCTAAAAAAGAATTATAATCGCATAAATGCTGTTAGCTATTGACCAGATCCTATAACAAGACACAGCGCTTTTTCTATTATCACTATTTTCAATTTAATTCAGATTAGTTGGAAAGAATTTTAGTCTAACTACTTTTAACTGTTATATGATTGAATTTTACTTACAAGGTTTAATAAAATTTGCTGGGCTCGGTGCATAGCCATAGTAATTTTCTAAGCCAGGTTGAGAAAAATCATCCATTTGATTATTATAAATAATACCTGAGATAATTCAACTGTAACATTTCTATTTTAGATATTAAATTTAACTCACCAGTATTATGTCCATAAACAACAGCACCAAAACTAGAAATAGATCATTATTAATGGCGTTTTTTTTGTATACTTGCTCAACAAATCCCTATAATCGTACTCTGTATTTATGGTACTTGTAGCTGCAACAGCATTCCCTTCAGTATCAATGATTGAACAATGACTAGTTCCATGATCTGCATAAACAGAAGCATCAAAGTAATATGTTTGACTAATATTTATTAAATTTCATACCTGTTTGAGTTTCAAACTTTGGTTCATAATAATCAAGTGGTTGACTTCTGTATTCATTGACTCGTTTACGGACTTCTTCAGCATATGCAGGAGATAAAATTAAATCGAGTAACTAAATAAAATTACATATTTGATACAAATAAAAAGCATTTAGGATTTTTTTCTACTTTTTCAATATTTTGATTTTTATCTGTTTGTGAATCATACTCATCACCCAATGCTGATCGTTTTGCGTAAGCAAATTTAAATACTTCATTGAGAATGTGATAGAATCTCACTTGTTTGTCAATCGTATCTAATGATTGTGGTGTTAAACCATAACCTTAATTTGTAATAACGTCTTTATTTTTTTTCAAAAAAGCGTGTTTTTTCTAAATTTCTTACCGTCCATTACTTTAAGAATAAGAAGAGTTATAGCTGAACTAGCCGGTGGTGGTACTCCATAAACTGTTAAATTACTTTCTAACGAAACACTAATAGCTGGTTTTACTCGAGCATGATAGATTTCTAGATCTTGTCGATTAATAATGCCACCATTTGATCGGATTTCTTCACAAATAGCATCGGATAATTCGCCTTCATAAAATGCACTTGGTCCTTTTTCAGCAACTATAGAAAGTGTTTGACCAAGAAGTGGTCGATAAATTGTATCACCTGATCCATAGACAAGTTTTGAATCACCTTTAAAAAATACGCGCCTAAAAAGTAAACCAAAAAATTTTTCTCTGTTTTTCGTTGATATGAAATGTTTACCTCATTGATTTATCCGCCCATAGTTTTTCTTTATTTTTGAGAATACTGAAAGCAAGAGCTTTTTTTATAGTAAAACCTTCATTACACATATCAATAGCTGGTTTAAACAAAGCTGACCATGGTAATTTTCCATATCTTTTATGAGCTTTCCAAAAACCAGCTATTTCACCTGGAATACCAATTGATAAGCCGCCTTATTCATAGAAAATAATCATAACAATATTTTGAATGTTTTCTAAATATCAATTACCTGATACAGAGGATGGTGGTGGATTTCCATCAACAAACATTCTTTGATGAGCACTCGATGGTGCTGCTTCTCGTGCATCAATAGCTATGCATTCTTGTTTTGTACTAAATTATCTTGCTAAAGTGTAAAAACGAGATTAAAATTTCAAGTTTACTTACACATCATAAATATTCATAAGAAATCCGCCGCCAATACCAGTCGAATGACAATTATGTACACCAACACAAAGAAGAACTGCAATTGCTGCATCAACAGCAGAACCACCCAGATTTAAAATACGTCTTTATATAGAAAATGAATCATTGTGAATATTTATGAAAAACAATGTTTACCTTCCAACTTTAGATGCTTCTTCAGAATCCGATGCAACAGCTCCATGTTTACATCTCATAAATGAAGATTCACCTTCAAATCCGTAATTTTCAACCCCTGGTAAATCGATTTCATATTCTAGAATAATTAATTTGTATTATTATTTTATATATTATTTATATAAAGTACTACTAAAAATTATATGAACAATCAAATTTTGATTTTTCATCTATGGTAAAGATTGTTTAAGTAGTAATGTTGTTAGACAATGAGCTTTCATATCAGATAAATTATAGATGAAGCTTTCCTTTTTTTTTTGAAGGATACGAGCAAATTTAAATATGTGGTTTTCGGATTCGAGTAAAGATACGAACCTCATTTTATTTACAGTATTATGCGAAAGAATAGAATAAGGGATAGCCCCATGCTTTCCATATGAAATTTCAAGCATCGTATAGAAATAAATCATTATTTGAATTTCAATAAGGTATTGAATAGGTTATGAATGAAATCAAAATTTGGTTTATTCGTATAGTTCTCACTAGTATTCGAGTACTTACTGGGACGAGTCAGATCTGACGATGTATCTATTGATGAAAATGAAATTAACCGACGGAGATTATTAGAAATTCGAATCTAAATTATATAAAATATTAGCCTTTATAAGACGATTTTCATAAAAAATTTGTAGATACCTTTGTCAACAGTCGTTGAGTATTTACCGGACAAAAATACCTATTTATTAACATATTCTTCGACACTATGAAGCTAGACTTTTACTGTCTATAAAAGAAAACAATTTATATTATATAGTTCTCTTGAACGTGTGTCATATGCCCTTTAAGACGTGGTAAGAAATAGGAGTACTAGTAGTACTTATTTGCCTCGTGTTATATTTACGCCGTTAAAGCTCGTAATAAATAAGCAATGGCTTATTTTCTGTGTTCCCGCTATCTGCGATTACTGATTTTTTTTTCTTCGTTTCGGTCTTATTCTGTTTCTTTATTATATTTATATCAACATTAGTACTACGTCACATGTTTTTTGCTTCTTTTCTTTCTAATCATGATGTTTGGTTGTATGTTGCTTTTCAACAATAGATTCGAACTAGCAGAACAAATCAACAGAAGTTATTAATGTGGTGCGAAGCACAGCATTCATGTAGTCCGTCGCGAGTTTTCTTTTTCTTTTTCTTTCTCGACGTACACATCTTTTTCATCATTTTGTGACGCGATGATCTCGAGAACCAAAAATCATAGAAAAGTTATTCAAACTAGAGGTGAAAATATGAATATTGAACTTGTGATATTTGTTTGCTTAGAAATATCCTCCCAAAATGACGATTTTGAAAGATATTTATCGTTTCAGACTTTCGCGATAATTAAAATGACGTCGTCAATAGTTGTTAACCAATAGTCTATTGCTTTACATCTGACTCAAGATAATGAGTCATGAAAATAATTAATCGTTTAATGAAAAAAATCGCTAAAAAACTGGTTGGTACATTTTCGGAGAGATCTCCTAGTGATGAATTTCAAAATGGTCGATTTAAACATAGTGAATGCGAAATTTTTATTCAAAATTCGTATACGGAAATTAAAAAAAAAAGACGATTCCAATGAATCTTAAAGTGAATCATTTATTTTTTAAATGCTATTCTCGCTGCTTTCGAAAATTCGGCTCGTGTGCTTCGCACTGTATTTCGTAGTCGAGTGAAACTCGAATACCATCTAGTTTACAATTCGATTCTAATACTCATGATTAATAAAACTAAAACGACGTAATTTGAATCATTTAAGTAAATATTTTTTTTTGAAGAATCAATGACTGTTATAAAGAAGAAAAAAAAGGAAGTGAAATTAACCGTAAAAATCACGAAGTATGACGGCGCTATTTTTGCTCTTATCAATTTTACTATCGGAGAAATAGCTAATATGATTCATATAAATTTTAGATATAATATAACTTTTTTCTTTCATTTATCATGTCCGATCGTTTGACTCAATTGCAAGATGTTGTTAACCTATTAGCCGATCATTTGTGCAATGCTACAGGTGTTCTTCAAGAAACAGCACGACCGAGTCGATTTGGAAATTTTGAACAAAATTCAACAACAAATTCTAATGCTGACAATACTGGTGATGATTATTCGCAATTATTTGCAACATTAATAACTCGTACGACAAGTGAAGTTGTTGCTTTAATTGAGTCTTTACCAACAATTCCATCAACTGACGACGATCTTGCTGAACAACATGCACAGTTAGAATTATTAGAACAAGAAAACGTAGAAGCAACAGCTAAATTAGAGCAAACAACAGAATTAGCAGAATATCTTCTAGAACAAGTACAAACATGTTTACAATCATTATCTCAAGCTATACTTGATGAAAGAAAAAAAATTCAAAATGTATAAAAATGATTTCAATGCAGCAAAAAGAAACAATGTTTCTTTTGGTTTTTTACTGACTTATTTCGAAATGAAAAGAAATAAGGAAATTTGTTGGTTATGTTAAAATAAATGTAGATAAATCACAATCAAAAACCATAACAACCTATATTCTTGTTTAATAACTTTTGTTTACGATTATATAATTGAGAGCATGTGCCTACTTTAATGTGAAGAAAATCGCACAGAATTTTCATATGCACATTCATACATTTCCATCCAATCTCTGTCTTTGTCTACTTTTTATTATGACAGTTCTGTTCTCTTAACTCTGACTAGCAGGACAGTTACATCTTCACGCAAGTTTTTAAGCTGAAATCAATATTTTTCTTAAATTCAAAATAAATGATATTGATACTAATCGTCATAGTCATGATGTTTCATTTGTCATTGATAATTCTTTCAATCACGATGTGAATTGGTAATGATAAATAATCTGAAGAAAACCGTGACTTCATATTTGACTCTATATATAGATTTCGTGCAATCTAACTAAACATAATTCATCTTCTTGAGTCTCTACATGATCGATTTCAGAATTTCGTCACTCTTTCGAGTGATTAACATGAAAGATGATTGGTTATCATTGCAGTTGCATTCATTATATTGAACTAAAACTGCATACTAACGAGGTTTTTAATCTACATAGACTGAATATAACTCAAGTTGGTATTTCATCTTTGCCAACACGATTTTTTATATTATTGCAAACTCAAATCTATAAATATTTGTATCTTCACAGATAATTTTCAAACAGAAAAGAAAGAAAATACCACACTATTACCATTGGAATGAAATTGAACTCAACTGGGAAACTTCTCCATGTTATTGATAGGTTTACTGTTAGATGACATTCATCAAAATCAAACTATTTTCCTTGAATTTATACTATTTTAATAGGACAAATTAAAATAGTCTAAAATATGATTTGTTGAGCAACTTGATGTTTTGAAAATGAGAGAAACTTCGGTGAATGAATGAGATGACATTTATCTGGGAGAGAAGATAGGTATCATTGTTTTCAGCAACAAGGTATTCGATTATTATGTATTCCGCTGGATTGCTTAGTTTAATTTAAATGGTTTTCACGAAAAAAAATAAGTTGATTAAAAATGTGTTTGCAGATATCCTATTAATTGAAACTACAACAGACATAATTTTGCAAATGTGTTAGATGGAAGTGTAAATCATTTTTTCTGTATTAAATTGTTTCATTTGACGAAATAATTTGTACTTTGGCACTAATAGATAATTTTCAATTTAAGGAATCCCATCAATGACTGAAATTACACACCTTTTAGAACATATCATTTTCAAGAAACAGTGAAAATTAAATTCATACGAGAAATATGAGGAGCTCTCAATCATATTTTATTTCAAGATCTACATCAACAATTCTGTCAACAGAATGTTCTAAAGATGAACATTAAGGAAAGATAATGTTAAATAATATGATTTATTTATTACATTTTTACTTAAGTATAGTTTTTCTCATAAGAATGAACAGAAGTCAAAATGAGATCTTTCATATTGCAATGATACTATCAATACGTTTCTATTCAATATTGTTTCCTACATGATTAACACCTAATAAAAATAGAAGTCGTTGTCATTTATCAATGTATCGCATCACTTTGGCCTCTATTTTCACTCTGAGCATGTCTCCTTTTGTTCGGGTAAATGACTGAAAAGTGAAACGATGAAGAATATCGATGCAATTTCGTCAAAATTCTACATGTGGATTTAGCAGAATTTTTTGAAAAGAAATAAAAGCTGATTACTCCTATCGGATTGATATGCAAAACAATATGATGGGATGTTTAAGAAAAAGAGTATCACCAGCAACTCGGCGATTATAATGTATACAAGGACGCATTACTATCTCCATTTTCGTAAAATTTTATAGACACTTTTTGAGAACTATTTTGATCTAAAAAAAAGCCTTGTCTGAAAACAATAAACTCAATGCATATGTTTTTCTCGGTTATACTTCTTTAACTTTAGAAGTATAAAACAAAAAATGAATTTAGTCTAACAAAGCAAGAAAATAAAATAATCGAATGAAAATTCGTTCAGAACTTGTTAAAGAGCATGCACATACATGAAGAAAGAAAGTACTAGTGAGCTCATAGAAAATGCTCATCGAGCGGTACCATATTTGAGCTTCTGAAATGCTAGAGTAACTTTCCTTTTATGTAAAATATTACTTTGATTAAAAATGACTTTTCTCGTGACTGATAAAATAGAAATTTCCGACTTTTTCTTGCGAGAAACAACAGCATGGTAAAATTGTGCAATGCGAGCTGTGTATTAAAATTAAGAAAGTAATGAAACAAGTTTCGTCGAATAAATTGAATAGAACATTCAATAATACATCGTTCGGCAAGAAGCATCAAATTTATATTAATTATTTTTCTAAGAAGATTGCTATGGTGAACAAGCAATATTGCACACACACACCCAATGTGAAACATTTGTTGTTTCTTCAATCAATTCAAATCGTATGGAGATTGACCAGTTTAGAATCAATGAGCTAATCAAAAACTAAAAATGATAGTTTAAGTATAAAATAAAAAAGGTCAAGCAGTATAATCAAAAAAGAAGGACACTATGTATATTGAAATTAGGCGAAACAAAGGAAGTATAGATCACAAAAAGACGCAGTAGAATATAGCGATCAGAATACAAGTCTTATTAAACATTCAAATCAATCAAATAAACGTTATGTCTTGATTAGTATCACTAGTATGGATTGGCCTATAATAAATTGCAGACATATTTGAATGAATATTTTCGAGCAACTCTCAGATTTAAGAGAAAAATTATATCTATTGATTATTCTAATGTGAACATTTTATAAAGAAAATCAAGAGATCGAGATTACTCGTTGTGGTCATCTTATGATTCACTTGATTATAGAAAATAAGAAATATGTACGGTCAATAATATATGAAGACACAAAAATAGTATTGAGAATAAAAAAATTGGCGTAGGAAATAGATTTATAGAAGTAATAAACTATCTGGGATATGAACGCTATTACTGAAGGAAATAACAGGGAAATAGGAAATAGGATCACAAAAATAAAATAAAAAGATTTTCTCTTATTTTGGTGATAATAATCGTCCTTTTTCAATTTCCTGTTCGAGTAATTTTTGTTCTTTACTTCGTTTAAATGTTCGACGGAACCAGTTTTGAAAGCTTTTTGTAATATTTTTATAACCAAGACCATCAGGCGCACCACCTTTTCGAGCATCACTTACAGCCCATAATTCGTTCGAGTGACGACGTTCAATTGCTTGAACAACGCATCCACCACGAAAACCTGATATCGTATGACCTTTTACTAGAAGCCCGTGAACAACATTCTAAATTTAGATAAATCAAAGAAAATTGTAAGAGAAAATTCAGTTGACATCTTACAACAGGAAAACGTTTTTCTAATTCAACTTCCATTGGAATGAGTTGTTGATGCAATCGAGGCATATCAACAGCATCACGGATACTTTTACCAAGCCATAGATTATAAATAGCTACTTGAGCAACAGACGAGATTATTCGACTACCACCAGAACCACCAGCTGTAAAAATAACATTTCCATAGGAATCCGTAACAAGAATTGGACTGATTGATGTCATCGGACGTTTAACTAAAATATTGATTTCGTTTCTTTTTGTTCCCATATTTCTCTATTCATGACTATTCAACTTACAAGGTTTGATGAAATTTGCTGGACTTGGTGCATAACCATAAAAGTTAGGCGAACCAGGTTTAGAAAAATCATCCATTTGATTATTATAGATAATACCTATAAAGAAATTGAATTGAGTCTTTCTTGTCGCTTAGAACCGAAATGCACTGACCCGTATTCTGCCCATAAACAAAAGCTCCAAATCTAGAAAAATATTGTTCTTTAAAATAAAATTATTCAGCAGAAAAAAACAATCAATCTACGCAGTATTGATTGTACTCGTGGCAGCGACAGCATTTCCTTCGGCATCAATAATTGAGCAATGACTAGTTCCGTGATCTTCAATGAAACAATAATCAAGTCTCTTTTTCTTAACTATGTAAAATATTTTTATACCTTGTTGAGGTTCAAACATTGGTTCATAGTAATCTAGTGGTTGAGTTTTATGTTCATTGACTCGTTCACGAATATCTTCTGCATAATCAGACGATAGAATTAAATGAAGTAACTAACGAAAAATAATTTTTATTTCAAGTATCAATGATAAAAAGAAACTTTATTACTTTTTCAATTTCTTGATTTTTATCTGTGTGTGAATCATATTCATCGCCTAATGCTGATCTTTTTCCATAAGCAAATTTAAATACTTCATTAAGAATATGATAAAACTGCACTTGCTTTTCAACCGTATCTAATGATTGTGGTGTTAGACCATAACCTTAAAAAAAGGATATAAAATTACTATTGTTAACCACTATCAAACGTTATGAAACGTATAAATTCTATTAATCTTTTACATATTATAAATAGCATCTCTATTATCGTGAAGTCTGTGTTGACAGTTGTTTTCCAGTCACAAAACAAAAGCGATATTGTGAACGTTTCTCTTTTTCCTTTTCTTTTTCTTTTTCTATTTAAAAACACAGTTCTGTTGCGTGCTTCATATATGACGCTATGGAAATTTGCTAATAATTCTTTTCTCTCGTAAATTCTTCATTACTTACCATCCATTACTTTAAGAATAAGTAACGTTATTGCCGAGCTAGCTGGTGGTGGAACACCATAAGCTGTAAAATTATTTTTAATTTTAATCTTAAGAGCAGGTTTAACACGAGCATGATAAGTTGCTAAATCTTTTTCGTTAATAATTCCACCGTTGCTTCGAATTTCATCACAGACGCCTGCCGATAGTTCACCATTATAAAATGCACTTGGTCCTTTTTCAGCAATAATTGCAAGAGTTTCACCTAGCCGTGGCCGATAAATAGTATCATGTAATCCATATACTTCATCAGAATCACCTTTGAAAAAGACCCTTCTAAAATTAGGAAGAAAAAAGGAAAAAATAAAATACAATAATAATCTGTTTTCATGTAATAACCTAAACGGTCTATGTTCCCACAGCTTGTTTTTATTCTGTAAAATGCTAAAAGCAAGAGCTTTTTGTACAGTAATACCCTCATTACACATATCAATCGCTGGTTTAAACAAAGCTGACCATGGTAATTTTCCATACTGTCTATGTGCACTCCAATAACCAGCTATTTCACCTGGAATACCAATTGATAAGCCGCCTTATTCATAGAAAATAATCATAACAATCTTTGGAATGTTTTCTAAATATCAATTACCGGATACAGAGGATGGTGGTGGATTTCCATCAACAAACATTCTTTGATGAGCACTCGATGGTGCTGCTTCTCGTGCATCAATAGCTATGCATTCTTGTTTTGTACTAAATTATCTTGTTAAAGTGTCAAAACGAGATTAAAATTTCAAGTTTACTTACACATCATAAATATTCATAAGAAATCCGCCGCCAATACCAGTCGAATGACAATTATGTACACCAACACAAAGAAGAACTGCAATTGCTGCATCAACAGCAGAACCACCCAAATTTAAAATACGTCTTTATATAGAAAATGAATCATTGTGAATATTTATGAAAAATAATGTTTACCTTCCAACTTTAGATGCTTCTTCAGAATCCGATGCAACAGCTCCATGTTTACAGATCATAAACGATGATTCACCTTCAAATCCATAATTTTCTATTCCCGGTAAATCAATTTGAAATTCTATATGAAAAAAGAACAGTATAGATTTATATCAAATAATTCAATTATTTAAAATAGAATGTTTACTTGGTGCAACAATATCAACATTATTGACTTTTGAAGAACATGAGAAAAAACGATAGTGATTATTGTTAATTCTGATCTAAATGACATTAAATATTTATATTTTATCAAAAATTTTCATCTATCATATTTACTTTAGTCAAAAGACGTAGCATAGTGGTTGTAAAAATATGTTTATTGAATAAAAATCTAGTATTCATGGCAAATCAGATTGATGTATCTAAACTAAATTTTGGTGTAGACAAAGAATAATAATCTTTTGAAATAACTACATCAGATCATCAATATTTTCCTTCGTGTTTCTTTCTTTCTCTTGCTCCTCCTCCTCCTACATTTCTAACATGTTCGGGTATTGTTGTTCGAAGCTGATTTTCCGAGTTTTTCCCTGTTCTTTTTCTTTTTGTTGCATGCATCAGTTTTCTCTCGTCTATTGTATCGTTTCAAACACAATGGTGTTCCTCTAGCTACTTTTTAACGAGTAACTCAAAGCAAAAAAAATGCATATTAGCCGAAGACATGGTTTTCTATTAGCTTGTTTTCGTATAGAATGAGGGAGCGTGAAAGAAAGTAATAATAATAAAAGTTAATTTACATCAAGTATTCACGTGAAAAGCTCATCAATCGCGAGAATAACCTTGCAAGCTATCTATAATGTTAGATACTCTTTAGAAGAAAACAAAAGCCAGGAGGAACACAGAGTCGAACTCTTCGTTTAATTATCAGTAGAGCAGAAATAACTTTTATGAATATCATCTTAACTGAGCACGAAAGGAAATAAACGTAATCATGCTACACATACACACACCAAGTCATTCTAAAGTCATGAATTAATTATACGGAAAAGTCTGTTGTAAACATTACATCGATTCAAATGCTCTGCTCTTAAGAGGTCCTTGCAGCGATATAGAACAACATTTTTTTCTTTTTTCTTCTATAGTCTGAACAAGTAGGAAGTCTTAAACGAGAGAATGAAATAGACTTTACCACGGAGGATATGCGTGAAGTTGATCCGACTTTTTAAAATACAGCATGACAGTAATTTCATTGATTAGCGTCAAGAAAATATGCTTATCAAAAATACAAATTAATTAAAAAAAGTGTCAATAGAAATAATGGAAATTTTTCGTATTTTTCCATCACCAGTCATTTTATTTCTTGACAATATAATTCGATTGATTCTTTTGTTGAGAAAATCGCCTATAAAATGTAACTGGTAATATTATAGTAAACAAAACCGAATAGGTAATTTTGCTATTAACTATAAATTCATTATTTTGTTGTTTTGATAACAAATGGAAGAAAATAAACATCAAAATTTTAGAATGAATTCCGTTTAGTCACAGCATCATCTGTAATTGTAGTGTTACAATAATTAAATGTTTTTAATCGTAAAGAGTGCTTTGCACTTTAGCCATAATGAGAAATTTGTTTGTTTCATAGATTTGTATTAAAGTTGTTCTTAAAGATATTTCGTCATAAATAAAGTTTTATAGAAAAATAGTCAAAATTGATACATCTCAAAAGATTTCATATAATCATCTGAAACAATAGATGATAAGGCAATAGGCATTCGACGTGTATAGACAGATAGTCTTCGTTTTGAACTATCTTGATCATCATCATTTATATATCGAATTTCATTCATATTTAATTGATTAAGATATGCTTTACGGAAAAAAAACAATATAGGATTTCTTATAAGAAACACAGCCAGTTTCCATTTTCGTGTATATCTTGATTGAGAGTTTGGTTTTATTTGATATTTTTCATTGGTTGGCAAATCAATTGTCTTTTTCTAACTTGAGTATAAATATGTGAAACGCAAACTAACATAATTGGATGTCGATGAACGCATTCAGTATGTATAAAACCATAATAGGCACGAAAACCAGCATTCCTTCGTTTCTAATTTACGTCCTACTGGAAAATAATCTAGTCGACACATGTAAAAAGTGCCACAAAAAAAACTTTGAATCAAACGCATTACTGAAAAAATAAAACCGAGAACAGCATCCAGAAAAAAATTAAAATAGATAATTATCGTGAGCAAAGGACAATTGTTTAATGAAAGAACTTCGCCATGATGTTGTAAAAGTGCATGTTGTGCAAGTATTTTATTAATATATACTTTAAAAAATATAAATAGAAGACTTGGCATAGTAAGTTTTAATGTCTTGTCAACCAGTGGAACGCTTTCATATGTAATAAATCCATCAAGAGCAATACATATTATCAATGAAAATACTGCTATAAGAATAAAACCCCAAATAAAATAACCAATAAAATGTGCAGCAAAATGAAAATTTCTCACTGCATATGAAACATATTCTGATCTGTGTCGTCTTGGTATTTCAGTATCATCGCCACGATATGACTGAATTGAATTTCGACGAACATTAGCAAGTAAGATTAATGATTGTATAACTATTAAAGTTAATGTCAGAAATACAGCAGCTGTATAAGGTCCGATTAAGTGCGGTACTGGAAAATTTGATGTACTAGGACTTACACTTTCACCATCATTATTTTCAGGTTGAGGAAAAAACATCGATGAAAATAAATCAGCTAATAATTGAAAACTATCTTCAATTGCTGTTAGTTGAGGGAAGACTTTTGCACATAGTTGAATGACAACTTGATATAAAAGAAGTGATACTGATGTATAAACAGAAATAACTCGTGTTGAAAAACGATGATCATCTCTTCATTCATAAATGTATTTTTTGGGACTAAACGAGCACGCAATGATTGGCTTGGTGGACGCTTTTTAGTTGAACGAAATAGATTTTTAACATAAAGGATTTCAACTGAATTCGAATCGGATATCCGAAAAAAAATATTCGTTGTTCTCGACTTAGTTTCATTAATATTCGTTCTCCTAATGGCAGATCCTTCTTAAATTTTAAATAAATTTTGCTTGCTAATAACATTGGTGTTTTAATATTCACCTACGCTAGACATACAAATCTTGGTATATCCGTAAATAATATTTTACAATTTTACTTGAATTCTTTTGATAAAATTCGTACGTAGGATAAAAATCTGGTTCGCACATACCTTGAGTAATTATACTTATTGAATAATCAAGCCAATCATAGATTGTTGCGAATGACAATGTAAGAACTGTATTTAAATAAACAGAGCTAAGAGAACATAATATCATCTTGTGCCCATGATTATTGCATCGAGAATACGTAAAAGGTAAGTAAGAATGATACCGTTACCTTCTTTTGCTGAGCCATAAACGGTCGATTGCATTATGTTTAGTAATTCATCTGCGCATACAGCAAAAACAAAAGCAGCAAATTTTCGATCAACATGAGAAAGAAAATCAACAAGCATCGGCATTCCATCATATCCGTCCAAAAAACTCAGGTAAAGATAATGTTCGCTTGATACTTATTATAAGTATGAGAATTAAAAAACAAGCAACAGGAAATGTTATAAGACTGAATTCGTCAATAGACGTTAGTTTACAGAATGCATATGGTACAAAATAAAGTGATTGATTCGTTCGATATTTATAAACAAGTTCATTATGTATTGGTTGTATTAATAACCATTTTGTAATAAGTCCTGCAGCAGCAATCAAAATTGAAGATAGGTTGACTGATCTTTTAGCAATTTTCCAGACAAGATCAACGAGTTTTGGATCTTGAGATATTTCTTTGGCTCTATTAATGAATAGAATTTTAAAAATTTTAAATCACAAGAACCGTTTACTTTTTCTTATTTTCCTTTCGATGTGCTCTTTTTGTTGAATGATTAAGTAAGAAAAAAACATTCTTTTATACAGGTAAAAGAACGATGCCAAAATCAAAATTTCTTAATAATACAAATCCCAAACTCTTATTTTCTTCTACTTATGTCTCATTCATAACATTTATCTTGGCAAGAAAGAAAAAATTGATGGAAAACATTATAAATGATTCCATCAATGACTCCATTTATGGTTAATAACTATAAAAAAAGGAACGCGACCTATTTTAGTGTATACAAATTTGATTTCTTTTTTTGTAAAGTAATCAGTGTCAGGACGAACTGTAAAAAAATCATACTTTGGTTTCAATATACGTTTTAGCCTCGATCCAACGGTGCCTGCTTCATTTCATACTAGTTGTATTTTTATTGACGACATATTCAGACAAATCTGTGTTCCACAAGAAATCATGAATTTTCATCGAAGTATTTTAATATGTATACTAAAACTCACTTGTCCAATGTTGACATAAGGCGTAAGCAACAAAACTGTAGTCTAAAATTCAATGCATAAGTCATGACACGAAATGTCGATTCGTACATTGCTTTATAAATATTTGTTAGAAGGTAATTATTCTCCTGCGAACGACTTGTGACATTTACATGAGATGCCTAGTTCGAATTCGAATATAAATGGACACCCCACTGCATGGTATCAATTCGAAAATAAGTGATAGAAATTGATTTGGTTTTATATTTAGTTTAAGATGGAGTGGGTGTGGGTGAAGGGTACCCGGAAGGGTGCATAGGAGGTGGGGGATATCCGGGATACTTCAAATGTGGGTGCGGGTGAAGGGTATATATGTATTCATATGTTGCCTATATGGGAAAATTAAACTAAAACTAAATCTATTCTTAGATTTAGTTTTAGGTTAACTTTTTCTTTTCTCTTTTCATGTTCGAACTCGAATTAGACAGCTACTCATCACATAGGATTCGATAAGATCCGTTGTCGGATTCATTCACCTGGGATATCAAACTGTCATTATATTTAACAATGAAGGGTGTTTTTTTACTCAAAGCTAGATTCTTATTTCCATGAGTTGGATATTGAACGAAAAGCGAAGCGCTTGACGATGTGGGTGCGAGCGTGAGTAAATCTGAACATAGTAGAACATCCACACCCACATCCTTTAGCGTCAAAGGGCTGCGTTCCCTATCTTTTTCTTCAATATTCATTTCTTTGTCTCAATCTAATCGATTGAATAAATATGATTTATCATATTAATAACAATTTTATCATCATACAGTATAAGGTCAACTAGCTCTATCCTAGTCGACTTCAATTTTAAAGTCAACTGAATTTTAGAGTCAACCCCGACATATTAATATATATATATATATATATATATATATAATTCGATTCGATTCTACTTTTAAACTCATCTCAGAAGGTAATCTGTGCCGTTTTCACATAAGTATGCTCTTCCTAACGTTCGTCAACGTGTATTTCATTTGTATTCATAATAGGTTTATTTGTATGGCTTTCGCAACGTTCGGCAGCAATTAAAGATGAATAAGAGAAAAACAAAATATGTTGTTGAAACGAAAAAGGAATCAACTGGTTCGTCTCATCGATTCAATCATGTTTCTCGAAATGGAATCAATTCTGCTATCCAGAAGAGCTGAATTTTCCAAAAATAAAGTTAGCTCCATGGATAGAGCTTCGTTTTTTTTCTAGATGAGTTTATTCGATTATCGCTTAATTTTTAAAACAAAAAAAGAACATGGCCAGTAGTTCTGATTGTAAGCATTGGCCGATATCTTCAATAGTGCTAGAGAATTTTTCAATGAATGTGGAGAAAGCCAAGGTTCATATCCACGACTACATCGACATGATAGCACTGTTCATTAGTTTTCTTTTTGCTTCTTCCTTCGTGAAAATCAAAGTGATACATTTTCAGAAATAGTTTTCATACGCACATATTCATCTTCACGAGCTCTTTGATGGAAATACCTGTGAGAGCGAATGTATCGTTGGCTCCTTGAATAATACCCGTCATGCAAAGATTATCGTTGAAAAATCAAAGATTAATTGTTTCCTTTACGTAGTATCATATTATAAACAAAGTTTATATGATTTCTCAAAATGGTTTTAGATCAATGGTAAACGATAATATTAAAACAGAGACAAAACTCATAGCTATAACGGTTATCAACTGTTCGCTATTTGATATTTTTAACAAGTGGTTATCTTTCGAAATCTTCTTTAGTCATGGTATATTGAATAGTTGCCATGCGAATAGTAATTTACTTTCGACATACTGGCAGTAGAATGAATAAACGTACAACATCAGAACAAATAGTTAATGAGAAATATAGTCAGATATGTGTACCATGATAAATGCTTTGATTGCTGTACTGATGAGATAGCCAGGACTAAAGTCTATGATTGAGTAATTTCTTGCATATGAAATACAGGCAATGATTAAAAATTATAATTGATCGTTCATGTTACGTAGAACTAGTTCTTTGTTTAAACATGTTTGTATATTCTGGCATTGCTTTAGTATTGTTCGTTTTCACATTATTATAAACTAAATGATAGAAAAGTCAGTTGTAAGTATAATGAATAATTTCTATGAAAATGAAGTAACACACTATAGTCCTTTCGATTGGCTCTTGACCTGTTATTTATCTTGTATTTATTCCGTTTATAATTTTTTATTATCTGTTGAGCTCTTTGACTTTTTACCTTCTTCTGTCGTGCCCGAGTATTTTGAAACCATATTTGAGTCACTCGTTTGCTTAATCCTAAAATAAATGAAAAAGAGAATTAGACACAATGCACAATACAATATTAACATAGAAAAAAAAGCAGACACATCTAGGATACTGTACTGTATATATGAAAAACATCCATGTGTCGTACCATGAATTCCTTAACAAATTCATGTAGCACGACTAGCTGTTGAGAAGCAGCTGGATTATATAGAATAAACGTAAAACTCATTTTTTGAAGATCGGTTGTTTTTCTTGTTGTTGCTGATAATGTTATTAGTTATTTCCTTTGATAATGAATAGTTAAAGATGCATTCATCATTAAAATGAAAGCTACTCGAAAAGACGAGATCTTCGGATCTTAATGATAGTTAGCTCCAACGACAAAAAATTGCTATTTTTGAATTCAACTAAAACTTTAATTAATACCTCATAAGACTCATCTGATTTCCAAATATACGGAGTACGCAATGATTTATTCGTATCCTATTTCTTTTGATAGATAGTCGAGTTTCATTTGAAGAAAATATATAAACTCTCCATGCCGAAAAAAGCGAATTATAGTTTATACTGTTATCTTCATCTTCGAGTGTATTTCCCGTTTCTAAGAGTACGGTTGCACCGTTTGACAAGCTAGATATCTCGACGTGCTGGACGTTAAGAATCTAAAAGCTTTCCTTTATTATGTTTTTCTATAATTTCTTCCTACCTGTAAATTGTGCAATCCATCTCAAATCTTGTCCATCTGGATTCGGATCAACTTTAAAATTATCTTGCAAAATTTTTAATTGTTCTAGTGAAAAGGCTGTACGAATTCGTTTCGTTTCACTTTGTTTATTAGCTAGATTATAAGCTGTTTAAAAGAATTTGAATAATTTGAAAACTGATTTACCATCATATTTTTCTTTACTGCCTTCAATAACATGGATTTTACATAGAATACTATTATTTTCCCAAGCATATTCTTCGCCTGTAGATAACTGTCGTCCACATTTATAACATGCAAAACAAGTTAAATGATAAGTATGTTCACATGCACGTCGAACCCAATCGTGTGGATAAATAAAACGATTACATTTCGAACATTTATTAATAATATATCTTTAATAATGCGAAAAAATGTATATTTTTATACGTGAAACATAAGTTTATAATTCTATACTTATAATAATCTTGTTGGCATAAAATGTGTACACCTCTTAAAAAGCATGTTGATTTTTCATCCAGTGCTATATGACAAATGGCACATTGTAAGCAGGATTCGTGATAAATTTTTGAACCCACACGTAAATAAAATTCATCGTTTATAATTATTTTACAAGCACTACAGAGGAAATAATCAACATCATCTTTGTAAACCTTCGGACAAAATAAAATAAAAGACAAAATCACGATAAAAAAAACATTCTTTTTGTTCATTTACCGATTCATTCCATGAAGCGGCATGAGTTAACTAAAGAAGAAATAAATTTCAGACACAATTACAATGATTTGATGCAAAACTCTGCCTTCTCATACCTTCGTACGACATTCATCATCCATTTGTTAAAATGAATACACATTCAATCTTTTTTTCTCTTTCCCCAGAACAATATCACATTTTTATTGACCATTGTGATAATTATGATATTCAAAAAGAAAAAAAAACTGAAACTAATGTATAAAGCACAAGGAGACAATTTTTTCTCTTAAATCACACCTGGAGTTATCTCGGAAACAGGACTTTTTTTTCGGTTCTAAACTTAGCTCATCTATTGTTATACTTCGACTCATTAGTCTTTGATATTCTTCTCATTAAGTATATGAAACAAAAATTAGTCCGAGACGTTCAATGAAGACAGAAGCGCAAAGAGTACGATGACACCTACTACCAATGAAAATTACGAAGAAAAATAAATCCTGTTCAGTTCGGCTACGAACATTCGCTCAACTGTAAAGTATTTGGCAACACATGGAGCATCTTTTACTGAATTTGTTTTGAATAGCATCATTCAAATTGTATAGAAGAAATTTTTTCTTTCTAGTGTGAAATAAACATTAATTAGATATTATACTCATTTGAAATAAGATGTTCGTCTAGTATACATCAAAGAACATACAGTAAATTAGTCTTTGTCTTATACATACAAAATATCCTGTGGTTTTTATTAAGTAACCTACTGAGTTCCTTTGCTTTATATGAATTATCATACTCAATCAGCTTCTTTCCATCTATATTTATAACCAAAAATTGTATTATATTCTTGGAGAACATAGAAGTTCTGTCGTATTATATCAGAATTGAAACTTAGCTACAATGAATAAATATCTTCGAAAGTACCTGAACCAGTGATTGGACAAGTACAAGTACGATAAGTACAAGTACAAATACTTGTTACTTAACTAATTTACTTTGGACGTGTACCTAAGTACTATGCACGGTAGTACATTGTACCCAGTACTGGTACTAAGCACAAGCGTACTTTAGTACAATGCAATAAAGTACCGATACTAAGTACGAGTGTACTTAGTGCTTTGCCATAATTTCATGTTTTGCTTGTATTATTATTTTCCAAGTCAATATTTACTATTTTCATGATTTACTGACATCTGTAGGACTGAAAAGCAATAGAAGGAAATATTGATATTACAATATCTTGTATTGATCGACATAAAATCAATATAGTTTCAATTACTCTAAGTAATAATGAATATAGATATACATGAGTGAGAGGGGAACAATAAACATTACGGAAAAAAAAATTTATTGGCGTAATATAAACAATGAGTGCTTCGATCTCTAGGACATCGCCATAATACCGACTATTTGCTATTCATGAAACAGTCTAGTACCTCAAAATAAATTCTATTCGAATCTTCATCAATACTCAATGAGTCAAGGGGGGAAAAGCGGATTTTTGGGATTTTCAAAATCCCAAATCCGTCTTTTCCTCCTTGCAATGGGTCCTGAACAATTGAAACCATATTTAGATTTTTTCACGATTGGCAAAAAATAGAGTCAATGGCTATTGTAAATCGCGTAGTCAAAATTATAAGAATAAATGCGGATTTTTGAGCAATTTTCTGAAACATTTAAAATAAAAACATACACCTGAATATGAAAAATGATTTATTGATCAAGTTGAAGATTCATCAGAAAGTTGTTAATGGTAGTAATCATCGATCAACAACAGAATTATCATCAAGTAACACCAAACAAAGTCGCATTGCAAAAGGAAAACATTATTTCATCTACAATCGGATGTTACAGAGATAATAATCCATAAAATTCAAATATTCATTGTTATCTACGTAGAAAGATTATCTGAAAAGCACATCATCTGTGTGCGCTTTTTAGGCTTTAAAATAATTATTAAGTTTTTGAAATATCATCTAGAGATGAGAAGCTGTTAAAAGCATGTGTTCCATAGAAGCCACAAACAAGCAACTAACAAAAAGATTAAATTAGATAACATCTCATTAAGTACCCAATACACGTGTACTTAGTACCGGTACTACAGTACATTCTACTTAAGTAAAATGTGCTGAAGTACAAATACCAAGTACACAAATTAAGTACCAAGCATATGCAATTGTACTGCACAAATGTACTAAGTATTAAAGATTTTTAAATAAAAAGTAGGAAAAGTACCAAGTACTGTACTAAGTATCCAATCACTGACCCGAACCGATTATCTTCTATTAAAAAGTTTATAAAGCTCATGTATTTTCATTCATTAGTAGAGCTAAGTACATATGTACATGCTTAAAATAACATTCAACTTTTTATATTTTCTAAATCGCTAAAAGCATTTGTCTCAAATCAATCACTAGCAATTCGCAGTTAAAGCATAAGACTAATATACTTCAAAAACTTTTCGTTAAGTTTTGAACATTTGTTGGAACAAACCGTGCAATAGTAATCTAGAATATATATGTTTGTTTAGTTCAGAGATAATGAAATAAAAAAGAAATATAAGCTATTGCGTCGTGTCATTCCTGACGTAATTGGCCACATCAATAACTCGGAAGAACTATCTCAATTTCATTGCAACTTATTTTCAATCAAAGGCATATTGCTGATTAGATTTTGAAGTACTTTTGAAAACAGATACGTACTACTTATTGTTTCGTACATAGATCCCATTCAAATTAGTGGGAAGCGTTATTGTCTTCATGCAAGTGTAGACAAACAAAGAAAAATAAACTTGAAAGAATGTATATTAATAACAAAAGAAAAAGCAATGCCCTGTTCACATTGCGTTGAAAGTTGTTCTATAATTAGTAAAAAAGTACATTTTTTTCTCAGTTCTGACGTCTCCTAGCACAGCATCATCTATAAATATGACATCAAAAATTCTTGCCAGTAAGCATATTCAAAACAGAAAATTATGATTAAGATTGTCTTTTACGTTTTACTAGTAAAGTATCATTGTTTCTTTTTGTGATATAAAATTTAACTTTCTTCTAAATTAAAGGTATGCGTGACTATTTCTTCGGCTAAAAATAGTGATTCTCATGAAAAAACTGGTTCTATCACTCCTTCTGATCTCCAAAATACATGGTCATGGATGATATGCAAGAATAAAACTAATGCTCAATCATTTTTGTCTAGTATTCGGCAACTTCTCAGTAATCTTGAAGGAAACGGCAGTTATACTCAAGTTTTTGAAAAGCATAGCAACGTGGTGGCTTATTATACAGACGATACTAAGACAGCTCTTTTTTCATTGAACTGTACAGAATTTTTTAGCAGTCTCAGAGTTGCTCAGCACCTCGACGAACAAGGTATGGTATACCAGCACAAGCTAGAAGAGAATGCTGCCCGTCTCTATATCGAAATGGTTCAAAACTTTATTACATCCAATATATCTCCTGACCGTTTTTTCTAAAGTTTATATTTACTTGATATAAAAAATGCATTTATACATATATATATATATTTCACCTTTTTAAATAACAATAAACAAAAAACCATTTCTAAATTAGTTTACTTGAAAGTGTTACGTGACAGAATATTTTTGCTTATCGAAAAAATAAGACTTCATTTTTATCATATTGCTGTCAAAGGATATGAATCCATTATTTCTATATTTACGTCGTAATTTATATTAACTATCAGTGGCGTAGTCAGGGGGATGGCCATTGGGCTATTGCCCAATAACTCAGAAGTTATTGTTCAATGATTTTTTGAACTGCTGCTAATTGCCCAATACCGAAAAATCCTGATACACATATATGTTCGAAGATACATGGTGTTATTGTAAAACAATGTCTCTTATTATGATCTAATTAATAGTGACGAGTTTTCCTTCACTATACATCGGTTTCACAATGGCAATACATATCAAAAACAAATTGTAGCCCAATTGGTTTTAAATTGCCCATTAGTGCCCACCCCACAGAATCATTTAACTGGAAAAGAACTCAAGACTCAAAAATTTCTGGCTACACCACTGTTAACTATTTACTTATATACGTATATTGAAAAATGTGAATGATTTTGTTTTGAAGTGCTTGATTCATCTATCAATAAAGTTTTTGCGAATTCGTGACCATTCATTTATTTTTCTTTAATATGTTGAATTCAATAATAAACAACACTCTTGATAAATCAAACCTTAGAGAAATCGAATACCTGCAAAAACCTACTTTTATTTGACACCATAGAATTATTATTGTTGCGATATAAACACATGCTCATTCACTTTGCTGAAGTAAAAACTAACAATGTTTACATCAGTTGTATCGAACAGTATTTTTTTTTCTTGCGTGATAATATTTGCAGCCGATTAAAATAACGATAATTAGAAACAGAAGACACTTCACAAACAGTCAATATTATCCTCACGACAGATTTTATTGCATCAAAAGGGTCCATTCGATAACATTCGACGAATATTTCTTAGCACTAAAATAGAATATTTTTACACTGAATATGTAGATTTTGAAGAACCACACGAAAACAAAAATTACGTTTCTACGCATTTATACGTAAAAAATGAAAAACAACTATAATATATCTCGAGTCGTATGAGAAGAAAAAAAGAAATGTTGAAGTTTTCATATTGCGATTTATTCCAGTGAATATATTGATTTACGTTGACAGTACAGGTCGGTTCCAGATGTCTTTGTTTATTATTAGTTTTTGTCGATCTGTACTAATGTGAGAGTACTATTGAAAATTTTTTGTAGATATTAACAGAGAGAGAGAGAGAGAGAGAGATTGAAAATTATCTTTTCAAGGTGACAGTACATATTTTTCTTACTCATCTAGATACATTTCTTTTCTTTGCTTGCATCGATAGTAGTACTTCAAAACGATAGTGATCTATTTCATTTGTATTAAAAAATGAACTTTGAATATCATAATAGAACTGGTGATTGTTAAATTATTTTTGTAGCTTTCATATTTACAGCTTATCTTATTTAAAGTCTTATTCAGAATGACACGGAATATTTTCTCACGCGTGTGTTGAAGTACTTTTCGTTTACGACATCTTCATTTATGTGTCATCAAAGAAAGATAGACCAAAGATAATGTATAGGATAGAGGTAAATATATATAATAACGCACTTTCATGAAGTTTAGATAGAAGAAAAGAACAACATACGCGACTGACGTTTTTTATTTCAGTTTTTTGTTACGCTTCATTTCTTTTCTTTTTATCATTTCGTTAACATATATAGGTGTAGAGAAATATGGCTTCGGTTCAACGTATTAATAATTTTATCAATGGAAAATATGCATCTACAGAAAATTATTTGGAAAGTTTGAATCCATGCACTGAAGAAATCATTGCTCATATTGCAGATAGTACAGTAGATGACGCTAAACTTGCTGTTCAAGCGGCGCGACAAGCATTTCCTTCGTACGTAAAAACAGATGTATATAATTCGGTTTCGTTTATTTATTTTATTTAGATGGAGTCGTCAAACAGCTGCCAAACGAATACATTATCTCAATCGAATAGCTGATTTGATAGAAGCACGTTTAGAAGATTTCGCTCGTGCTGAATCATCAGATCAAGGTAAACCATTGTGGCTAGCACGAACAGTAGAAATACCACGAGCGGTTGATAATTTTCGATTCTTTGCAACAGCTTTATCACAAAGTCGTGAAAGGTAAAATATAAAATAAGTTTCGCATCGGTGCAAAAAAATATTTTTGTCTAGTTTTACACAGCATACATCAGCGCCGAATGTGATAAGTTATACAACACGAAGTCCATGTGGAGTTGCTGTATTAATTAGTCCTTGGAACTTACCTTTATATTTATTAACATGGAAAATTGCACCATGTATTGCATTTGGTTGTACTTGTGTATGTAAGCCGAGTGAATTTACTTCTGTGACAGCTGGTATGCTTGCTCAAGTTTTTATCGATGCTGGTATGTATTCAACCATTTTCAATAAGTATCCTAAGATATATTGATAACAAGACACGAAAGCTAGTTAGATGAAAATTTGTTGCTATTTTTTGACATTCTTCCTTTTCTAATATAGCAAAGTTTCTATGAATATCAAGATTAATACTCAATTGAATATGTTGATAATCAAAAATTCTTCTCTAAATTTTCTCATATAATTCTCGTATCAAATAGTTGTTAGACTTTCAAAAGTTTTTCTTAAAAAATAATTTTCTTTTCATCTATATAGAACTTCCACCGGGTGTTGTTAATCTTGTTTTTGGTGTTGGTCCACGAGTTGGTCAAGCACTTATAACTCATCCTGATGTTAATGCTATTTCGTTTACTGGCAGTACAGCTACAGGTTATCATATTAAAAAAGCAACATCACATTTGCCTGTTAAAATATCACTTGAAGTATGATTATTATCTATTTAAATATTAAATAAAACTCATTGTTTTTATATTTACATTAGATGGGAGGAAAAAATTCAGGTATCATTTTTAATGATGCTGATCTATCAAAATGTCTTCCTGTTTTACTCAGGTAATTATCTATATTAGAGACTAGTTTTTCATTTTTAATAACTTGAAATATATCTAGATCATGCTTTCTGAATTCTGGCCAAATTTGTTTATGTACAAGTCGTTTATATGTTCAACGAGAGATCTATGATGAGTTTCTTAAGAAATTTATTGCTGAAGTCAAGTTTGTTAAAAGAATTCTTTATTGCTGCTGGATTTATTTTATTTTCTCTTCATTAGCACTTTAAAAGTAGGTGATCCATCAGATGATAGTACAAAAATGGGTCCGGTTGTTAGTAAGGAACATCAAAATAAAATCGAAAAATATATTGAATTAGCACGACAAAATGGAAATAAAGTTATAGTTGCTGGTATTATGGACGAAAATATTAAAAAATCAAGCAGAGGCTATTTTATAATGCCAACAGTGATATTAAATGTTGACGATGAATCAAAATTAATGACTGAAGAAATTTTTGGACCTGTTGTTTGTATTGTACCATTTGATACTGAAGATGAAGTAAAGTTTGAAAAGGAAAACGATGTCTTCAGACAAAAAAAGATAATAATTTATGCTTGTAGGTTATGGAACGAGTAAATAAAACTCAATATGGTCTTTGTGGTTGTCTATGGACGGAAAGTATTGGTCGAGCTCATCGTCTTGCTACTCGAATGGAAGTAAGATTAGATAACGATGCTCGTTTGAATTTTTCTATTTTTGTTTTCTAATTTTCAGTGTGGTACAGTTTGGATTAATGGTTGGATGTTACGTGATCTTCGTATGCCATTTGGTGGTGTTAAGGATAGTGGCGTGGGTCGTGAAGGTTATCCTTATTCTGAAGATGTATTTACTGAAATCAAAACTGTAGGCATAAACATTGCATAAATGAATAAAGTAGCGCAACAAAAACAAAACGAAAAAAATTGGATAACAATAAAAACATAGTTTTGAAATAAATCTACGCAGTTTTCATTTGCCATCTGTTTCAGAAAATGCATATTGAAGTGCATCTTCAATATCTTCAAGTAAATCTTGTACATTTTCAAGCCCAACTGACATTCGAATAAGACCATCAGTTATACCTAATTGACGGCGATGTTCTTCTGGTACACTGGCGTGTGTCATTACAGCAGGCAGTTCAACCAATGATTCATAACCTCCAAGCGATTCAGCTGTTGTAAATAACTAAAAATATCAAAATTTCTAAGTTATCTTATTAATTAATAATTCTTCTCACTTTAAGATGTTTTAAAAATCGTCGACTTTTTTCAACTTCATCACCTTTAAGATACATCGATATCATGCCACTGAAGCCAGACATTTGTTCTTTATATAAGGCATATTGTGGATGAGACTCTAACCCTGGATAAATAACACGTTCAATATATTTACTTTTTTCAAAATATTGAGCAATAGTCAAAGCAGATGCCATATGTTGTTTCATTCGTACAGCTAATGTTTTAAGACCACGATTAACAAGATAGCAATCGAATGGAGATGGTACAGCACCACTATACAAAAAGAATTCATTTTTTTAACAAAAAGAAAAAAATAATTCATGCTTTACTTACATAGCATATTGAAGAAAACTAAGTTGTTTATAGTATTCTTCATTATTCATCATTAAACAACCCATAACAACATCTGAATGACCATTCATATATTTAGTCAATGAATGCAAAACGAAATCAGCACCAAGTTCTAGGGGCCGTTGAAAAAATGATGATGCAAATGTATTATCAACGACTACCATTATTGTTGGATCAAATTCATGAACAAGAGTCGATATAAGTTTAATATCGGCTAATTTTAATAATGGATTAGTTGGTGATTCAATCCAAACAAGACGTGTTGTTGGTTTAAGATGTTTAACAATGGATGAAGGATCTGTTGACATATCAACAAATGAACTTTCAATACCCATAGGAGCCATGCAACGTCTAGAAATTTCAAGTGATTTTAAAATAATTGCTTTTTTCAATCAAGAAACGAAAAGATTTTCAATGAAGATTGATGTTCTACACTAATCTATTAATAATTCTTCAAAATTCCGATAAACATAGACTTGTGTAAAAATATTCGAAACGAAACTTTATTGATACATACGTATATTTGCATGATGTCATGTTTAAACATCCGTCATGATATGGCTTCCTTAAGATTACCGATACGTATTTGTTTTAGATCACTCTTCGCAAGACTTATTAGCTACTCAACGATTTAGGTCTATGAGAAGTAGATATGATGTCTTCGAATCTATCACTAACCAATATGAATATTGATCTATCGTTTGACTCGTTGTATATGATGATCTATGAGAAGTGGATCAAAACTTTTCATCTCAAAACTTGAATGGTGAGTTGATAGTAGAATTTAAAAAAAAAATCAAACAAACCTAAATAATCTTCCTGTTCCACCATAAACATCATCAATGGATACAATATGATCGCCTGATTTAAGTAAAAACATAAAGGTTGTTGTTGCACCAAGACCTGATGAAAATGTTAATGCATATTTTGCTTTCTCAAGAGAAGCTAAACATTCTTCTAAGCATTGTCGTGTAGGATTTCCACATCGACTATATTCATAAAGAGCAGGTTTGCCTGGTTCTAATTGTTTAAATGTTGTTGCCATTGATATGGGTGGAACAACAGCTTGACCTGGCCATCGTTCAGGTTCTTGGCCAACATGTATAGCGTCAGTTTCAATGCGTGTTCCGAGAATTTCTCGTTGATATTCTTCATCTTTATCTGCTTTTTGCAGAGGAGCTGATAGTTCACCTTCCATCATGGACTCTTATTTATCAATATAATCTAGAAGAAAAAAAAAGCAAAGTCAAAAGTATAATCAATTTTTATAAAACTATTCAAAAAAATAATAATAGCAATGTTAGTCAGCTGCATTTACGGTAGAACATGATTTCAATGGCATTAAATCCTTAATTGCCATTCGATAAGGTTTCTCGATGGTTCCTACAATGACTTGTGCATCAGGATTAAAATCTCCAATTAATTCTCGACATCTGCCACATGGATTCATTATTTCAAAACGATTTTTATCATCGTCAAATCCTCTTAATGCTACAATTACTGCTAGATCTCGGTGACCATCATTAACCATTGTTGATATAGCACTAACTTCTCCACATACGGTTGCGAATGATTGAGACGATTCAAAATGAATACCCGAATACATTTGACCAGATTTTGTAAGTATAACAGAAGCTACTTCTTGTAGACGAGGTTGATGTAAACGACGAGAAATACGTTTAGCTTCTTCAATTATCTCCCAATCATCATTATCCATTCCGGTATTGTTAGTTTGCTCTTGATTTATCGATTTATATAATGCTCGATCTAAATCATTGATTATATCTCGAACACTTTCGATGCCAACTGACATGCGAATCAAATTTTCTGACATTTGCTCATTCGTTTCATTTGTATAAAGTGTTGAACGATGTGTCATCAGTGCTGGCGATTCAAGAAGTGTTTCACATCCACCTAAACTAACTGCTACTGTACATAATTTTAATGCCATAAGAAATTGTTTCACATCTGCATCTTTAACTAGTACATAACTGCACATACCCGATGCTCCACCTTGTTTTTTATATATTTCATGTTGTGGATGCGATGGTAATGCTGGATAAAAGACACGTTCAATAGCTGGATGCCGTTCAAGAAATTGAGCTACATGATAAGCATTTTTCATGTGTTGTCGCATACGTAATGCAAGCGTAGTTAAACCACGTCGAACTAAATAACAATCGAATGGTGATAAATTCATTTGAAATAAAGATTGACTCGATAAAAATTTTTCATATAAATCTCTTCGGCTCATTGATAAGCATCCGCCGATAACATCTGTATGACCATTAATATATTTTGTCAAAGAAGCATGACAAATATCAGCACCCAGTAAAAGTGGTGATTGATTCAATGGTGAAGCAAATGTATTATCAACTACAACTACGATTGACGAATCATAAGAATGAACCAATGTTGATATAGCATCAATATCGACTAAACGAAGCGATGGATTTGATGGTGATTCAAGCCAAACAATACGAGTACTTGGACGAAGATGTTCTGTTACAGCTGAAAATGATAATGATAGATTAACAAATGATGATTCAATCGAGAAACGATTTAAACATGCTCTATAAGAAAAACACAATAAAAAATAGCTAGATCTGCTTTTTATTTAAAAAAAATGAATTTTACATACTTGAAAAGGTTCGTTGTTCCTGAATAGGCATCATCAACAATAATAGCATGATCACCCTTTTTTAATAACGTTAAACAAACTGACGATACAGCTGCTAAACCCGATGCATATGTTAATGTTGGTTGTGTTGCTTTATTCAAATTAGTTAATATTTGCTCAAGTGCTTGTCGAGTTGGATTCAATGATGGTTTTTCACCATTTGATAAATATATTGGTGGTACGACACCAGTAAACCAGAGATATGCGTCGTCATTACTAATACCATTTTCATCGTGATGAATGCATTGAGTATCCATTGCACGAGTCGAAAGACTAAAGAGAAAAAATAATGGGGTGTGCGCTAAGTTAAGAATAAACACACGCAGGACTAACACCTTTTATAAAAGATTAGGCGTTGTCATTTCTTATCTTTTCATTGTTTTTTTTTTCAAGGGATGTGAAAAAAATGCACTAAAAAAGTGACTGAGGCAAAAATGTGTGCGCCAACCTGTTTTTTAATTCGTATGCCAATGTAGTAGGGACATTGTGAGGTTTCAAGGCCTTGTTTTTATTTTGAAACGTAGATAATAATTACTTCTATCGATATTACGTGCACAATAATTTAGTGCTGAAGGGATCACTGACGGTTGAAAGATAATTTTGAATTTTGAAAAACAGATTGATTACATTCGAAATAAGATCGAGAGAGACACATACAAGATTGGAAAAAAAAGATTGGCTATGTGCTCCACTCGATAGTATTCATATAGGACTATCAATTCATCTAAATCGATTAGTTAATAAAAGCTTTTACAGATGATATGAACAGGCAAACTATTATGAATATTTTTGCATTCGTCGACGTGATTTTGCCTATGTCAAAGTGATTTACATCTGAAATAAGGTAAATGGGTGAATCTAAAGCATTGCTGAAGTAGAATTCACCCAAAAGATTATATACTATGTTTCGAAACAAAAAAATAAGATGATCCCCTATATTGTAAATAGAACAAGAAACGAACGAACGACAATCAAGACAATACATCTACCTATGTGTATTACATTTGCTAGACTTTTCGATAAATCGTAAAACAATAGAAGCAAGTTAGGAAAGATTAATTCGTTTCTGTTCATCAGCTTGTTCAATGTTTTGAGCCTTTGATTCAATATAGTGAATAAGCTTCTCTATTCTTGATTCTTTCGTATGTACATTTGTCTATCGATCATTCTCTCAAAAATTCTCGTTTAACATATAGACAAAAGAATCAGAACTATAAGCAAAAGCCATGATGCTTTTTTATCTTTTATGCTGTTTAAAAAAAACGATTACTAAATAAATTATTAGCTGTGAATTATAGACGGAAAGCTTGTACTGATTGCTTCGCACATACGTTGTCAACCAATTTGAATTGGACAATTGTAATTGCATGTTTCGTTTCAATTTGTGTTTCTCATTTCTTCATCTATCAATCTATGATTTTATATGCTATCATACCTATATTACTCTGTAATTGTGAGCTATAACTCTTTGTCAAAATATGAAGCGTCTCATGCAAAACGGTTGTTTATCAACTATTGATATTTGTCTCGGCTATGGTAATCTTTTACAAATTGATTGATACACTCGGATAAATTTCGTGGTGTGCCATTGGAGACTATTTAAACTGACAGAAAATTTCAGTTCATATTGATTAAAACTTTTCTGCTGACAAGGCATCGCATCCTATATTCCTTTCCAACAGGTCAAATTCGTTGAAATCAATAACTTCATATCTGCATGGATTTATCTACTATTTCAGCTCATCAGCTAGTGACACCTACTATATACATATAATTTAATATCAACTTAAAAAATACAGTATAGTATTCATTTAGTGATTAATTTCCACAGGTTTTTAAGTTGTTTTCAAAAGAATATAGGAAGCTCTTTCTACTTAAAGCAGATTGGCCAAATGAATGGTAGCTTATGACTCAATCGAATTGATTGAACCACCAAACTGTCGATTGTTCGTTCTCTTTTTTCTTGTGACAAAAATCTAAACGGTTTATGTTCTCGATTCGTCCTTGCATACCTATGAAAAGTTATGTTTGATTACTTTTCATAATCTTTTGTTTCTAGATGGCAACTGTCGGTGGTAGTGATGACAATGAATGGCAAAAATTGCCACCCGATCAAAAAGTTCAGCATAAAGTATTAGAAGAAAAATTCCTAAAGACTGAACATTGAACTGTTTGTTATAGGCATGGAAGGCTCGTATGACTGGTTATGAAGAATGTATTAAACTTTTTCGTGCACAACCTTCTGATCAAAGTCCTGAATTTAATAAATATGTTAATCTTATGAAAAAGTTTGTCATTGATTCAAATGAAAATGCGCGTGAGAAAGCACTCGATGCTGTATTTGCTTTTGTTGAAGAAGCAAATGTAGCCGGAAAGTACGAATATATATTTTCTTTCTCTCTCACTCTTAAGATCTTTGATCTTATTTTCTATCATAGAGTTGTTAACGATGTTGCATCTGGTTTAATAGCGAAATGTTTAAATTCACGTTCAAAAATGAGAGAACGTGGATTTGAAATTTTATTAATGTACATTGAAATAGAAAAACAAATTGAAATTGAAGATGAACTTGTTAAAGGTCTTGAAAATAAACAGCCAAAAATTGTTCAAGCGTGCCTTGAAATACTTCGAAAAGGCTTATCGTAAGTAAATATTTGTATTCATAGAGTATGTTCTTTTAAAATTTAACATTTTGAAGTGTATTTGGGTCAAAGATCCTTCCAATAAAACCATTTCTTAAACAAGTTATTCCTTTGCTCGACGATAGAGATAAAACTGTACGAGACGAATCAAAATTATTACTTGTTGAGGTTTACAAATGGATTGGAAAGCAAACACTAACACCAATGATACAAAATGTTAAACCTATTCAAGTATTTCTTTTTCATTCTTCATTTAAACTATCGAATATAGGAGACATTTGAGAAAAGAAAATTGCTCGATAAAATCTGCAAAATAAGTTATACTTTCTTTTAGACAAAACTAGATTCATATTTCTATCTTGCATAATGATTTCTCAAGAGGGAGAGAGATTTCCGTGGTATTTTGTTAAGATAACATAAATACGACATTTGAAATCATTGTGAAAAATTATACCGGATCAGATCGATGATAGAGACATTTGTTTTCTCTGTCAAATATTTAGTTGTACTCTTTTACTGTTATATTTGATTAAAATTTTTCGATCATACTCTCATGGTAGTTGGTTTTCCACTGAGATGTGATTTCATAAACAATATGAATGACTCTGTTAAACGAAACCGGCATAGTTCTTAAGACAAAAAAATGCAATTTATTGAATGCATGCAAGAAAATAAATATTTATTGACTTAGATGCAAGAATTACAAACTGAATTCGAAAAGTTAGATTTAAATGGTGCTGATAAACCTCGACAAACACGTTTTCTTCGCTCACAACAAGATCTTAAAGAAAGAATAGAAGGCACAGCTGCAGCTTCATCAATAGTTGTTGATGATACTAATATTGAAAGTAAATAATTTTCATATTGAAGATTTTATGTATATATCGTTTCTTTGATTTGTTTTTGTAGTGCAAGAAGATTTAGATCCATTTGAAATGATCGAACCAGTCAACATTCTTGAACGATTATCGAAAGATTTTTTTGAGAAACTTGTATGTTTTTATTAGATGAAAATTTCGATAAATTCTATTTGAATATTTATCAGGAGTCTAAACAATGGAAAGATCGAAAAGAAGTTCTAGATGATCTATTGACATTACTGACTCAAAACCCTAAACCAAAACCAGATAGTGATTATTCCGAACTAGTTAAAGTATTAAAAAAGGTAAAAAGAAATGCTATTTATTGAAATAATTTCATTATTATATTGTTCTTTTCTATGCATAGATCATTACTAAAGATAGTAATATAACTGTTGTTCTTGTTGCTGGAAAATGTTTAACAGCATTAGCGAAAGGTTTAAGAAAAGCATTTAAAAACTATGCACTTGGCGTAAATAGTTTTTTATTTCATAAAGACGACACAGTTAACGATTTCTATTTAGACTATTGATGTTTGTCTTGATCGATGTCGAGAGAAAAAAACGAATATCCTTGAAGTCTTCCGTGAAGCATGTGAAGCTGCTTATCCCGCAGTAAGTACTTTATTTTCTATTCATATAATTTAGGTAGAACCACTGACTTCATAGAATTTTAATTTGATTTACACATTTCAGTGGTAAACATTGTGGGAAGATGGTCAAAAATAACAACAAAAACTTTTTAGGGTATATAAAATTAACAGATTTCACGAATTCTTATCCAAATTGCATACTAAATTAGTATTAGTTATGTTGCATATTGTTTCCATACAGTATTTGTAGTGATCTGAACCATATTCTTTTATTTTATACGTACGTGATAGAATTTTCAATCTGCACAGTGTATCCGTAGTAATAAACGTGTTATATTTTGAATTGATGAAAAACCTATCGGTGATTTCAAGAGAATACTAATTCAATAAGAAATTAAAATGAATGAAAGTAACTGAATAACAACAAGGTATTAATCGTATCAAGAAGTTTCTCATGACTTTTTAAAGTTTACACACAACTTAACATTTCGATTCTTATCGTCGCTATTTTTCAACAATATTGACTTCAATTCATTATTCAAAATAAAAGAAAAATCAATACTCAGAAAAACTATAGAGATTTCACTTTTTAATGCATTCTTTTTTACCTGATTATACAGTGATAATCATCACCCTCCCATTATAATAAGAAATCCCGCTTGTCTGCGGTGCCAGAAAAATATACTTTGAAATCATTGAGATTCGTTTCAGTTATGTTTTCGACTGAATATTTCAATGATTATTTAAGTTTGTTTTATTTAGACTAATCTTGAACAATTGTCTGAAATAGCTGTAGTTTTACTCGCTCATAAAACACCTATTGTTCGCCAGAGTACACATCAATTTTTTACCAAATGTTTTTCTATGGCAACGCAAGCAACATTATCAAAGAAAATATTAAAAATATATTTAGTATCATTAATAAAAGTAGATATCAACGAACTGATTTTGATGGTAAACTGTGATATGTTTTGTTGAATTTCAGAATACAGGAGAAGCTGATCAATCTGTACGCGAGAGCGCATTTGAATGTCTTGGTATGTTATGGAAATGTCTTGGTGAAAAACATATTCTTCCCAATTTAGCTGATATGGATGAATTAAAATTAAATAAAGTCAGCAATTGATTTAACTAACATTAAATCTGATTTTGAATGTTTTTTTCTTCTCAGATTAAAGAATATGCCGAAAAATCAGTTCTATTAAATCTTCGAGGTGAACCCCGTTCGACTGCTCCTGTAAGTATGATCAATGGGGCTAGTAGTTCACCTGTCAGCCCAATAATAATAATAAAACAGAAACCGACAAACATACAAGTAACTGTTGATAAACACGATGAAGAACCAACACAATCAAAACCATCTGTCGTAATCAAGAAAAAGCCGATAGTAGTAATAGCTAAACCTCCTACTCCTCCTCCTCCTGCTTCGCCGACAAAAAACGAATTATTAGAAGATAAGAAAAAAGAAGCACGGCCACCCAAAGTAGATTTTCAATCTATCTTTACAAAATTACATTTTTATTTGTGTTATAGACCGCTGCATCAATAACGACTACAGCACCTCGTGTTGCTTCATCACGAAGTAAACCAACAGTTGCAAATACATCTACATCAAATATAAAATTAACTCTTCCAAAAGCTCGACCAGCTACTGCTCCACCAACAAAATCAACACTATCGCCACCAACAATAACAACAACGAATACACAACGTTTAGTACCCATTGTTCAAACTTCAACAACAAAAATTCGAGCTAAACCTCCAGTATCAACAAATCGACGTTCATCATTTGGTTCAACACTTTCATCATCAACATCAAATCTACAACGTCAATCAACATCAACGAACGGTTCAACATCATCATTAAGTAGTACAAATACACAAACATCAATACCATGTACGCGCCCAGAAACACCAACATCATCGACAACAATGAAAATACTTCGATCAGTTTCAAATGATGTTATATCATCACCAAATCCATCAACTAATAATGGAAAAAGTCGTATACCTATACGAGCAATACCTATAAGTAGTATTGTCAAGAAATCATTAACTTAAGAAAATTATTTGTGTGATACTATTAGTTCTTTCGCATCTTAAATATTTCTATATTTATTTTCTCGCATCATTCGATGATTGATTGAATAATTGCTGAAGTTTTTCTTTTTGTATATCTTTTTGTCTTCCACTATATTTATTATTCTAATGGTTTTCTTTACCTGCTTGGATATTTATTATCTTTTCTTTTTTGTGTAACTATTAACAAACAAGAAAAAATTACGCAATATATAATTATCAGATATTGATTTTGATGAGGTTATTATAAAAGAAATATTTTCTTTTTTTGGATACAAACTGCAGTTTGTTAGAGAAAATGTTTTCTTGAAGACAAAGTTCCAGTGTAACGGTACAATACATTTATTTCTCTTACTACTGGCTTCATCACCATGATTATCTCATCAATTGAATAACTTTAATAGTTATCCACATAGTGTTTTTCATGCAAAGTAGTAGTCATTGCCGATTCCTATACTCAGAGACCTAATTATTTGTAACTTTGATTCTCAATATACCAATGCTAAGAGGTAGATTTATCAAGACACAATTGTTTTATTCACCTGTATCATAGAATCATTTTTCTAGAATATATTTAATCAATAAAGAAACCAGCGGTCTCTGAGTAACACCAACTGTTATTAAATAACTATAAAGCTTCCTTTCTTAGAAAATTATATATTTAAAAGGAATCAATGAAACACGACTAAAATTTGTTTTGTACTAATTCATTGAAAGAATTCTTTTATTTCGAGGAACATACTGTCTGTCCTCTAGCTACATTCGATGGGCATGCAACTGGTGCCGATCGAGTATTCGTACAGACGAAACCAGCTGGACAAGTGATACAATAAGCTAAACCAGCGACATCAGCAAATGATCCACTCGGACACCGGTCACATTCCACACGACCATGCTTATCATTGGCAAAACCTGGTTGACAGAGAATAGGATTTCCAGCAGGATTTGGACAATAATGACCTAAATACAACTCATTCACAATTTATCTTCGTGTACACTTTAAACCTACCAGGTGAACAGATTCTGCAATAACTTTGCCCTGTTAATGTTGTCTGATAACCAGTTGGACATGGTGTGCCCATTATTTGTCCTTCCAAACAGAAAGATCCAGCTGGACATGGTTTTGGTGCTTCACTTTTTTCATCACAATAACTACCGATTGGACATAAATCACATACCACAGCACCTGGATAGGCACTGTAATTACCATCAGCACATGCTGCACAAGATACCTGGCCATTTAAATCGTTAAATGTTCCAGGAGAACATGGTTTTGGATTTTCATCAGCTTTTGCGCAATGGTTACCAACCGGACAAATATTACATTTGGCTGAACCATTCTCAGTTGCATAACTACCAGCAGAACATGCTTTACATGATATTTGACCAGCAGAACTGTAGTGACCTATAAAAATGAGAGAAGTGTATTTTGACCATAGAGAACGTCTCGAAATCGATGCGGAAAAGTAGGCGTTTGCTCGTCACTAGATTAAAGATGATGGATGAAGATTTGACCCGTGACTTTTGCAATGGACGAATACAAGCTGTGTATGATTTTCATTCAATATACGATGTGAATTATATATATATATATATACCTAGTGGACATTTTTCTGGCAATACAGCAGCATTAGTACAAGATGATCCAGCTGGACATATTGTACATTGTACTGAAGCTGTTGCTGGTGTATAAGTACCAGGAGCGCATGGAGTGCATTCCATCTGTCCCAATCTGTTATTGTAGAATCCCAATGGACAAGGTTGTGGAGATAAATCAGCGGATTCACAAAAATGTCCTTGTTCACATTGAGTACAATAAGATGCTCCACCTTTTGTTGAATAGTATCCTATTGGACAAGCTTCACATTTAGATGCACCAGCATTGCTCCATGTTCCGGGGGGACATGGTATTGGCGTGATTGCTCGACCAGCAGTACAATAGTGTCCTTGAGGACAATCTTCTACGTTGAGAGCATTTACTTGCAGTAAAGTGCAACCGATTATCGATAAAAGTAACAACGAAAACATGGGTTGACGAATATTCCGATGCTAATAAGGCTTACTGCACTGGTGCAACAGGTTTTATAGGCTCGTTTTTCATTGATTCGTTATTTGGAAATGAAAGTGACTAAAAAGATTAGATAAGAATGTTTTCGTTATAAGGTTTGTTCATAGTTTTGTTGTTTTTTTTGTTCTTAGTATGTGCTTATTCTCACGGTAATCAATGGCAGCCCCTTCAGGAATGAGTCAAGGTATAAAATGTTTTTTTTTCGGTGACGACACTATTCATTTGGCTTATATCATAAGTCAATAGAATAAGCTATTTGTGTTGATTATCTCTTTATTTTCATTGAAAATCTGAAAATGTTTGTTGACATCAAGTCTGAATCTGAAAACGAAAAAAAAAGATTGTACTTGCCTTATAAGTTGACCTATTCTTATCTTATATTTCTGGCTAATCCAATCTTGTTGTGACATAAAAATATTCGTTTTAGGGGGTTTTGCTTTGAATAGCTGTTCTCAGTTAAATTTATTAATGATAATTACGAATAATGACGTTTAGGTAAATGAGAAGAAAAACTAAATTGTAGATATATTAGATGAAATATAATAAGAATACGAGTTATCATTTAAATTAGAAATTTGTTTTATGTAGATATGGCTGCTGGTGTTTAAAACATGAATCTAGTGAGAGTAGGAAGATATAAGAACTACATCAATCCGTCGACAGTCAAATGCAAACGGTCGCCACCACGTTCATGTAAAATAGCAGTTTGAAAACCGAAAACAGATAATCTACCGATTTCTTTTTCATCGTATACTAATCTTTTTTATGCTTTTCGTTTTCCATTTGACTGACTCATTTCTTTTGTTTTAATCTTTAGCTCAGATCAAAGTTCACTTACTGGCATCACTTTCTTCGGATTTTTGTTTTCTATTATTATATGCTCAATCTGATTTTTACACAGTTGGTGTATTTCTAAAATCATACAATTTTATATAAAAAAATTAAAAGTCAACTAATATATTTGTTTAAAACAAATGATTACAAACAATACTCAGAAATACAATATTTTATATTTTGATTGAGCAAAATTTTAAATATTGAATCGACCGACTTTTTGCTTTTTATTACACGAATAACAAACGAGGAAAAAGAAAATCTAAAAAAACTATTTTCTCTACCATTCTATACAAGCAGTCTGAATTAAGAAAATTTGTCGAGCCTCTCAGAGGAAATCTGCAGATGATTATTATACTTTACTCAAGTGAGTATCCCATTTCGAAAACAAATGGGTACTTGAAAGTGCTTTTTGAAACGTCAATACATAACGATAAACTGAAAAGTATACATAAGAAAAATCTTATCAATGGAACTCTTTTGAAAGATTGCGATAAATCTTGATAGAAAAAAATGATATCAAAACAGTTTCGGACGAGGACTAAAAAGACATATTATGACAGCTCTCCTAATAGACAGAATGTCGGGACAGATCGATACTTTTGGATTGCAACGAACACTCTTCTCAATGTTAGAAAATTGAAACATGGAAAAATATTTGTCAATGAATAATTCATATGGTCTTCATATTCTCAGTTTCTGAACAATCTTTCAGACAAATATTTTCGAAAAATATGTCTTCTTATATTCTTTTTTCTTCATCATAGGTTTCTTTGCAATATTAGCACTATTTAATTCTTGAAAAAGTGTAAAACTTCAGTGAAATTACTTAGATCTAAACGAACTCAATCAAATCAAAATATTTCTGTCCAGTAAAAGTTCATAAAAGATTCTGATGATAATAGTAACATAGAATCATTCTAAATTTTATTTCGCTTTATAATGCAAGCCAACAGGAGACCAAACTCACTTATAGATGCGATAAACATCTATGCAAGATTTTGGTTCCACCTAAACTAGCAGACATGATGATGTGGTATAGATGTGGGAATGGAGATTTGAGCAGATTTATCATGGTTAATTCGTTCTCTTATTCAGAATCACTGCATCAGTGCCATGATGAACTATTAACATATCGAAAACTCTAAACATCGGTATAGAATGCAGTTGGTCAATTTGACCTAAACAGTCTTTACCTACTTCCGAAAAAGTACGCGTGATAAATTGTTCTATTCTTTTTAAACGTGTAGAATTTTCAGTCGAGTTAGAAAAGCGTGTATCTCTTCGAACAAGCTTGCTCGGATTATTTCGAATCTAAGCGAAGCGCTCGGTGAATTACGTTAGTTGCACAAAAAAATAAACAATTATTGAGAATGATTTACATAATCAGATCACTTTATGAACCAAATATTATCGAAATTATCTTCCCACCAATCGATTCTTGTCTAAACTAATTGTTTTTTCCTAACTATATCGTTTCAGGGGGAAATATTTACCTGAATACAAATAGCCATTGAGTCTCTGAGTAACACCAACTGTTATTAAATAATTATAAAGCTTCCTTTCTTAGAAAATTATATATTTAAAAGGAATCAATGAAACACGACTAAAATTTGTTTTGTACTAATTCATTGAAAGAATTCTTTTATTTCGAGGAACATACTGTCTGTCCTCTAGCTACATTCGATGGGCATGCAACTGGTGCCGATCGAGTATTCGTACAGACGAAACCAGCTGGACAAGTGATACAATAAGCTAAACCAGCGACATCAGCAAATGATCCACTGGGACACCGATCACATTGTTGTCTGATAACCAGTTGGACATGGTGTGCCCATTGTTTGTCCTTCCAGACAGAAAGATCCAGCTGGACATAGTTTTGGTGCTTCATTTTTTCATCACCATAACTACCGATTGGACACAAATCACATGCCACAGCACCTGGATAGGCACTGTAATTACCATCAGCACATGGTGCACAAGATGTTTGGCTATTTAAATCGTTAAATGTTCCAGGAGAACATGGTTTTGGATTTTCATCAGCTTTTGCGCAATGGTTACCAACCGATTATTGATAAAAGTAACAATGAAAACATGGGTTGACGAATATTCCGATGCTAATAAGGCTTACTGCACTGGTGCAACAGGTTTTATAGGTTCGTTTTCATTGATTCGTTATTTGGAGATGCAAGTGACTAAAAAGATTCGATTAAGCATGTTTGCGCTGAAAGTCTTGTTCATATTAATGTCATGTGCTCTTTAATGTTTTTTTTATGGTTTGATATCCTCAGCTTATTGCAAGTCACCTGATTGGTTAATTCTTTTCTTTTTATTACTGATGGTATTTAATGACTTTTAGTAATAATAAATGAATACTATTCGAATTGTTTTTGATTTCTTTTGTTTTTCGCAGAAACTTTTCTTACATTTACTATGAGGGAACAAATTCAAGTCATTTATAACCTGAGATCATCTTCTCTTTGCTTATCATTTGTGCAATTGGGTCGAACGTATTTTGATCTGCAAATATCGTTCTTGAGAAAATTGTTTTTTAAGCAAACGTGCTGTTAAATATAATAAGTATCATCAAGAATAACGATTTTTCATCTATTTTAAAAATAGAACACTAAGGTATGATAGAAGAATCTAGAGTGAAACCGCTCGGTTGAGCAAGCATAAAATGAATAGTTTTCTCGGTAAGTAAGCATATATGAGAATATAGTTGTGAAAATGTATCAAATGTTAATAGAATAATTTGAATATATCATTCCTAAAAATATAACATATCATCGAATGAGAGTGCCGACATTGGCAAGATGTTTTCGTTTTGATCAATCACAAATATCCTAAATCAAACGTCGGTATAAATGTTTTAGACGAATTTTGAACTCGTGTAGATTCATCATTCGTCAACAAATAGGCTCTATATTAAAAGAGTGTTGACCTTAATAAACCCAATTTTATTGTCAATGTGATACGATACCAAATGATAAACGAACAACAGAAAAAAAGGATTAAAGAACGATGTATGACGTGTGTCTTTGTTTACTTATTCTCGTAGTCCAAATATCAACACTTAGATTTTGAATTCAAAAGATAAATTCAATATGTATCGGCAGTCATATTTTCAAATACTACAAATGTTAAGACAAAACACGATTCATTTTATATACACGTGATCGTTTCCGACAGATTTTGTGTTTTTGATCATTAACATGAAAATTCCTATGCATATTTTTAATCAAATTTTTTATTATTTCAAATAATACATATGTTATACAATTCAAAATTCAAAAATTTTTCAAAAAAATATTCTTGTTTGACCATTGAGAGGCATACTAAATATATATGCACTGATATTAATATACATACGTAGATAGAACTGACAAAAAATCAAAAATCTAATCTAATAAAAATTATTTTTCTCTAATGAGAACCATGTTTATCCTTGTTGTGTTCATCTTTGTTGGCATGTTTATCCTTGTGATGTTCACCTTTGCTGGTATGTTTATCCTTGCGATGTTCACTATTACTAGCATGTTCTCCTTCCTTTATTTTAGCCTTATCAGATTCTAGTGGAGCATCAGCATGTTTACTGGATTTTTCAGTTGCATCATGAGCTTTTTTTCCTTGAGTAGTTTCCTTTCCTTTTTCGACACCAGCTTTGGCAGCATCCATTTTTAGTTTCTAATCAAAAAAAGTATAATTTATAGCATAAAAAAAGCCTTTTTTCGGTGATACTTACATAGTGAGAATAGTAGTACTAGTAGTAGAGAATAGTTTCTGTTACTGAATTAATGATAAGAAATGAATGAATTCGGTCTATTTATGCTCTTTGAAAAACCGCTCTCGATTCTCTTTTTCCTTTTTTTTTCTCCTATTCTAGTCTTTTTTCTTTTACTCATTGTACAGAACGCAAGAATAGGTCATTGACTACAAAAACTAAATGGTGTTCATGGGTATATTCTATTTTTCTTGCCCATGTTTTCTTTCTTCTACTTAGCACATTTCAAGACATAAATAGCATATGACTAGAAACTCGGGTTTTTTTTTGTGTGCTATATTGATTGGCTATAGAAGTATATTGTTTACAATCAAATATTAAGACAAAATGAATGTACTCCGACCGCATGTAAAGTATTCATATTGCGATGCATATATATACGTATGTATGTCGTACCGAAGTTACACCGGTTGACGAAGTTATAACTTCGTCGCATATATGTGACGAACCCTTATCGAACTTTTTTATTCATGCTTTTGTCAAGACTTGAGCTCAAGATGTGTCCATATTTCTTGACTTTCTTGATCAAGAAAGCCAAGAATTGCATGCGCGTGCAAAAAAAGTTCGACTAGGGAAGTTACAACTTCGAAAGGCAAATTTGACGAAGATTCCGGTAAATTCGAAGATAAAACAAATTCTTGTAAATCACAAGGCTAGTTTTATATCAAACATTCTACGAAGATAAGCATTAAAAAAATTTGTATAGGAGTAAAATATTGTTACTTTAGTTTATAAGTGAAATAAAGTCATTTTTAAACTACTCATGAACAAATGTGCATGTATCTAATATCTTTAACTATAAAGTGTATGCTAATAATACAAAGGTTAATTTAATAAAATTAACTAAAAATTTAAACATATGATTAAACACAATCTCAATAACAAGATTATAATCGGAAAACCTATTTTAATAGCTACTTGATGAGTATATGCATGAGTTGAAATAGTATATAAATCACTTGTTTTGCGAACATAAGTATAACAAAAATACGAATTTTCATTCATCAATTATACTTAACATTCTGCTAAATGATAACTTTTCCTGTATCATCTCCTGCTACAACAAGCAGATCTCAAAATGTTGAAAGATGAATCAGATTTAACTTCGACAAATTTGTCTTTCGAAGTTGTAACTTCGTCAACCGGTGTAACTTCGATACGACATATATAAAGATGAATTTGTTTTTATTTCAAATCTATTAGCATTTAAGATACATGGAAAAATTGAACAAAATAATAACATCTTGAATAGAATACTAAGAAATATTTCATCTGTTTAATGTTTACGATCAGTAGATCCACAACTGGCTTTGCATGAATGTTCACCTTCTTTGTGTGCTCCTTTAGCTGCATCATGAGTAGCATCTGAACCTTGAGATGATGCTTTTGCTGAATCCGATGCTTTATCATGTTTTTCTTCAGATTTTTTGCCCTGAAAAACTTCGCGAATCTATGAATAAAATTGATTTGATTGATATATATATTAGAAAAATATTTAATAGCATACTTTATGTGCACCAGCCTTTAAAGCGTCCATATTTAGTTTGCTGGCAGGTAAAGAAGTGTTTTTTTTTATGTAGAAAATATAGAATCAATTGATAAAATGCAAGAAATACTCTTTCTCCCTCTATATATATATGTTGAACGATCACGCTTGATTGCTACCATCATCTTGATAATAAAAATGCGATTCAGTACACATATTTTCTTCGTTAAATAATCTTATTAAACTATGCAAACCTGTATTTAAAAAAGAAATGAAACAACGTTATTGAGTAAATAATTAGTAAAAACAAGGTCTTGTGGGTTGTGTGACACGTGATGTTTTTAGCTCTCCAATTATTATCTATAATTACTCACTCTTTTTTACACACTTAAAATTGTCAAAACCATAATTCATTACTTAATTGTTTGTGAATGAACGCAATTATTAACCTCAATACTAGTTTGGGCTTTGCAATGCAAGCGTTCAAATTGTGAGTCACTATGTTTTACGCAGATTTAAGACAATATTTAGAATTTTATAAATTGATCTAAATGATATAGCAAATACGTTCGTATCAATAATTTGCCTCCTTAGAGGTTGATTATTTCTAATTTCATAAAAATAATTGTAAGCTGTTATTGTTGGAAATTCTTACGTTTTATACTATCCAAACCTTACTATCGAATGCGTGTTACTCGATAAAATATACGAACTCTGTTAATACCTATCCATTGTATACTAGAACTACCTCCATTGTTCATTATAATCTTTCACATAAACATGAAACCAAACTATTTTATAGAATGAATACAAAAAACACCGAGTTATCGAACCAAGTTTTAATTACTTTTTGCTGAAAATAATCTCTAGTCTTGAAATATTCAACATGTATTCAATATTAATATTTTGAATGCTGAGAATTAAACTGATATACTGGCTGAAATTTTCGAAATAATAGCTCACAACCATTGTTCTAAAGTTATGATCGATTGAACTCTGCAAGCTGGCATAAAGAATAGATTGAACGTACTAAGTTACACTTGATAAATATTGCATAGATAGAAACATAATTTCAGCGGTTTCTTATTCCTGTAATACATTATCAATAAGAAAATGTTGCTTTTTTTCTTTCAATTATCACATCAAGTATTACCACCAATTCATATTTCGTCAACTATCAAACAAAATAGATTTTGATATTAAAATATTTACTATATGCATATGTACGGACATTTAGATGCTTAAAAAAAAGAATTCTATTCAAGCTAATAACTACATAAGTGAATGTTTATTGTAGAAAATTCATCAAAGTGACTATATAATAAAATATTTTAAAAAACTTGTTCTTTTTTTTCGGTTCAAGTTTCTATCGAACTCGTGGCTCCATTAGTTTAAAGCATGGCAGTGATTTTCTATCATAGAAAAATCTTCATTTTTATTCAAAGTGATGATAATTTTCAAGTGAAAAATTTAGATAAATTGTAGATTCGATCAACAATGTAAAAATTGAATCGATAGTCTGAATCGGTTGTTTTTCGAATCTTCATGTTACATACACCATATATATATATACGATCCATCGTGATCGCGCTACTATCGATTGAAGTCATTAATCATGATCATATGGATTTGATTTTCTTCTTTTCTTCATAACCCAACGAACATGATCGCTATGCCCTCCATATGTTATTTTCGTTTGACAGCCGTTTTGCCGTTCGTGTTTCTGTGTTTTTTCTTTTTCTTTTCGTTTATCCGTCGGCCTTGACCAGTCGTGATATGAGAGACGAGTGAGGCAGCGTCATTGTTCTTTCTCAATGAATGGACGACGAAATTCATGTTTCTTTTCTCTTGTTCTATTTTGAAGGTCAGTTCAATCATACTACCGCACAATATATATAAACGATTTACAAATATTGCTCCACCCATCCTTGCCTATGATCAAAGATAAGTAAAAGATAATTAAACATTTATCAATGGTTTCTACAACGATTCAAACCAAAGATCTTCACGTATCAAATACAAATGAATGTTCATCTCAATTATCAATGAATTCTAAACGAAATATCGTAATCGATGATGAAATTAATAAAAAAATCAAAGTTGAAGACGGTACCGATGAAGTAAAAATCTTTTCAGCATCATCAATAGATAAACATGAGTCAGATGATGATGTTGATATAGAAGATCGATTGTCACCAGTTGTTGAAGAACCTGTAAGATTTCTATTCAATAAGGAATTTCTTTAGAATTATCTTTTCTTTTTATCTTACCTAGGCTAGTCCAAGTAAAACTGATACATTGAATAATAATATTCCTGGATTGTATGCATCACCTTTTCTTTATCCTTATTTTCATCCTTATTTTATGGCTGCAACAGCACAAATGAATTCATCAACAGTAAAAAGAAAACAGATTTACTTTTGATTTTCTTAAATTAAACTTTTTTCCAAATATGTAGGATAAATTATCGCTCAATGGACAAATGAATAGTCTATTTGGCGCTACACCATCATTTCCTGGTAAATTCTTTCCGCTATTTTTATCGATTGAATAGAATATCTAATATGAAAATACAAATCGCATTTATCCAAAATAGACCGAATTGACTAAATTCAAGTTTTATTTTAGGTATGCCATTTTTTCCTTTTTATCCTCCTGGTATGATGAATCAATCATTTCAACCGAATCTTTTTAATCCATTTGGTGTACCACCACCCGGTGTCCAATCCTCGAATTCATCTCATCGACAACATCAATCATCTATTAATACTGAATCTCGTAGAAAGTATAACAACAGAATGAGTTTCTTTCATTTTTTTTCAATCATTGTCTTTTTGTCGTGTAGTTTAAATGAACTCTTGGAATCCAAACGTCCAAAAAAACCTCATATAAAAAAACCTTTAAATGCTTTTATGATTTATATGAAAGAACAACGTGCACGTATCATAGAAGAATGTACATTAAAAGAATCATCAGCAATAAATAAAATTCTTGGGCAGAAATGGAAAGAACTCACTCGATCAGAGCAAGATCGCTATTACGGTAACATAGCAAATAGTCGGAAAATTTCCTAATTTTATTTTTGAAATTTATAAATATAGAACTAGCTAAAGAAGAACGTAATCGTCATATGCAAATGTATCCGAATTGGTCTGCGCGTGATAATTATGGAATGAAAAAAAAACGACCCAATGGTCCAATACAAAAGCATGCATCTCATGAAAATAATCAGAGTCCCCAAAAAAATCTAATGAATACTTCTAGACAAGTTGACAATGGTAAAGAAATTTATTTCAAATAGATATGTTTTCATAATGATATAAATTTAGATTGTTTGAATCTAAAAAAATGTCGTGCCAGATATGGTTTAGAAGGTCTCAGTCAATGGTGTAAACATTGTCGACGAAAGAAAAAATGCACAAAATTTCTTGAAGATGATTCATCTAATCCAAAAACATCAGGAAATCCATCGTCAGTTAGTTCACCGGGCACATTTCAATCGGATGATGATAATTCATCAAATGAAGCTGATAGTGATGATATATTATCGCGACAGATCGATTCCATTGAAGATGAACATGATGACAGTAATGATGAGAATAAACAACAATTTTATCGTCCACCTGAAACTTTGCCATTACAGTTTCTACCAAATTTTCGTTATTAATATAGTTTCCTTTCTTTTTGTGTATAGACAATTATTTCATTTGAATGATAAATTTCGTTTCTTAATTCTTCAATTGGACTGGATTTTATAAAAACAAAATTCGATATCGATACATGATCGAACTGAAATTGAATTGATTTATACAAAAAAATTCAGCGAGACACCTACATGTATTGCATACAATGACAGTAATTCGATTCGAACGCTTCATATTACACAAGTACTAATATACTAAATGAAATAGTGAAATGTGCGATGAAATTTTTCTTCTTTTAATAGCTGTGGTTAAAAGATAAAATAAATGGATATTTTGCAGTATATAATGAGAAAAAAGTAATCGTAATCAATTATGTATTCATACGAATGTAATTTATTCTCCGCCTACCCATGTAAAACAAAATAGTAAAAAATCTGATTATAACTGATTTTTATGCGATTAGAAATCTATTTTAATGGCACTATTATAATTTGATTAAAATCAGATTAAAATAGTGCCATTATAATAGATTTTTAGTCTGATTATTAATCCAATTTTTTTTACATGGGTACTTGTGTAGAATCTATCATCATGGATCTTTCGTTAAGTCCGTTGTATCGACAGCATTATTTTTGCAGATTCTCAAAGTGGCCAGGACTTCACGCTTATTATGAAGCTAATAAGAAGATAGATAGAAAGCGTATTCTCAACATTAGGAATTCTCAGAATGAGAAAAATTTCTTGTCACTTCGCTGATCCATTGCTCATTCTGTTATTGTATCAATAAAAATGCAGTGAACTAAATAAATTCTATTGATTTACTACTTGTTCTGAATATAAATCGAGCAGTGTGCTTTACAAATAATATAGAGTGGATAGTTATATAGAAAACTAAACAAGTCTAAATACCTGCATACTTTTACGAAACACCAATTACGTCGAAGGTACGATAAGTTCGTGTATTTCTTGTACTAAGAAGACTATGATCATAATCTAGTTTGGCTATAATATGAGATAATGACTATTCAACTGTTGATACGCAAAATAATTAAGTAACCTAATTATTTGTCATGGTGACTTTTCTATAAAAATATAGAATTCATCGGACTTAGTGACTTATATAATTATGTCATGTTCACAGTATGGTACAAATGATTGGATAAACAATATTGAAAGTAATAACACAGCTCTTCTTATTCAATAGGATAGACAATGAATAGCTATTTAAACAATCCTATTCTAATCAATGCTCATCATTACACTTGAATAATAAAAAACAATAGTCAACATGTAGTGCCATGGTCTGATTTTAACATTTTCGTGTACATGAAACCTAGTTTTTCATAAAAAAGATTAGAACAACAGATAACAATATGTTCACAACAATGTCACACATGAGTCGATCTTTAGTATGTTTGAATATTCGTGCTGATCTTATCATAGTTAGCTCTAAATAGAAAGAGAATATATCGTTAATATAGAAAACCAAAAGTCAATTATACACACCAGAACCAATGCTTTTCTCTTAGGAAGTTCGCTTCGTAGTGTTTATTAACGAAGATAAATCTTTCTTTCTGATTAAAATACATGAAAACACATTTGTATCGTCTGTAAGAAAAGTGTAATAAAGCATTGATTTTTATTTTATTTTACAATTATATTTGCGCAATTTGTTCCAAATTTCTATCATTCAGTGAAATTAAATTTGTGCGTTGTTGTTTTGTTCTTGTCGAAGTGAACATCGAATTAGTTCAGAAAAATCTCTTCGAACCGCTTTCGATATAGCTAGCCGTAAATAGAACTTGAATGCATACGTCAAAGATGAAAATATCCAAAACCAGTTGACTAAAATTCTATACATTTTCAATCTTTTTGTACAATGACTTCGTTGATTGAAAAGAAGATCATGTACGATAAAGATCTCCAATATGGCAGTAGGCAATAAAGAAAATAAAATAGCTATTGAAATACATAATAATACTACGGAATTTCTTTCCATTTGTCGTGCACTTTCACTTAACTTGTTTTTTTGTTTTTTTCTATGATTATAACGATTTCGTAATAAAATTACTGCTGATATACATGTTAGTATTGATGGTAATGAAACAAATAATACAGCATGCATAAATGGCCACATATGTATTTTCCACTGATCGATATATGCATAGAACTCACAAATAAATATTGTTGTTTTACTATCGTAATAGAAATAAAAATGATGTGGAATCATAATTATGATAACTGTGATAAAAATTGAAAGAATACGTATAAAAATACGACGTCGAGTTATTACAAGACGATGACGGATAGGAGATATGGTCATGCGAGCACGGCTGACAGACATTGATGCTAAATATAGATTTGATAATATCGTTGATCCAATAAGAATACTATAAAATATGCCACACGAAAATATTTCTCGTGGATCAGTTTTGATTATTGACATACTAACGCACCATAACCAAAACATCCCTAGCAGAAGAATCTATTATGAGATATTTTTAAAAAGTTTCTTTAATTAAAGGAATTTCAATACAATGAATCTATTTAGGTTTAGCTTTGCATAAACTTCAAGTACGAACTTGTCATGTGAAAATGCTCATAATTAAGAATAAAATTCAAGTGGATATTGAAAGAATAGTGACTACTTTTTAATTATATTCTGATATTGATATTTAACTATATTTAATTCAAAGTACATGTTAAGATGTAAGACAGCAGGGACCTCTGTAAAAAAAACTGTGTTCCATGAACTGAAAAAATGACATCAATACTAATCCATCTTAATTTCTTTGATTTTTATGTTCAATTATTATTATTCGAGCTATCGAATGAATTATTGGTAGAATAGAATCTATTGTCTAACAGTCGTGCTTTAAACAAAGAATAAAAACAGAAAATCCTCGAGTCAAATTTAACCTAAAAACGATTTGCTAAAATATTTAAAAGCAGTCCTAATTGTTACAAACCAGCAAGAAAAATGATTTCGCATATAGCAATAGCTATCCAATATAATGATGTTGGTTCTTTACGATTGGTTTTATTCGACATAAGTAAGATTTGAAATAAATTACCCGGTATACCAAACATAATAAATACAAATCCACAAATAGACCAAATAATATGAGAGTTATGTGATGCATTGCCATAATCCGAACTGTCGGAACAAATTTCTATTGATGTATTGTTCATGACGTTTCTATAGATTAGATGCTTTTCATCATGAACAACATATCAATGAACTCGTTGCAAATAAGATGTTTGTGAGTGGGTTTTACTGACATATTGCTTTTCTTCTGCTAGTAACAGAACTAGAAGAACAAAAAGAAAAAGAGAATTTCTCCATATTGTTAAGAGCAATCGCCGTGAATATATATTCACAATAGAGAAGAAAAAAAAAGAGGCGTTATCGTTATATCTGGTTAAATGACTGAAAAAATGAATATTTTTATATGCAACTATGAATTTAGATGACGATTACTGGAGCAATATGTACTCTTCCATAAAGTGAAACGTTTAGCGGATTTTTTGCTTTAACAAAAGGTCAATCCTATTGTAGTTTATCTGTTTTGTGAAGCACAATTTTCAAGGAGTGTAGAAGTATGTAGAATAGAAAAACATGATTTAGATTCTGGTTAGTTTCGGAATTATTTAAATAGTATGTTTTACGTTTTTAAATATTTGATAAAGAACCAAGCGAAACATTACATTTTTAGTCAAATTACATTGTGATAAACTATTAAAATGATTACTATTATAAGTTAACTGCATTTTTTCTTGTAAAGTACGTTCTTGCCGTGATATAATTTCTTGCTTCACACGTACAGTAATGAAATCATAAGAAAAATGTAGTCACTCGTATTTTATTATAAAAAAGACGAATTAGCAAGAGGTGACAGGAACATGTTTAGATTAGAGTAGAGAGGTTACTTAGACCAAAGGAACTGAAAATAAGCATTCGCAGTTCATTAGTAGAGGTTTTACTATATACAATTACAGTTGTAGGTGGCGATCTAATTTTTAAAAAGTCATTGTACAATATCTAGAATTAATTTGTATTCATTTATAGATCATTAGAGAAAGTTAGATAGTACCCATGTGAAATAAGGATTTCATTTACTTTTTAATTATAAATCCATTTTTTTCGGAAGATTAAACTCTCCAAATATATGTTCCGATGTGTTTCATGGAGCTCATTTATATCTTCAAAGAACCTGATGAATGGAAATTTTACGCCACATTTTTCCGGTTTCTCATCCCATTCCGGCCCATAAAAAACATTGGGAATAAAACAAATTGTCATATTGCTACTCATTATTTCTGAAAAAGAAGTATACTTCACAAAAGAATACTCACTTGAATTATGTTAAGCTATGTTAATGAGTCTACATGATATATCTCGTTTCTATTTCAGCACCAGTGGGACTTCACTATTAAGCTGTTCTTCTGACCGGAGACTTGTTAGCTGTGAGCTATGAACGAAGGAAATTAAAACTGTTGTTTGAATTAGACAAAGTAGACATATTTTTATTCATTATTGTCGTTTTTTGAATGGGCTTTTAGCAAAAGCCTGTCTTGCTCTAAAAATCGACCTCCAAAAACAAATTTCTTACATTTGTTACTGACACAAATTTAACTAACTATAATATCATGTTAGAGTAAATAAAAAATTCTACAGAGAAAAAAGTCTGAATCTCGTGCAATCAGTTCTTCTTGGCGTGTTAATTTTTAAGGCGGAAACAATCCCGAATATATAATTATAAACGATATATCGAGTTTTTATTGTTTCCGGTAGCTTTAAATAGATTAAAGCTAAACTGACATCTTTCGAAGAGTCTTGTAAATAGTTATGTTAGCGTATGTTGTTTTACTGGAAATTCTACATGATTGTTTCTTTATTCACTATTCTATATGGTTTTTGTTTGAATGTTCTGAAAGAAATAAAATAAATCCTCATACTTGAACTGAGAGTGAAACAATTAGAAAAGTAGAATTTAATTCAAAGAAAACCTTGTTAATTAATGATGCGATGATGTGAATTTGATTAACAAGGTTTTATAATTAAAGTAGCTTCTAATATATATTTTTGATATTATTCTTTATTATTGTTATAATGAATCGACATTTTTCCTATGTAGATGTCGTATGATATTTTTGGTAAAGAAAAGAGATCTTATGACTTGGTGGCATGATTTATGCAGACAAAAATATATTTTATGAAACAAACCTGACCAATTTTGCTTGATGATTTTCTTTCTTTGTTTCTATGACTTTTTTATCAAAAAACCACAAGAGAAAAGAACATATCGTAGAAGTAATTTATCTTTGTGAAAAATATTCATATTTATTATCTATAATACTTGATCTACCATCATGTTTTTTGTTACAGTGTTATTGTTTTCGGAAATTATCACGTCAAAAATGACGTGTCTTTATAGCATCCGAGCATCGATGATATCAGTCAAATGCATTGATTTATTTTATACTTCCTTGTAATTCTTACGGTTATTTATAGAAGTGTAGAGTTTGCTTTGTTTGGCGTCTAAGTAATGAAAGTTTTCCAATTTTTCTTTTCCTCTAATCTAAAGTTTAGGCAAGTGTTGGACATAGCTATACTAATTCGAAAAAGAATATCTTCTCATTATTCAGTTGATGACAAATGGTAGATAGTATCATCTTGAAAAACATTAGTCAATGCTGCATACACGTTTTGTTTGACTAAAAAATATATTCCTAGTATTATGATTCATCGTCTTCATTTTCTAAGTCTAAAATCGATAGTAATTGATATGATTTTCAGTGCTGTCCCTGCTTAATATTAGTTTTGAAAATTCTAAAACCAGCTACATCTTGATTTTGAGTGTAACAATAAAACTATGGTAAGCATTCAGTTGCTTGATACAGGTATGTAGCTCATATGTTTTTTTTTAAATTCAATGCCATAATCCTTATATTCCATTATTTCTGTTCAATGATCTGTAAACTGAATTATTATCATAAGTGATATGATCTATTTTTTACTGTGCAGGCATATTTACCTTGATATCCACTCGTCTATGTTATATTTGTAATGAAAATGACATTAATACGGTAAATATCAGAAGTACTTCTTTGAAAAATATGTCTAGCGTTTATAAAACCGTTTGACGTCAATTAAAAATCGATATCACTTGTTCATGCACAGCTGATGTTAAGTTGTCATTTGCTAAAGCAATTCATATAGTTAATAATATTAATTTATTTCAACACAAGTTCAGATACGCAGAGAATTCTATCTTATCTAATAATTGTTAGTTAATATTTATAGAAAATTATTCTTTATGTCAAATAGTAGGCTCTTCTGTCTATTCCCTAGACTAAAAGGATAGGGTCTAGAAACCGTAATTCACCTGTGTCGGGCTGTCTGTAACAATGACACAAACGACCATTTGTGTGGCACACAATGATCATCCGTATGGTACAAATGACCATTTTTATGAAACAAAGGGCATTGTTACAGCACAAACCATGAGGGGATGCAGGGTATGGTCACGTGAAACAGCTCTCTCTTGAGATGGGGCCAGTGGAGGGAACTAACTGATCCCCCTGCGGAACGTTGAGTTAATCATCACAAAACTTCTGAACCATGTATTTTTGTAGCTAGGTAAGACTCAATCTCTCCGCCACCGTAAGGACCTTTGAGTCCCATTCTGCCCGTCTTTCGTCTTCAGTTTTAGTGCTTTTACTTGAAATCTTTAATTTTCGTCTAATTCTTACCTCAGTTTCACTTATTCCCACTCCCTTTACAGGTCTGTTTGAAAAAAACCATCCCCAACTACTGGCACCAACAACCGAGTTTCTGTCCTGTCTATGTATTTCTTCTCCTCAGCACTGTCAGTCTAGGACCCAGTGAATCGACTTTCGATGAACGTTGCTTGTTGTTTAAATGATACTTTTACATCAAACGCTATTATAATGGCAAGCTCATAGCCTGCATAAATTTCACCACAAATCTTAATTTCAAAATACTGTATAAATTAAACATTCATCTCATCGATAAACTCAATTAATTTTCTTTTCATACATAAAATCTTTTATCGTTAGCTATTCAATTCAAATAATTTTATGCAAGACTCATTTAATTATTAATTTAGAAATCAATTAAAATTTAAAACAATTTTATTTTTCTTAAATTTAATTGATTTCATGTTTGCAAAGTCAAAAAATGTAATGACGATATCAAAAGCAACATATAATTAGACATACGAGATAGAAGTAGAGAATAAAGAATAAAGAATAAAGAATTGTAATCATGATAACTAAAGACATATATATACAATTGACAATTGATTTTCGCCAGAGCAGAGACGCCAAATTTCCTATTCAATGTCTTTAATCTAAAGAAGTGTTGCTGTCTGTTATAGTGAGAGATAAAGCGATCGAAGTATGTGTGTACGTACAACTTGTACGTAAAGTATTCACTGAGAAATCATGCATGTCAATAAGGCTACTACATTACTATTATTTTGTAATTTAATAAAGTCATTTACTTTTGCATTTATCATTTTAATTATACTAGAAGTTTTGATCGTTCTTACTAACGAACTATGATTTATTTTATGCAAATGTATTATTAATTAATTACTTATAATCAGTAATACTAGTGTAGCAGCCGTACATGTCAGCTTTTCTGAAAAATATTGGTATACGCAGAAAGATGAACTCTTAATAAAACTAATTTCACAAAACCGAACATTCAAAACGAACGGCAAGAAAAAGAAGTTTCATCTGGTATTTATAGATGAATAGCCTTGTCAATAATATATTTTGTATTGAATTGATCGAAATGCGTTTCAATAATCTAACATAAGAAATAATAAGTTACTATATTTCTATGTCAGCAATTTTTGTTTTATTTTGATCATTAAGTGAAATTAAATTTTGTGCGTTGTTGTTTTGTTCTCGCCTAAAAGTGCAATGAATTAGTTTCATAAAATCCCTTCGGAAAGTTTTCGATATAAACAAGCGTATGTAAAATTTGCACGAATAGACAAAAACTGAAAGTATCCAAAACCAGTTCACTAAAATTCTGTATGTTTTCCATCGTTTTGGACAAAGACTTGCATGATTTAAGAGAAGATCATGTACGATGAAAATTTGTAGAATAACAGTTGGTAATAAAGAAAATAAAATAGCTATTGAAATACATAATAATACTACGGAATTTCTTTCCATTTGTCGTGCACTTTCACTTAACTTGTTTTTTTGTTTTTTTCTATGATTATAACGATTTCGTAATAAAATTACTGCTGATATACATGTTAGTATTGATGGNACAAAGACTTGCATGATTTAAGAGAAGATCATGTACGATGAAAATTTGTAGAATAACAGTTGGTAATAAAGAAAATAAAATAGCTATTGAAATACATAATAATACTACGGAATTTCTTTCCATTTGTCGTGCACTTTCACTTAACTTGTTTTTTTGTTTTTTTCTATGATTATAACGATTTCGTAATAAAATTACTGCTGATATACATGTTAGTATTGATGGACATAAAACAAATAATATAGCATGTATAAATGGCCATACACGTAATTTCCATTGATCGATATGTGCATAGAACTCACAAATAAATATTGTTGTTTTACTATCGTAATAGAAATGAAAATTGAGTGGAAACATTAATAGTATTACTGTTATGAAAATTATCAATATACGTATGATAACATGACGTCGAGTAACTATAATACGATAGCGGATGGGGTGAAGTATCATGAAAACTCGATCGATCGACATTGATGCTAAGTGTAAATTTGAAGATATTGTTGGTCCCATTAGAATACTATAGAACACACCACAGGAGAATATTTCTCGAGGGTCAATTTTGACTATAGACATGCCAACACACCATAGCCAAAACACACCTATAAGAGTAATTAATCTTTTTTGATATGTTAAAAATAGAATAGTCTTTGTTTTGCCCACATTGATCAGATTACAATAAATTGCACACATCGTGCGTACACACAATAGCTTGTTTACAGTTATAGACGTGCTAGGTCTATGAATGATGATAGGGGAAATTTATTTATTTTTAGGTTTTCATAATTTTGAAATAGAATTATCATTGTTTTCTTCAATCAATTATTCTTTGTTAGCATATTCATTTTATGTGATATATCAATCTTACCGTTCGTAAATAGCCATTAACCTACTACTTGATACGTGCATGAAACTTTCTGATACCCCACAAAGGGAGTATAGCTCAACGAATAAATAGGCATATTTTTAGAATTATCTCGTGTTTGAAAAAACATTATTCTTACAGTTTCAAAAGCAAAAAATATACTTTTGATCTACATAAAGGAAAACTTCAAGTATTCTAGATTTCCTGCTAATAGTATTCGCTATTAACCAGATGGTTGAAGTGTAAATAAAATAACAACAATAGTGTGGTTTTCATTATATTGTAACTCTAATTTAATAACTACGCATCCATCTACATTTTATGTGTTCATAGAAGCTCTTTTATGCATCAGTATTTTCTACTAACAGAAATAAAAGCAATGATAATTTATTTACATTGTGTTGATTTCTATCATCTGCTATTGAAACTATACAATAAAATTATCGATAAATCCGATGCATTGCCGGATACTCCTATTTTTTGGTTAGAAAAAAATATATTATTCTGTCGACACGAATGAGAACGCAAGCTACTTGTTAAAATATTTCAAAACATCGAAATTGTTACGAACCAGTAAGAAAGATTAATTCACATATTGCAATAGCCGTCCAGTATAATGATGTTGACTCTTTACGATTGGTTTTATTTGGCATAATTAAAATTAGAAATATATTTCCAGGTATACCCAACATAATAAATAAAAATCCACAAATAGACCAAATAATATGCGATACATGCGATGCATTCTTATAATCCCAATTATTAAAACAAATTTCTATTTTTGTATTGTTCATTGTGTTTCTATAAATTAACTATATAACATCATTAACAATGTTCCATGGAAGTTGTTACAAAGAAAATGTCTAACAGTGAATTCTATTGAGATATTCTTTATTGTCAAAACAGAGCTTTATGAATAGAAGAAACATAAAAATATTTTCTCCAAACTATGAATAATGATTACTATAGGAACATTGCCAATAAATAAGCAAAATTATTCTTATGTTTATTTTTGATTGAACCGAGAAAGTAAGAATTAATAATTCATTTATCTGCAATGATCAATTTTCTTATCTATAAAATTCTCAATTCGCATTATCATCACTATCGCAATCATTTATGATTCTTATTAAATGAAGGCTGTTACAGTAGTTGTTACGGGATTATAATGGGAAACCTGATGCAGCTGATGTCCTTTACAACAGGCAATGTCTTTTTTATTCTTTTATGTACATCGGGACATATTTCTACACTATCCGTTCGCTTAATTTGCTAGAAGCTCAATAAGTGCATTATCCATGCATTAAAATGAGACTGTATTGGTGTGCAATCTTGGTTCATGTATTCGTGAGATATGAAATGTTTTGAAGCTAGTATTACTCGAAGTCTGTCAAGAAAAAAGAAACATTCAAATTTTTATTCTTATATATTAAAAACCTGCAGAATCTTATTTCACACTATGAAGTGCAGCAGCATAGATTTGATGCTTATATTTTTAATGGGAAATAAATAATAGCTGTATACTATATATAAACAAGATTAGGATTCCGTGTTCTCTGCATGTTTTTTTAATAGTCTTATTTATCCGTCTACATTAGCTGTCAGCATTCTCTGATTACACAAGGATGGAAAAGATTAGAAACTTGAAATTCCCAGCATTGAAAGTAATGCATTGGTAGAAAACAACGTCCAAATCTATGTTCTGTATTATGTAAAATTTTCATAGTTTTAATCAGATCTAGTAACACTCAAGTTTTGACACTTTAATCGGCAAGATATTTCTTTGATTATTCACAGCTTTTAGCTGTAATACAGAAAGGGTTTTAAATATGATTTTTTTTTGATTCCACAAGAGAATAATAAAAAAGCGGATGTCATTTTGATGATGATTTTCTATATAACTTGCAAAAAAGGAAATAGCGTGCTAAACAATATTCTGTTTAAGATCGCAATCCCGATCGTGCTACTGCTTTAATCCACCCTCAGGCAATCATTAAACGGCATCAAAACATAATTATCTTTATACTATCATTAGAAACCGTTAATGATTTTTAGTCGATCAATCTTGACTATCATATTCTCTATGACGGATTAGAACATTTTCCGATGTTTCCTTGGATTATTTTAATAAGAACAGCCTGCATTTTATTCTTTCCTTCTTAAACTTAGAGTTTGTTTGTTGTGTTAATATTGAGTCTAGCTCACTTTTCCGAGATACTCTACACATCGGTAACTTAGTTTTCTGAAATCTAGTCCATAATAGGATATAAATTTACAAAATGAATGCCTATGTGTTGCAAAAAATATGTTTTGTATGCTATTAATTTAAAATTACCAAGTCACAATATACATATTTGCATTCAGCATGTATCGAAACTGGAGGTCAATACTATTTTAAAACGATCGCAATCAGATTCTCGTCAAAAACTTCATGCATATGTAACGTTATATAATGTATTTTTACTTTTTTAATGATAAAAATTTATATTTTTTGAAGAATATGAAATAGAACACTAATGCACAGTACCTTAAATATGATGCTTATGTGCACTACTTTTTGTTTTTTGATACATATCATGTATTGCTAAGTTTATATTCACATTATGAAAGGTAGATCAATTCAACCGTTTGAGTATAATATTATGCGGATGAAAATACGCCGCGCGAGACGAAAGTTTTAATAAAGTGAAAAATATTTAGAATGATTCTGCCTATAGAGATTTGCTTATTAGTTATCTATGAATATATTTCAGTAACGAAGAAGTCTTTGTTTTTATAGTTTCAAAGATATCTGAAGTACTTTTAGACTGATTTACTGCGATACTGAAATGAAAGATCGTTTTTCCTCAATAGCGGGACTTTGTTGTTTAGCAGACGTAAGGATTGTATTTGCTACGTTTTGTTTATGTTCCTGCAAAAGCGGACGGGCGGCGGTACTTTTTTCTGTATACACCATCTCACGGTTACGTCTATATTTAGTGTAACTCGATACCAACAGCTTTTTTTTAGCACCACAATGTAGAAGTGATGTAGTACTGATTTTTTGAGATATACACAATGTGGCACTTGTGAATTTTTCCCATCAATATATATATATATTGGTATCTTCAATTATTCAAGGATTTCCTTTATGTCTACATGCAGTCGAGTCATAGGCAAACGTTTGTAAGCTATTTAAACAACTTTATTAATCATTTACTTAAAAGTAAATATTTGTTAACCAGAGCATTTTTACATTACTAATCAATTTCATTAAAAAAAAACGTTTCTTGGCATCGGTTTTTTTTCTTATATCCGATATTATTGCAATCGGTTCAAGCATAAATTATTGTTATTTCTATTTACGCCTTCGTTTACAAGAAAAAATAAAGTACAAGAAAAAGAAATTAACGAATGACAACTGTATTTTATTGAATCATTTTGTGTGTTATTTAAGGGTATAGTGATTGTTAAAACAATTCCATAAAGGTTTGTTTAGAGCAGTACATATTGAAAGGGCATCTTCAATATTCATCGTCAATAAATTTTCAATTTCTTCTGTATTCGACAGACTACGTTTGCATGAAACAGGAGACAAATGGCAAAGAAGAAAACTGCGCTGTTCTTGTGCATATGATAACGGATGAGCCTAAAAAAAAAGAAATTTACCAACTTAACCATAGACTTAAACGCATACCTCAGCAGATAGAACATAGAAGATGAATACGACTAGTATCGATAAGCATTGATGCCAAGATTTCATATTTTGATTTAAATCTTACGTTGTTTGAGAACGATAAAGTTGAATAGTAAAAGGAAGTCTTTTTTTCTTCTAGTTTTGTATATATAAACACGTCAACTCAGTAGTTTGTCTTTCGAACATCAATCTATCTTGAGCGTGTCCTACCTATAAAAGTATTTTTATCAAGAAAATGAGTAGGCTGATGATGAATGCATCAATCTACATTAAAGAAAAATGTTAACGACACTAATTGTTCTTCGTTTTACGGAAGATATCATGCTAATATGTTTCTTTTCTAACACGGTCAGATCGTTTGTTTTGATACTCAAGAAAATGAACCGTTGATTTCAAAAGAGAAACTATTCATGTAATGTTTTATGATTTATTTACGTTTGACTCTCATTCATAGGAACTGGTTGCTGCGAAATATTTTTTGATATACTGCTATCGAATCATGTCAGTTACTAATTTTACCAATTTTGTTTTCATTGCAAACGTTCTAAATTGAGAATTTTCTGTGTAATTGAAACTTTAAAATGACATTAATACAACCGTCTAAAGTATTTAAAGGATAGTACAGTAAACATCAGTAAGTCTGATATCTTTCTATAGCTCTGACTTCAGTTATAATGTTTATTAAAATGTGTTCATAAAAAAATGAGGGATCAAAAATGAGTCACAATTTAACAGCGAGTCATTTTGAAGAAGACAAATTCAAACCTAAGCCACATTGTGCTCTACAGGCAAAAACTTGAGGATGTGGGCCAAAACTTCTGAGAGAGAAAGAAAAAACAAGAAAGAAAGTTGAAATTCTCTTTCCTAACCTATAGTATATTTTATTTCACGATAAAAATTGTTTTCTATGAAGATTTTTCGAGGAGACCAGCACTGAAACAATTAAAATCGAAAAAAAGCATTTTCCATTATTGCCAAAAAGGAGATAGGCATGCCTTCAATCTGTTTGATCTACGTGTTCAAATAATTGACACATGCTTATGAGATTTCCAAATCTCTGTGAATATGCATTAAATCGATTGTGTTGCATATCCTGGAAATTCTGAACCTATCATTCAGCCGTCCACAAGAATACCGCTAATGAAGAAGTCGATCGTACATATTATTCTGTTAATCTATTATTTCTTATTCTATTTTAAAATGAATTGCAACGAAAATTCTCTTAAATGTCAACGTGCTAACAAAAATAACGCCATACAATTTTTTGACAAAATATATTTAGATTTAGTAACGATGATTAGAAAAGGGAGGCTGATGAATTTTTAACACTCAAAGTTGACCAGAAGTCTAAATTTGAAAATGAAGAAGTCGGTATGAAACTATTTACTCAACGTATTTGGTTATTGTTGATTAAGGATTGGCAAATTGTGATTTCTGTCTTCTACTAATTATTATCGGTATCATTATAGATTTTCTTTATAATACAGATTCTGAAATGACCATTTTTTGGTAGCTCAAATCCAAATTATTATATCCAATATTGTTTTTTTTTAATTTCGCTAACAATTCTATTTCTTAAATTACTCAGCATCACTGTTTGAGTTAATTGTTTTAAGTATTTAATCGATGCCTCATATCCCATTAAATTTTTCTTAGATTTTTAATGTAGCGATGGTGTGTAAATAATGATTCCATGTTTATTTCGGGCTTCTCTTGATCAATTTCCATTCTAGATATTTGTACATAGTCTCAAAAGAGTCGCCTTTTAATTTTGTAGGAAAAACAAACATATTACATTGTTTTAGCTGAATTTCAAATTAAACTTAATGATATAGTAGTGATCTAATATGTGTGGATTTTTAGAAATATTTCTATGAAACATTCGGCATTTTAATACAATAGGACAAATATCACAGGGTCATGAACAAGTATTTACCTTGTAATATACCCTAGTCGAACATCTTGTAAGCAAGATCTTGGAATCGGCAAGTAAGATCTTATTAAGATCTTAAAAAGATAATTTGTATGTGTAACGATAAGAATGTTTTATCGTGATATCGAACCCTTTTATTTCAATCATCCTTGTCCTTTTATAGATACACTTTCTTTCTCCGGGGCGCGTCACTCAACCGGAGAGAACGAGAAGGAACACGACAAAGAGGAAGATAGAATATACATGACAAAGANGATATCGGACCAATTTATAGCCAGTCAGATCCCAACATCTGACTTGCTGGAATTCGGAAGAGGAATAATTAAAGTGAAAATAAATTGAAAAAATATTAAAGAATGCAGCAGGTATTATTTTAGTGCGCATCCAAGATTTAATGGATTCTTATGTAAGATCTGTAATTAGATCTTGGGTAAAAGATAATACAGTTATCTTGTACCTGAATTCCGAAGATCTGTTAACATATCTGCACCTTGTATCTTGGCCAAGATCTTGCTTACAAGATGTTTGTCTAGGGTACGATAAAGTGGATTTTCACGTGACATCGGCGCAAACCGCACTTTAGGCTTATTGTGTTAATTTCAAGAGGTGATGGATGGAAATCTCTTATTATCAACTGAGAGTCTATTACTTGTAAATTATTGTAATATTATTAACGATTCAAGTCGAATATAAATTGAACACAATATCTGCTATCTAGTCAATGATTCTTGCAACTCTTTCAGTTTTCAATAATTTTATCGTTTTACACTACAATTTCGTTAGACACTTTTCAAGAAGAATGTTGTATTGGCCAGAAATCTTCTGTTTTGTCACTATAACTCTATTTTAATCATTTCAGTTTAAGGAATTCGATCTAATTAATTAATGTAATCATGTGCCTTTTGTTTTTAATTAAAAAAATAAGTATAGAAGTACTTTTGTTTGACATGGAAAGATTGCTTATTAATCAGAATAATTCAAATACTTTTGATAATTTTATAAAAATAATAATGTTCTTCTGTCTAAAATCGTCTTTATAAATATTATGCTACATAGCTTAGTAGTTCACATGAATGATTCCCGTTTCAACGTCAAATTGATGATGTTTATAAAAGCATTACTCCTAATGGAGAAATTCAAACTTACAGGTTTACCTCACTCGTAAGTCTTTGTCAAGTAAAACATTTTATATTTGATCATTAAGAAAATATCGTAGGAATTTATTTTATTAAAATTTTGAATCATATGAAATGCATTTCATCAATTGGCTAGTTAATATTATATTGAAAATATTTGATTATCTTAACTTCAAAAATGTACTTATCCAGACATCATGTCGACTCGAATTGAAATAATCCATTCCCACTTATGCTTTTACATTTCACGAAAAGCTATTCAAACAAGCAAAATGTCTTCATCAAAAATAATAAATAAGGCTTCGAATTTAACCCTGAATATTTGATTTCTTTATGAATGAATGAATCATTAGTGTGGCATGAACGTATAGTGGTCAGTGAAAAGCAAATTAATTATAGGCGGTATGGATGCTGCAACTAACAGCATAAAAAATACTTTGAATAGAATGAGTGGTTGAAGTACAGAACTAGAATTAGGTCAAATGAAAGAAAAAAATAGAAAAAAAAGAAATGTATTATGTTCTTGTATAAATATGTGGGTGTCTCAATTATGCACGAAAATTGTTTTTAATCTATCAAAAAAAGTATAAATGCCTGGCATTTTCGATAAGATGAAAGAAGCAGAATCACAGATAGGAACGACATTAGTACCAATGAGCATGTAATCATTGACTGTCTTATCGTTGGTAAAAACTTGTTTTTCGTCGTTTTTATAATCTCATTTAATATACTGTTATTTTATAGTTGGTTCTTGCGGTAACGGTACTTTCAGCACCTTCTCCAAGTGATTAGAAAGGTGTTATAGCTGCTGGAAATGGCCCTGCTAGATAAAGCCCACCACCTTCCCGACCACAATGGTAATTCACGTAGTCCAACACTTTCCGGAGCCCTTAGCAGTTCATGAGGCCGAGCTATTGGTGGAAGCGATAATTCTCAAACAGGTCTACCAGGAGGCAGTCGCTAGAAGCGTTCGTTCCACTGGTTTTAAGCATAAAAAGTTGTATTTTTGTCATAGCCAATACATGAAAGATCTACTTTGCATAACATTATTATACTATTTTAAATAAAATAAACATGGTTTCCCATAAAGAAATGAAACGTAATAGAAAGTAAACAATTAAAAAATTAATGAAGAGCCATCATGTTATTGTGTACTCAAAAAGTGAGTACACTCTAGATTCGGTCAGTGTGTCCGTCCGATCGTCCGTTAGCGCGATAAATTTTGAAGGCCATATCCAATTATCATGAAATTTTGTACGCAGAATGATCTTATCAATATCTCAGTCGAGTTCGAAGATGAAGGTAATCCGTTAAGAAATGACTGAGTTATCGAAAAAATTGTCATTATTTACCAGACCATCTCTGAGAGGGGACAGAGATTTTTTTCTAAGAATTATTCGCAACATATATGAATCGACTCAGTTTTTAACTCTGATTATGAATCTGATATTGATTTAGAACCGAATCGTAGCTTTCTAACAAAACATCGTCTGAGCAAGGTCTCAAAATGCCCAAAAACTGCATTCAGAAACCAAATTGCCTAGATATGTCTCAGATGACCAGTAGTTTTGGGGTTTCCCAAATGCCTGGTTTTGTAACTAGTCAAAAGGACTATCGAAAGGTAAAAATCTGAACTAGATAGCTATTGATATTAGTGATTTATTAGGAAAATACTGATGCCTATATCTATCATATATCCCTTATAATTAGATTCATGAGGTTGGTTATGATCGTAATCCCGCTAGATGCAAACGTAAATCGATTCAAAAATAACTCTTCTTATCCAGCTTTCCAAGCTAAACACGAATCTGAACTCAATTTATGTGATCTCTAAAGATATTATGTCACTTTGAGAGTAGAGTCAGTGGTCACCGCATAAGGTCGCATACAGTGTGATCCATGCTAACTTAGCTCGCTTGCATTTTCTTCTTGCAATTTATTGGCAAGGGATGTATCTTGATGAGATATCTGTCATCAATTAGTTTTACTTTTTGAAG